TCGACAATAACAGTATCAGTACCTCCTGATGAAGCAGTGACAGTAGTAGTTTGAGTGTCAGTACCAGTCCAGGTCGAGGTAACAGTGGTGACGGGAGCTGAAGGAGTTGGTACTTCGACAATAACAGTATCAGTACCTCCTGATGAAGCAGTGACAGTAGTAGTTTGAGTGTCAGTACCAGTCCAGGTCGAAGTAACAGTGGTGACAGGAGCTGAAGGTGTCAATACTTCAACAGTTTCTGTAGAAAGGTCACCTGCTGAGAGAGTTGTTGTCGAGGTAACTGTTCCAGTCCATGCAATAGTAGTAGTCACTGTGGCTGGGCAACTAGTTTTTTCATCTTCAAACTGTACTATATTTGTAAAATCAGATATCGTACTGCCATCTGGTTTGTTGATAGATAGGTTTAGTCCAGCTGGAATTTTTTTATTGCAATAGTTCATGAGCATGGGATAAAAACCGACGGCGAGAGTGTAGGTTTTAGAGGTGGTACCTGCTCCAGCTTTCGAGTTCCACGCAGCAAATAATGTATAGCTAGAAGTTTTATCTTGATCAATTGTCGAACAACATGTAAAGGCTTGATCTGCTCCAAATTTAAGCATTAAGGAATCATCGACAGTGTTCAAGTTGAACGTATAATCTCCAGCTATGTCAGCATAAAAGTAACCTTCAAGTTGCATAATAAAATTTTGAACATTTGTTGTTACACCATAAATATCGGTATATACATCCCCTTCACCAGGTTCCCTGTTTGGAAAAGAAAAGTTGATATCGGTCACACCCAGAACCCCTCCAGTATATTTTTCTACTGATTTAAAACCACCTGCCATGTATTCCAAGTCAACCATAAGTGTTTCATTCGAAAAAGGGTACGTATAAAATGATACATTGAAACCTACGTCTGCAATCTGGGGATTGGATGGTAGACAGCCAGTCAGTGGGCTAGTAGCAGTAGTCAGTCTCACGCCAACTACAATACTAGAAAGGCACAAGATAGAGTTAAGTATCGAAATTCTCATAATGTAAGTAGCACTTAGATATTCTTTGAATTATAGTATACAGAAAAATGGAGTCACTCTACATTCGTATTCAGGAAATTTCCTTGCTTTTATAGTCTGTCAAACTATAGCATTAACATTCAAAAGTTCGAAAGTCAAATACAATGCTGAGAGATTTTAATTTTGGAAATGAAAGACAAATGAGGGTGCATTTGTGCATAAAAAATAACATATGTATCATGGAGAGCACAACACTGCATTTCCATACTAAATGAGTCTTAAATCGATTTGTCGTATGTAATAGCAATGCTGCAACATTTTATTTCGAGCTAGGTGATCTGGAGTATCCGTTGCAAGAAAATTCCAAATAACAGTAGATTTAACGAAAGCAGGTGTGCTTTATTGAACTATCTAGTTGTATGAGTCTTTTTTTGGGGCAGATTAGGGGACAATTCGTGAGTGCATTATTAAATTTGGAGCTGGCACAAGGCACATTCAGCATCTCAAATGCATAAACTATCATTCAATCGGCATGCAGCATTTTTATGCATTGGCGACGGCGTAGATAGGAGGTAGTATTATTCCAAGGTAGAGTTGGAAAGCAGCCCTGGTCAATAAACAGATACAGCAATATTAAAGAGCATTATACAAGGAGTTATGGATAGGGAAGCTAATTTTCAATATGTATTATACAGTTGAAATAACACCAGATCAAGAAAATGAAATCATTAATTATGAAAGACATTTTGAATGAAATAAACTAAATGAATCAAGCAAGTAGTATTGAACAAAACCAGCCGAGAACTAATTAGGAGACGGGGTATGGTGCAATTTGCACAGCATGTATTCAAGTATTTCTGTGTTTCTGCTCTTTTCATCTACACAATCTGTGCAGCTCTTCATATTCTGTACATACTTGCATTATGCCGCATCACATGGGGCGATATCCTTTGTACAATTTTCGGGAGTAGCCAAATCTATTTTTTCTAATGTCTCCTCTAAATCCATAGTTATTAAAATGAAAATGCCTAAGGAAGAGAAAACAATTTACTGAAGCCAGTTTGAAACTAGATAAATATCTTTAGTGATACTTTTTCTTTAGGGTACCTTTTTCACCATGATAACTAAATTGATGAGCTTCTCGAGCTGGTAATTTCAAACTTTCACTTCTCCCATTATTTTTCAAATGCTACTTTCTTAGATAATATCGCCAAGAAAATGTATAATTAATCAGGTGTTCAGACTATCTAAAATCTTCTTCTCAAAAAAGGAATTTTAATAAATGTCATCTTTACCTACGGATTAAAGTCAACTAAGGCCCAACAGATTGTGTCACTGCAAGTATTAGCGAAGTGTACTTCTTGCATAACAATTAATCATACTTTCTGTAGGACCCCCAAATTACACGCCCTGCACTAATTGAGAAAATAAATTAGACCTTACGAGAAGAGGGCAACTAGTCTAGCGCATATATTATTACGATTGACATTAAACCGATACTTACTACAAAGCTCGCTAGAATATAATCTTTAGCAATTATTTATGCTCAATAAATAGCGCATTGTCAATGATGTGGGGCAATAGGCGTCTCTGACATACTCATAATGCAAGGAAGGGCCATTTTATATTGTACCCTGTGTAAATACACCTGGTTATTTCTGTGGAGAAGTCTTAATGCAATCTGGAGTGGTGCTCACTGCATTTTTGAAATACCTGGCCTCGAAACAATTACAACATGCAATATCTTGAGATAATATGTGCGCCCAAATTAAAATAAATGTGGAAGAAGAAAGAGAATGTGTTGAATTGGACGTGAAGTTGCACTACTAGAAACTTTATTACTTTTTCTGCAGGAAGTTCAGGCTCGCATGAACTTTTTTGAAACTCCGGGTTTTCATTCTGCATCAACACAGATTGATGGCGCAAAAGCGACGCAGTATTTCTGCATTCGATCTTTAAACTTTAAATTTTGAAGGCAGGCACTCGCTTCAATATTCTAATAAATTTCGTGACAAAGCCGCCCTTTGCCTTTTTGTCGTGAGTTATACGTTTTTCTTATGCAAAAGTAACAATCATTTGGACTATTTCTTCCAAATTTGAGTAAAATTCTCGACGTCTCCTCATAAGATAGAACTATAACGTTGCTTTTCAATAGACCAACATTTCTGATCTCCCTGGGTCGATTGACACTTACGCAACGCAGTAATAGTATATATGCAGGAGGTTATATATCGGATTTATTTTTGATCGCACATAAAATAGAAAAAACAGAAAAAATGCAACCATCTCATAGCAGGGTTCAAAGAATTCTTGGCACACCAATCTATGCACGTATTCTCTTTTAGTGAAATTGAAATCCTAAAAAGAATACCTACTGTGAATAACAAAGCATAGTAAATAATACAATCTCATTTATGTGAGGTAGTAATTAGCGAAGCTAGCTTAAAAGAAATAATTTTGTAGCGGACACCTTACAGCTGAATAACTCCTTTAGCAATTCTCTTAACTAATTTCTTAACCAGTTTTTTGGATGATTTTTCATAAAGTATTACGAGATAATTCATGGTATCTCATCACATTTCCCTCGATATTCTTTTAATCGACTTTGATAACTGACAAAAAATTATTTTTTAATTTAATTATTAATCTGTATTTGAGATTTGTATTTCGTAAGTGATTTACTTGTATACTTCCATCTCCATCAAATAAACCAACTCAAAACTTTTTAATACAATCAGCTGAGAAACAATTCTAAATTGAGTAAAATGATATTATTCTAAATATAAACATCCGGCTGATGCATGGTTGGGGAATATAAGTTGGACTTCTTCTTTAAAGTTAAATCCAACGTACACTGAGCATTTGGGAATATATCTGAAATATGAAAAGCTCTTGCACTATGCATTTTGCAATGCTTTGAAGTCTTTCTTTCCCAAAGGGAAGATAATTATAAGATCGCCTGACTTTAATATCTCAAGTTTTAACCTACATGAGTCAAATATCTTTATCATTAACGAACACCTAAGATCCTGAGGCAAATCTACAAAAGACACACAAAAAAAGATGATATATGAAATATATTATGAGAAACTGAAGATTTGAAAAGTTATAATATAGGTCTGAGATCATCAAGTTTGAGAATCTCTGGGTAAAAATGAAGAACCAGGACCTGTAATAACAAATTCAATATGCTCACTACTTGCAAAATAATTGTTAACAATGCTAATTGGATAGTAAATACCTGCTACCAAGCACATGGTCAAATCAACGGAGCCTGATGGATCATCTATGATCAAAGGAGAAGCATTGGATCTCATTGATAATGTGCTTCCACAAGGGAATGCAATATCAGCTCCAATAGAGAGAGCTGCACCACTTGCATTATTGCTCAACTCAACTAATTGCTACCCCTCAAAGGATGAAGGAAGTAGCCTTCCAAATCAAAGGTGAACTACTTTTCGTACACAATGCCAACATCAACAATAGCCTCTACGGTATTTTCCAATTTATTGGATTTAAACCCACCTTCAAGATACGATGATAACGGATCTGAAATGGAGTTGAGAAGTATCCAATGAACCTAGTGGTTGAAGGTGAACAGCAGGACAACCTTCTGCAGTAGGAAGGCTAGAAGTAGAAGTGGAGACGGACTGTGAGGCAGTGGTCCAGGTGGAGGTTGTTTGTGAGTTAAAGCCGCCTTGAGATGCAGAACTGGGGCACAATTGTGAGGTATTTGGAAATTCAACAACAGTATTAGCACCACCTTGAGTATCAGATTCTGTAACAGTGGTAGTGTATGTTCCAGTCCACGTAGAAGTTATTGTAGCTTGAGAGTTAAGATGGCTCTGAGAAAAAGATACTGGAGGGTTGGCAATTTTTAGATTCAGATCTGGAGACGGATTGTGGTATCAGCATCATGATGTTTATGTCACTTTAGCATGAAAAAAAATGTCAAAATTTCTCAGCCACATTTGTTCAAAAAATAAGCCGTTTGATGATTTACTCTAAAGTAAGCGATAGCGCATTTAGATAAAATACGGGCGAAGCTACAATTTCCAATTAATCTATTCCAGCGCAAGGAAGCATATATACTGAGTTCACTTGAACTATGTCAATATTATCTATGGAATAACCAGAAATTATATTTAAGTAATCTTCGAAGGTAATCAATTGGAAACTCTCTTTTCATTTTTTCGAAAATAGAGTGAATCTATCACGATGAACTCCAAATCTTGACACCTTAGATCAGACTATCAGACCATCATACCAGCAAATCCAGCCTAGCCCAGCCTCGTTTTGACCGTTTCGCAACAAAGAGGGCATGCAATTTCAGATCAAAAAAATCGCGCTTTATTTATCAGAAATATGTCTATTTATAAGTTATTCCTTCATGTCAATCATTTTTTGCGAGCCTTCCTCGGATTTTGCGGCCCATCACAACAGTGCTTGTCAATATTGCTGCAATTCGCTTAATTTTTCCAAGTTGCAAAAAACTTTGCACTATTACAATAGAAAAGGAAATAAAAAGTTTCAGCTTAGATACTTTTTTCTCCAAGACATGCAAAATGTACGTACTACTTTCACCCTTCAATCAATAGTTTATTCAGTATTATATTAGACACAGAGACTGGAACTAGACATAGGTACTTCTAACGCACGTATTAATTCCAGTTTCAATTCCAGCCGCATATGTCTAAATTAGACAGACCCAAACAATGAGCCAGCAAAAATGTTCCATCGTTTCAGCGATTGTCCTGCGCCTCGTAAATAGTTATCGTAAAAAGCTCAATGATGGGTCAGTCGAAACGCGTAGAGCGCTATAGTATGACTTCCTTCGCCTTACGTTGTAGCAAGTAGAATTTCATGTCAAAGAGGTTATCGAAGCCGGCTTTGCGGTATAAGAGGAAGGCATGAGCCTCATCTTTTAATATTTATTCTTGCCTCAACCATAAAATACTCCACGAGTGCACTGATTCGCTAACTTCTCAACTACGTTTTAAGGAAAAGACATGTTTTCTCATATTACTAAGATGTTAATCACAACATTCTTGTTAACCAATGTAGCAGAAGCGTCGGGTGTTGTTGCCTACTGGGGTCAGAACTCTGCAGGTGACCAGGGTCCACTAAGAAATTACTGTGGAAGTACTGCAGATATAATTGTCGTATCATTCATAAATTCAATTAGTCCAGTCGACATTTCTTTAAATGACCAATGTAGTGGCTCTTTCAATGATGGTACCATGCATTGTCCATCTGTTGGTGAAGACATTACTTACTGCCAAAAACAAGGTAAAAAAATTCTTTTAAGTATCGGAGGTCAAGGTGAACAAGGATTCTCTTCAGATTCCGAAGCCACCACTTTCGCATCCAACGTCTGGAACAAATTTGCTGGTGGTTCCTCCGATGAGAGACCATTTGACACTGCTGTTGTTGATGGTTTCGATTTAGACTTGGAGACAGTTGGCCCAAAAGGCACTGTTGCTTTCGGGAAGGCAATTAAATCGTTGTTCTCCAAAGATTCTGCTAGAACATACTACTTATCTGCAGCTCCTCAGTGTCCATACCCTGATGCTACCTTGAGTGATTACTTGACTCAAGTTCCGGTTGATTTCACATTTGTTCAGTTCTACAACAACCCATCATGTCAATTAGATGGTGATTTCAACTTTAACACATGGTCCCAGTATGCAAGATCTTCTTCCCCTAATAAGAAGAACAAGATTTTCGTTGGTTTACCAGGTAGTAGTTCTTCCAGTGGTTCTGGATTTGTCTCTGCTTCCGTTGTTAAGTCTCAACTTGAGAAGATTAAATGTGATCCAAACTTTGGAGGAGTTTCCCTTTGGGACGCTTCTTCAAGTTTTCCCAACGGATTTGCAGCAAGCATCAAATCAGTCTTAAGCTCTATGGATGTCAGTTCTTGTCCCTCCACTACCTCATATTCATCCGGTGCTACTTCCACATCTGCAGCTTCCACATTGGTACCACCCCTATTATTTCAATTAGTGGCCCGATACTTAGTAGCTGTACTGCTGATGTTCCAATTCAAGTTGACATCACCGTTTTCACCATAAATTCTGTCTCAGGTATCAGTAAAATAAGGTTGCACTACTTTCACCATGAATTCCTTATCAACTATAAGTAAAGTGGCATTGCGGCCGCCTCTTGCTTGACTAATTTTCTGCGTACTACGAAAAGCCCGAAGCAGCTTATATATTTCCTAAAAGTGGAGAATACCGAGAAATTTTATGCATGCGTATGGAGCGCGTTTTTCTTCCTCGTCCAGTTTAAGGCGCATTTTGGCGAATTTTGGCGAATTGGACATTTTTGTTTTCTTCGAAAAATACACGACGTGCAGACGATTGCCAAAGTCATTGATTTTACAGATCAGACACAGTATCGGAAGAAAGTGGAAAGCTTTGAATAGGATACGTAAAAAATACAGTATGGCATCATTCGAAGCATCAGTAATATAAAGTTCGCCTATTTGATAACTAATTTAACGGAGTCAGATATATTTCCCTTTACGATTTTTTGATGCCCTTTTTTCATGCACCTCGTAAATTGTGCGCCTTAAGCCTATTCGAGACCCTATTTTGTTTACAATTTGAGTTCAAAAACGCGCACAGACTCAAGGCTTTGATAGTATACGATGCAACAAATAGATATTCATAACATAAAATATTTTTTATTACCGAAGGTAAAAAATATTCAAGCCGGCGTTGATATATAAGAAGAAAAGCCCTTTGTTTTCCATACGGAAAAGATGTTGCTTTGTCTTCTTCAACTCTAGGTCATACATTCGTTTATTATCTAACTCTATACACTCTTTTATATATAGTTCAGACCTTTTGTTGTAGTGAAAATGTTATCTCAAATTACCAAACTTTAATTGCAGCATGTTTGCTCACTAAAGCAGCTGAGGCTTTAGACCTTGTTGCATACTGGGGCCAAAACTCTGGCGGTGACCAGGGCCCTTTGAGAGATTACTGTGCTAGCAGCACTGCTGATGTCATCGTTGTGTCATTCATAAACTCAATTAACCCAGTTGACATTAATTTATCTAACCAATGCGGTGGAACTTTCGCCGATGGCACTTTACACTGTTCAGCTGTTGGTGAAGACATTACTTACTGTCAACAACAAGGTAAAAAGGTTCTTTTGAGTATCGGAGGTTATGGTGCAGAAGGTTTCACCTCAGATTCCGAAGCTACCACTTTCGCAACCAATATCTGGAACAAATTTGGTGGTGGTTCCTCCGATGAGAGACCATTTGACACCGCTGTTGTTGATGGTTTCGACTTAGATTTAGAAGCAGTAGGCACAACTGGTACCGTTGCTTTCGGTAACGCTATCAAGGCATTGTATTCTGAAGATACCACCAAGTCTTACTACTTATCCGCAGCTCCTCAATGTCCATACCCTGATGCTACCTTAAGTGATTACTTGACTCAAGTTCCAATTGATTACACTTTTGTTCAATTCTACAACAACCCTTCATGTCAATTAGATGGTGACTTCAACTTCAATACTTGGTCCCGATATGTAAACTCGTCTTCCCCAAACACGAACAACAAGATTTTCGTTGGTTTACCAGGTAGTTCTTCCAGTGGTTCTGGATTTGTCTCCGCTTCTGTTGTTGAGTCTCAACTTGAACAAATTAAATGTGATCCAAACTTAGGGGGTGTATCTCTTTGGGATGCCTCTTCAAGTTTTTCCAACGGTTACGCCTCAAGCATCAGATCAGTCTTAGACTCTCTTGATGTTGATGCTTGTCACGCTTCCACCTCCACTGCTTCCTCAGCTGCTGCTTCCGCTTCTACTTCCGCCGCTGTCGTCTCGACTAGCGCTCCATATAGTAACACTACTACCGAAGCTCCAATTGCAACAAAGACTGACATTCACACTACCGTTATCACCATCACCTCTTGTTCTGATAAGAAATGTACCAAGGTTCCAGTTACCACTGGTTTGACTACCGTCACTGACCACGAATTAAACACGATTTATACCACCTACTGCCCATTGTCTGACGATTCTACTTCCACCGTAAGTCACTTATCAACCACACTCGTCACTGTGACTGAATGTGCTGATAACAAGTGCCAAGAAAAGGAAGTCGTCACTGGCTTAACCACAGTCACTGACCATGTCTTAAACACTGTTTACACAACCTACTGTCCAATTGAAGCTGAAGAAACATCTGTTCCTGTTGTCACTACAACTCCAGCTCCAGTAAAGCCAATTTCTTCTTCTCCAACAGTTGCACCATACGGAAATGACACTACAGTTACTGTAACTTTACACAAAGTAGCTGTAAACACTGGATACACCACTTACTGTCCAGAAGAAGCTTCTGCTGCTCCTACCAAAGCTGCTGTTACCAAGGTGGCTGTAGTCTCCAACTCTGTTGCTCCAGTTCCAACTGTAGCACCAACTGACTCAACTTCTCTCACTACTTTGACCCTTCAGACCACTATTACTAGATCATCCTCACACTCGAGCTCCGTTGCCGCTAACTCAACTGTTCCAGCTGTCCCTACTTTATTAGCAGGAATGGCAAGCTCCACCAAGGGCTCAATTGCTTTAGTTGTTCTCTCGATTATTGCATCTATGTTTTAACTGGAATGAAAATTTATATTCACCTTTTTCTTTATCTTACTTTTGAATAGGTTTTAAAAATACAAGACAAAATAGGAACTCAAGAGTAGAGTACATAAGTATAAGTTGTAAGAAGGTCAAACTCTGGCATCGCTTACGTAGGCATTCATTATAAAATAAAGATCTTCATCCTTTCTTAAAGGAATAGGTTGGCAAGTCTCTTTTCTAACGCTATTAAACAGACTTTAATAGCACAGTATAAAAGAGAAATCAAAGAGTAGAGTACGCAAGTGTGATCACAAAAAGGTGAAATTCTAAAGGTGTTTAAGAAAACTTTTATCATCTTCTCTTGAGGAACGGTGTTGCAATGTTTCTTTTTTTTTTTTTTAGATATGCAGCTTAAAACTCACGAATTTCATTGTGGCCGTGTATTGGCAGAGAATTTCATTTACTTGCTGGTTATTTTATACAGAGACTACAGATTGGATCCGAAAAGTTGTTGAATTCAACAGATTGGTTCTTATTGTTACTACCACTGTTAAACAGTCTTGTTCATTACTCTTTCTATTAGAAAGACAGTGAGCCTTTTCTACTGATCTAGGGATTTCTTTTTTTCCGTTTTGGGATTCGCTTGGTTGCGAAAAGTCAACGGTGAGCGTTGCGAAGCAGATGAAAGAGACTACAACAATAGTTTACCCACCGCAATCCTCAAGGAATATATGCAAAGAAAGTATTCCGTCAGTTGTATCGCTTGGTATTATAAGGTCATTTTCGATTTTCAGAGCAAAAGAAAATAAAACTAGAATTATATCATATGTTGAACACCACATTATTTTAATGCTGTTTTGCAATTTTTAACCCAAATTTAATATGCAGCACCGATTGAAGCAGAATCATTGTAGTGAAGGAAGACATGTTGTTCTCCTCACTGTCTTTCCTACACGCTGACTTAGTCATACAGAGTACTACGGGACGCCCAGCCCCAAAACCCTTCTCCAAGGCACTTGTTTTCATCCAACTTTGGGTAAATTCAAAATATTTCAAAAAAACTCAAGTGGGGAAGTGTTCCGGTTTCGTACGAATGTAGTAGCCGTACATCAGTGGGTGGATTCTATTCAGCTCGAGAGGACAGTGATAAATTACCAAGCAGTTATCCCAGCCTCACAAAATCTCCTCAATTAATTTTGTAAAGAATACGAAAAAGACCAGAAATTACAACTTCTCTTGCATATCTCTGCTTCAAGCATGCCCATCCCACTATCTACTGATCTACGGACTATCTTTGGACATGTAACCCAAGTGCCCCAGACTCGGAGTTTTTTATTTTCTTTTTCTCATCTTCTCACTTTCTCCCTGTGCGTTCCGACTTTGTACATTAAACGGCGAGCACATCTCCAATTTGCTCCGGGGTCTTCCTGCGTCTCTGTGCAGTCAATTCAACATTTTTCATTATTTTTCTCTAACTCCATACTGCATACAATCTCTTCTCCTCATATACGAAAATTTAAGAAGAGGCTCTAGTAGGAGAAAAAGCAAAAGATGATTCCCCAGATTTTATGTACCCCGGATAGAAGAAGTACATGACCAAGGACTCTATCGAACCGGTGTCAAGGTAAATAGGTAGATATCTAGACGTAGATCACATAAAAATGACAAAACGGTTGAGTGTAACTGAAAAAATCGGCCGCAAGCCTGCATCCAGAGCGTGTGTGTTCTGCCACTCCAAGCACCTCCAGTGTTCGAATGAGAGGCCCTGTAGGAATTGCGTGAAGCGAAATATAGGCCACGAATGCCATGATATCGTGCGGAAAAAGGCCAAGTACATGAAGGTCAACAGTGGGTCGAAAAGCCAGTCCGCAATGTCCTCTTCCATGGAGCCTGAGTCGAGCGATGCGCCTGGCGGTAACCACCCAGCCTTACACCAGCAACAGCTACATCAACACAAGCAACAACATCTGCAACAACTCTTGCCAGCAATCAAGCAAGAGAGGTCCAATTTCAACAACAATCGAATGCTCAACACTACAAACGATGTGCTAAATAGAATATCTACAAATACCAACCAGTATTTGGATTTCGGCAGGGTCGCAGAGCAACAACAAAGCGTAAACAGTCCGAACCTCGATATGTTTAATTCCAATTATCTTAACCAAGAGTATTTGATGTTGGGAGATATCTTATTGCACAGTAAGCCAACGTCTCCACTGCCTTCTGCTTCTTCTGAAGCTCAACTGCAGCTACAACAGCAGCATTCACTTCCACAGAGCCAGCTCCAATCCTACGATCCTGTACTAGATAATGTGGATGTACTGCAGCGTCTCTCCTCACAACAGCAGCAACAGCAGCCCCCAGCGGTTATAAACCGTAAGAAGAACAAGGTCGACACGCGTCCGTTCATCTCTCTAGGGTTCTCAAAGCTGTACAGCGAACACGAACTAGACTTGAACGTCAACAACATCACTTACAATTCATTCAATACAAGAGAAACTACAGAGAACAGCAGTAATACGGAAGGGATACTTGACAACAGAGCAGATTCCAAGTTTATTGTACACAACCAAATAATGCAAAACAAAGAAACGTCAGCCTTCAACAAATCTCTCAAGACTTCTTCAACCAACTTACCCTACGAGTATATGAGCCCGATGGAGACCCATAACTTATACCAGAGAGTGCAGGACATTTACGCAAAAAACATAGTAGACTTTGAGTACCCTCAATCGTACCATCTGTTGACATACTTTCTTAAAAAGAGATTCCTGGGCAACACATTGTCACTAGAAGGTAAACAAAGGAAAAGAGCTAATTTACTTATAATTTTAAAGCTTATTGCCAGCTATAGACCAACATTCATTTCTGCACACAAATCGTTACTAAAGCCGTACGATTTCCAGTTTTTAGAGATGTCATTCCAAAGATCATTGATCGATTGCGAAAAACTCGCACAATTGAACCTGTCCCCCACTATTATATGGCGTAGAACGGGGGAAATAGTATCGTTGTCAGACGACTTATTGAGCTTGTTGGGATTCAGCGTAAGAGACATACTATCCAAAAGAACGTTTATCATGGAATTGATGTACGACGACGAACTGATTGTCAACTATTTTAAATTATTCAAATCGGTTGCAGTTGGTAACTTGCATAGTAGTATCATCACCAAGTGCAAATTGATAAGGAAAGTAGATGAGGAAAATGGTAGCGATAAGCACAGTCAAAGCAGCCACATACTGAATCATGATCTCTACAACGAAGACCTGTCAACAGAATTGAATGACTACATTGAATTTTGCTCGGTATGGACCGTGAAGAGAGACCTTTTCGATATCCCCATGCTTATCGTGGGGCAGTTCTTGCCTATATTCACGCAAGGCGAAGGTGTACGGATGTACTAGATATTAGACATCATGACTTTGAGATTTTAAAAAATGAAGTGACTATAAAATCACCAGATTTTGGAAATTCTTCACTGAAAAATTAAAAAAAAAAATCAGTCAATTCGAAATAAGGTGATCAAGATAGGCGTACAAGATCGTCTAACAAAAAATAAAACATGATATGAGTATCAGAAGTGGCACCATGTTTCAAGTTTGGATTCATTTGGTGTTTCAAGCTAACCAACTATATAAATGCTAAAGATTCTTTGTCATTCAAGCTGTGGTATCTTTAGCAGGTTAAATTTATTCATTACACAAAAGTAATAAAATCTAGTGCTCGCTTTCAATTACCTATTCAATCAAATATATCACACCAATGGCAATGCTTTCCCATTTATCTAACCCTTTGAAGATCTTGTTAGCAGGTGGAGCTGTTTACGGCTGCGGAGTCGTATACATGACGAACAATTACTACAGAAATTCAGCATTAAGAGAAATTTTTGTCAAATCAGACAGGGCATATGAAGATGTCAAGGTAGGGCACCATCCTTAGAGTTAAGACTAGCAAATAGTTGCTGTAATATAAGAAAAAAATATATATATATATATATATATATATACATAATGTATACTTGGGAAATGATTTATTGTTCTGTATCACATTGTTTGTAGTACGAGCGTTCGAAGTGGCTTATGTCTGGCCGTCCTTTGTCCTCTCTTTATTGAGGACGGTCTTGTATTTTTTGGCAATATTTTTGGTCCTATGAGAAAATATCAGTGAAAATTTGCCGGAAAAACAATAGAAGACTTTGAAACAAGGATGATGATCACAATAGAACACAAGCTGCGGATGCGGGACGGGGGTAATTGACAGAATGCGGTAAGAATCAAACATCCCGTGAACCTTTGGGGCCCCCATAGTATACTTCTAAACGCATATCCCATTTCTCAGTCTATTAGCCTTTTATCTTGCTGAGTTGTACGTACCAAATGTGCAAATGGATCAAACCTGGTTTACATTAAATTTTCGATTGGATATTTTTTTTTTTTCGTTTTGCCTTAGATCAAAGTTAGGCGAGAAGCGTCTGTTTATGGATAGTACAGCACCCCAAACACAGGCTTCCAGACTATCCTTCTAAAATTGCTGAATATATCCTTTCTCGGACTTTTTCTCTTGTGTGTGAGTTGTACTTTCCAAATGTGTGAATAGAACAATTCCGGCTTTCAATTATTTTTCCATTTTATATTTTTTTGCCTCAGATCTATGTAAGTGACACAGTAGACGACAAAATATCTGACAGCTAGCAATAGCTAACAAGAGCTAACAAAGAGCTGAGCTAACAGCTAGCCTAAGTACACGGAAGAGTTTGGTGATGGAACCGTTTACATTGCACCATGCTGATGAGTTGATACATTCCACATTCTCGCAGTGTTTCGGCCGGATCTGTAGTATGATTATTTATGTATACACCCCGAGCAGCATGGCTTTGTTACGCACTCTATAAACCTTAAAATGTACAAGTAACCGTACTCTTTAACTAAAAATGAGAAAAGAAATAGCCCAGTCACCCTCTTCTACACACTATATGCAATGGAATGCCAATGACACTTTGGAACTTCTATACGAACGCTGCCCAATGCCACACTCCTTCGTACTTTTTATACCTCGAATGTACCACATCCCAGCCGTTATTTTTTACTAACCACCTAGAATTTCCGCTTTGGTTTACTGATTACGTCTTCACCACAGTCGTGCGCGAGTCCTATATGTACACCAAATACTCAAGGGACTCTCGCATTTCACCTGCTGGTGAAATTATTCCTGCCTGAGTGAGTGTGGATGCACCCTAGCGCCGTGCGTCAAGTTTAAATCAATCTGCAACGTACGAAGTGCCTTTAGATGAACTCAGATGTACCTACTACAGTGCAAAGAGCATATTATGAGATTAATTTTTTAAGTACTGGGTCACATAATCTTCCACGAGCCTTCAGTATTGTCTGATTTACTATTTTCAATGCTGAAGCAAGCCCTATTGTATTTTAACTATACAATTAGACAAAAAAAGGAAGAAAAAAAAAAAAAAAAAAAAAAACTTTAACGAGAAAATAAAAACGGCTTAATTTTTCGCAATCACATACTGTAAGTTAGACTATTATTTAACCTAAGGGTTATCCGTTTTTTTTCTCTTTTTGGGAAGGTGTTTTGATTGTTGGTAGCTATTGTCTGTGTTTCAGCTTTTTTCCGCTCTAAATTTCATATTTGCTAGAGATGTCCTACGAAAAATCGAAGGCTGAAGAAGCTGTCGGGTCTACTTCTGGCTATCAAAACTATGAGACGCAAAACCCAGAACCCTCGGTGACCGATGACGAGGACAATTACTCTACCTCATCGTCCGATGCCTACTCCAATGGACCTAGGCGCCTGCCAGTTAAGAGGTTTGTCGATTCTTTCAAGCCTATTAACATTGAGGATGACGGTATAGATACCTCGCAGATGACTGAAATGGAAAAGTCTATCTACGCTACAGCTAGACACCCCTTGGCTCGTAGATTGAAGTCCAGACACTTGCAAATGATTGCTATCGGTGGTTCCATTGGTACCGGGTTGTTCGTCGGTTCTGGTTACGCCTTGGCTGAAGGTGGTCCAGCTTCTGTCTTGATCGGTTATGCCTTGGTTGGTTACGCTATGTTCGCCGTTGTGATGGCTTTGGGTGAGCTTTCTGTTCAATTCCCGGTTTCGGGTTCTTTCAACGCCTTTTTCTCCAGATTCTTGGAACCAACTTGGGGGTTTGTCTTGGGTCTCTTGTATGCCATGTCTTGGTTGATCTCCTTGCCTTCCGAATTGGTTGCTTGTGCTTTAACAATTCAATACTGGAACACCTCAGTCAATCCAGCAGCTTGGGTCGCTATTTTCTACGTTGTCATCATTTCTATTAACTTGTTTGGAGTCAAGGGATATGGTGAAGTGGAATTTGTTTTGTCTATTATTAAAGTCATTGCCGTTGTCGGTTTCATTATCGTGGCTATATGTATCATTTGCGGTGTAGGTGATCAAGGGTACATTGGTGCCAAATATTGGCACAACCCAGGTGCCTTCAACTCTGGTTTCAAGGGTGTTTGTTCTGTCTTCATTTCAGCTGCATTCTCCTTCGGTGGTTGTGAATTGGTAGCCTTAGCGGCATCTGAAACTGCAAACCCAAGAAAGTCCTTACCAAGTGCCACTAAGCAAGTCTTCTGGAGAATCACCATTTTCTATATACTTACCGCTATTGTTATCGGATTCCTTGTTCCGTACGACAACGAAAGTTTACTTGGTGCCGGTGACGTTACCTCTTCCCCATTCGTTATTGCTATTGTTCAAGGGGGTATCAAGGTCTTACCTTCTATTATGAATGCTGTCATTTTAATTGCAGTTATCTCTGTCGGAAACTCTTCAGTCTATGGTTGTTCTAGAACTTTGGCCTCATTGGCTGTGCAAGGTTTGATTCCCAAAATCTTTGGCTACATTGACAGAGAAGGTAGACCAATGGTTGCTATTGTATTTACCAACGCTATTGGGTTATTATGTTTCCTTGTATCATCAGAAAGTGAATCCACTGTTTTCACTTGGTTGTTCTCGGTCTGTTCTTTGGCCTCTTTCTTCGTTTGGTTTGGTATCTGTGTCACTCACATTAGATTCAGAATGGCTTTGTCAGCACAAGGTAGATCCACTGACGAAGTTGCCTTTGTCTCGCCAATGGGTGTTTGGGGTTCCATTGCTGGTGCCGTTATCCTTTTCTTAATTGTGATTGGAGAAATATGGGTTTCTATTTGGCCAATTGGTGAGGCTGCTAGTAATATTACCTTCTGGCAAAATTGTTTATCCTTGCCATTGACTATAGTATTATGGGCTGCACACAAGACTTACTACAGATCTTGGGGTTTATGGTGGATTAAGTTAGTAGAGATTGACCTTGATACCGGTAGAAGAGACATTGATGTTGAAGTCTTAAAGCAAGAAATTGCAGACGAAAAGGAATTATTAAGAACTAAGCCATTTTACGTTAGAATTTATAGATTCTGGTGTTAGTTTTACATTGATAATAGTAATAGAAGAAATAAAAATTAATTTACATTTAAAATTGAAAGTGTATACCATATCATATTAATTATATTGGAACCATGTAATTTTTTGAGCACACCATGGTGGGAACTCTATTCCCGCTATTCACTACGTACATTTCCTACCCTGAGCTATTCTATTTACAGCATTTGCGATCTTCTTCATCATTGCAACTCAATGGCTCATTCATGGTAAACAATAACTTCCCCACAAAAGCTCCTAGTATACATGAAATAATAATGTAACCATTGTAGTACATGAATAACAACATAATAATGTAAGAAACTCCCCACTCCACGGTGTACAAGACAGATCTAAGCAACTGTTCAGGGAAAGTTGGAATAATGCCAGACGTCAGACTTGAAGTGAAAAGCCACGAGTGGCCCATTGTCATGACATAAGGATTGCTAGAAGAATTTCTTGAAAGTTTAGAAATGGCTGCAATTTCTTCATCTGAAGAAGTTGATTTGCTCAGGCGAACTTGCTGGACTGCACGATGCTTCTCAGCAATTGCAATGTCCAACTCACGGCAGAAGCGATGCAACCATTGCAGGGCTAAAACAAGGAAAAATACACCAATGCAACTACCAGCAAAGCCTCCTTTACTTCTAACATGCCACGAATTAGCAATGAAACAGGTATCAACGGTGTACCAATTCCAAAGCATTGAAATTTTGCAGGCTGCAGCAGTACTTGTAGTACTGTTACTGCTTGACATATCCATACTACTCATATCCATTTTGGGCAGTTATTATATAATAGTGAGTATTCTTTAGTTTTCAATGACGAAATACAATTGCGAATTCTGAAACAAAGAAACCTGGTATAAGTCTTTATATACTCAACCCCAAGTCATGATAATCTGCTCATTCAGCCAAGGTATAATTGCTCATGAGCAGTTTAATCATGCACACTCTTTAGGTTCCAAAATAATTCTCGTAAATTTCTTGGAACCTGATATGCGAAAACCCCTACACCCTGCATAATGTTAAGCCGTTCGCTCTTTGATCGAATACCAAACCCAGAAAAGATGTTTACCTTCGGAAATATCTTGGTACCTTTTCCTTTCACGGATATTCAAAATCTATCGCCTTTACAATGAAGTCTGTGACGATAATACTTCAAGCATACTGCCCATCTATTTCTCCAAAGATTGACTACAGCTATTCCAAGTCATGTGACCTTTATATGATATCGGACTTGTCCTCATTCAAAGAGTATGTAGTAGAGTTGATCGTCTCCAACCAAGACTCGTATCTTACTGTGATAATAGAGTATAAAGACAAGAAAGACATTGTCAAAGTGCTTCGATACTTACGAGACCATGAAAAATTGCAGAACATAGTTCTGAATTCTAAGCACATTTACAGCTCGGCAGCAGTCCACTACAAGGGCGACGACAGGAACTTGGAAGACAGCTCTGGAGAGTTTGAGATTCCGCTTCCCTTCGAGTTGGTGGTACTTTGCTGGGACCGAGATTTGGATCGCCTCAGCGAAAGTACTATTTACGACCAGCAATATTTAAGAGTTTTGACGTTGCTACATGGCGGGCTGTTTTTACTTGTAGATAATGAGAAGAGCGCTATCAGTTTGGTGTACAGCGTGGAGTGGATCAGTGATTTGCTAGAGAAGATTCTTGTGCAGAGAACAAAGCATTTACTGTATTGTGAACCAAAGCCTGTGTACGACCCTCAATCATTGATCCGAATCTTGATTCCTAGTGGCTGGGACTCCTGGTCCAAGATCAAGTTGCTAGAGAGTTCTTTCAGGGGTGCCAATGGTAACAGTCTTTTGAAGGATGATGTAAACATACAAGATGTTGTTACTGCATACAAAGCCATAAGCGGTGAAGAGAAGGAGGAGAAGGAAGACAGGGAAATAGTAGGACTGGCTCAATCGAATGGTGTCAATTACCAAGAGTTTTTGAGCAACCTATCCCATAAGATAAAGTAACCGATTAATAAGTTTGTGAAGATACCTTACATATGGACTTAGTATATGTTCATCCCAGCTGATGGCCTATACCAACCTACCTATGGTACTTCTTCATCCTGCATAAAATGCCTGATGGTTTTCTCGAAGTTTTTTTTTTTTTTTTTTTTTTTTTTTTGGTTCAAATTTCAACGGAGCATTTTTCAAACCGCAAAGAGCCACCACAGAACTAACAACTAGGTCACCTTATCAGCCATCCACTTGCTTTCTATATCAGCTAGTGCTTCGCGACTACAGCTAGATGTCCGAACCAGAAGATCCGTTAGCTCATACCACGGCGAGATTGTCGATCTCACAGGTTAACAATGATGGAGTCGATGCTAATGAGACCAGAAACCAGTTGCTCCAGATGTTGAACTCTTCAAATAATGAAAGAAGGGAGTCGGTGGTATCTTTTGAGGATATAGACGAAGACAGCTCTAGTCCCAGTCCGGGACTTGCTAGTACGATTGCTAACAATTCCAAGTTGACACCTATTCCTAAACCCTCGAAGAGAAGAAGATCTTCTGTCCAGTCCATCACACCTGCAAATTCGAATAAGAAGGTCCATAAGAAAAAATTGAAGAAGATTAACGAGCCACCAGCATTTCAGTTGGCTGTACGTTCTAAGAAGAATCCTCCGCTGAAGCTGTTGTCGATACCACAATTGAGAGACTTGGTGTTGTACACTCTCACGCCTCATAGCAATGCTAAGCCTAACTGGATTGATATTGTAAAGAAAGAACAAATCAAAAAGTTTGTTGTTATTTTTGTTCCAGGATTAGAAATGGAAGATTTTGATTTGGATCAGAAGGAAGTTGCTAATGACGAGGTCAAAGCAGTCAACTTGGGTAAGAAGTCTACTGAAGAAGGAGTAATAGTAAACGACGAACAGAATGAGGAGGATGAAGTAGGAGATTTACATTTCTTCTATGACAACTTCACTACGTTATTGAAGACCACTTGTCCTGGTTCCAAAGATTCTATCTATCTGCCGTTTCATGCCTTTACTCACGTTCCATTCACCAGTAAAGAAAAGAGGAAGCTAATTGAAGATCTGAAGAGCCGGAAGTTGACATTGATAGATTTGTTGTTAGATAATGCAAAAATGGCAAAGTTTGGATACCCAGTACATTCAGAGAGTGAAGGAGCTGATAGCGAGGGGTATTATTCAACAAGAAAATTTGATCATGAAGGATCGCATACATTTGCCATGGACTGTGAATTTTGCAAAGCAGGAACTGGTAAAGTTCTTACCAGAATTTCGATCGTAAACTTTCAAGGCGAAGTTGTACTTGACAAGTATGTTCAACCAGAAGAGGAAATCACTGACTACGTCACAAAATACTCTGGAATCACTCCAGAGAAATTGGAAGGAGTTACAACAACTTTGAAAGATATTCAGAACGAGTTGCTAGAATTGGTTTCTCTGGACGACATATTAATTGGACATTCGTTAGAAAGTGACTTAAACGTCTTAAAGTTGAAACATCCTAGAATAATTGATACTGCATTGGTCTACGAGCATCCTAGAGGTCCGCCATCCAAGCCGTCTCTCAAGTGGTTGGCAGATAAGCATTTAAGTAGAAGTATCCAACAGGGCGAATCAGACAATTCTGGTCACTCTTCCGTGGAAGATGCACAGGCATGCTTAGATCTTATTAAAATGAAATTAATTGAAGGCTCTTGTTTCGGAACCAATATGACAGAAATGTCTATCTTTGAAAGATTGAACAAATCAATCGGAAAGCCGGTCTCCTCATTGCTCATAGATTATAATTCAAGCAATGGAGGAGGGGGAGCAAATTGCGCAACACAGGACGAAGAGTTATACCACCTAATTAAAAAAAAGGCATCCAACGATGACGAGATTATTGAAATTTTCGAAAAAGAAATCAATGGCGACTACAGCCTTGTGCTAGTTAAATTAAGAGAATTGGAATTTAATAGAGAATGGAGCACTCCTCCTTCAAATTTCAGTCCTAGGAATGATGAAACTACTGGGAAAGAAACTGCTCTTAAAAAGTTTAATGAAAGAATGACAAAGATATACAACGTATTACCAAACGACACTGGCTTAATCGTCACCTCGAGCCAAGGAAACCCCAGGGATATGATTAAATTGCAGGGTATACGTCGTGAATTCCAGAATGCTGAAAGGGCAGGAGAAACACCTGAAGTCAGCTGGGATTTCGATAAGGCATCGGCTCTTCTGGAGGCTACACTCAAAGCCCGTAAGGCCGTGACATTTTTAGCAGTGTACGCTGATAGTAAAAAAAATGCAGACAGTAACGAAGACGACGACGAAGAATGAATGATATAGAAAGTAATATGAAAGTATTACAGTGTATAATAGAACTTAAGTTATTTAATTAATATAATGTAAGGTATTCACTTTGGTTTGGTTTAGTCTCTTTTCCTTTTCTTCATATACAGATATATATGTATAGTCGTACTTCTGGTCAATCATCGATCAGCCTACTAACCCACCTAATAATGACAGTTCCTCTTCTTGTTTAGGCTCAGGAGGATCCAGGTTTTCGTCAAATTCATCGGAGTGTGGTGTTTGGTTCGTATGATCAACAATTGGAACTTCCTTATGGTATTTCCAGCTGTTCAAGTCTATTACGTCATCGGAGTTGAACCTCAAGCTGGGGTCATTACTGTCATCGACAGTGGTCTTTTGCCAACCCTTAAGGGACTCCAAACCGTCCAACTGTGGAGGAGAGTTGGTGAAAATCCAGGTGGTGGAAGGGGTTTGATTGGACTGTAAGTTCTTGCCTGATCTGAACTGATTCATTTACTATGCTATTGACTTAGTGTGGGGTAAATTGAAAAATATATGCTGCACTATAAAAACCGGTTATAGAAATTTAAAGTGATTGCTACAGAATAAACATAATTAATCTTAGGGGGTTAATCCCACTTTTTTATATTTACAAGTATTTATGCGAACGGTGAGAGAGCAATCTGTTCATATGCTCAATAGTTTAATATTGTTAATAGGAACAAGCCCTAAGGGATAATCAAGAGAAAAAAAAAAAAATTAAAGTACGCCCCAAAGGTTATGAGGCTCAATGCGATGGTGTTGTGTGCAGAGATGGGGTTACAGTTGTGCCAATACCATTTCCATGGGTTTGGCTCATCTTTCGTGCACTACCTGTGTGTGCTGCTCTACTTCGTGTCGTTCATCTTGCTGTTGCTGTTGCTGTTGCTGTTGAAGTTGCTGTTGAAGTATTTGCTGTTGCTGCTGCTGCTGCTGTTGCTGCAATTGTTGATGTTGTCGTTGTCTTAACTCCCTCTGTTTCTTTAATGCCTTCAGCTTGGCGCTCTCAAGCTTCTTTCTGATCTCATCTCTTCTAATCTCCTCTTGCCTCATTTTATGGTCGTACCATTTAATCATTTGCCTTGGTCTCATACCGTATATGGTTTCGTATTCACAGAATAAACAACAGCTCGGATCAGGCTTTTCTATTTGTTCGTTCACTGAACCCTTGTTCTTGTTCTTATTCTTCTTTTTCTTCTTGCTAGATCCAGAAGCTCCACCGGAACCAGGTTGTATTTTGTTCAAGATTTCCTCTTCCTTCTGGTCTAACATCTTCCCAATTCTCATTCTAGACTCGAGGCTCATGAGTCTAAGCTTCTCTTCGACGTTACTGTGCGTGGGAATCAACTTTCCGCTGGGATCGTACTCAAATGTGAATTCGCATGATGGGCCTCCATCGTCCTCATAATCATATTGATTATTGAACACTGTTCTTGAACTGTTTTCGCCGTTCTCAGTGTTAAGTTCCACCTCAATATGGTGAGTAGGATGATAATCGTAGTACATCGAGTCCAGTATTTCTCCAATATCGTAGTCATTTTGTCCTTCATCTACAACATCCTCAATTTCATCGTCATCGCCGTCAAACTCGCTGTCAGCATTCCCCTCATGAAGTCCTTCTTCGTCCTGAGTATCATATAAAGAAAAACCCTCACGTTTGGGCATGGCTACATTGTTCGATTTGAATATCTGTGCAATCTTATCCTGAAGATAATTGATTTCTGACTCTTGGAGGAGAGTGTTGTTGTCGTCAAGAGCTCTCTGTTGAGGCTGTGACAGGGTTTGTTCCTGAGACCGTTGTCTCTTCTTTTCTTGTTCTCTCTTGGCTAAGTACTTCCTCTGAATTCTCTCAATGACTTCCATTTTCTTAATTTCGGCCATCTTTTTCTCTGACAATCCATCCAGTTTACCATTCCCGTTCCCCTCTACTTCTTCAGCTTCTTCTGTCACGTCTTGGATCTTTTGATCTCGTACCAATTCTGACGACACCTTATCCAAGGCTTCGAGTAAGCTGTAATCAAATATAGGCTGCTGAGAACCGTTGGCATCGCTTCTGCTGATGCTGGGCATATTCTCATTCGGAAACGGCAGGAAATTCTCATCGTCTTCGAATTGTTTATCTATTGCATTCAGCCAAGAATTATAGTGCTTAGACACCAATTCGAATAAGCTCTGTGGATCAAGCTCACCGTTGCTGTTCAATGGCAAACCAGTTGGTTTGTGGACCTTCGATGGATCTATCTTTTCGCTGTCATCTAGTCGACCAGTATCCTTATCCATATCGCCCTTCTCTACTATATGTATTTACCAGTATTTACCTATCACACGTAGTTACTTGTTCAGAAGGTCTACAGTAAAGAAAATTTGAGAAGAACCAAAAAAAAAAAAATTGAAAAATAGACAAATCCATGTTACACAAAGTTGGTGATCTATACCAGGGTCAATTTGCACCCATTGAAGCAAGGGTAGGACAGTGGAGGTGGAGAAAAGGTGGAGGTGGAGCAAAAGGCAGATGGTTCCTTAGGTTTCTGTTGCAAAGCTTATAAGGTATGCTGGTTTACGTTAAACATGTTTTGTCCAATTGTTTCATGCATTTACACTAATCTAATCTATAAATCTAATTTGATCAACATTAATAGGTATCTCGTATTTATTTTATCTTGCTCAATCCTTCTTCAATGTTCTTTGCTTCTCTGCATTTTGAACAACCTTTTCATCGATGAACAAACCCTTCCTTCTCCTAATACCATTCATATACTTCCTTGCAACGTTTTCACGCTCAGCAAACTCTCCTAATTCTTCCAACTCTTCCTCAGTGTGTGGAACCCAGTATGGATTAAGGTCTAAAATATCAAAGCCATCGAACACCAATTGAGGACTAGCGGCACCTGAAGTCTTTTTCCTAATATCTTCAGAGAACCCAAAAGCCTCGATGACTGGAATTCTAGCCTCAATCGTGAAAAATGGTGTCCCCTCTTTCATCTCTTCAGATATTATAGTACCACCCCTTTGTTGCACTACCCCATACACTTTACCTAATACTTCTGCAGAAGCCTGAATGTCACAGGTGTACATTGCAAGGTACAATCTTGGACCCTTAGTCAAAAATTGTTCGTGAATCATATCTCTTGTCATGGTAATAAGTCTACCGGAAATATTGATTGGAATATCGTCCTCGTCAATTTCGTGTTCTTGCACTTTCACGACAACAAGTGTACCAATAAGTTGCTCAGAAGCTAATGGACCTTCATTAGTCGACAATTGGAATCCATTGATAACATTATTGGCATAAGTAAATCTATTATCAGCTGATCCATCCGGATTGAAGAACCTACCAAACCTGTTTTCTTGAGCTGGTTCAATCAACATATTAGCACCGACTCTCTTGGGACCAAAGCAAATTATTTGGTTAATGAGTTCTTCCACAGAATTAATCTTTAGTTGAGAAGAAATCAACTTCAAAAATGCCGTAATCTTTTCATCATCGTCTTCCTCACTTTCATTTTTAAATGCAGAAACAAGCTCATTTTTGAGAATTTTTAAGTCCCCATCCTTCTTATGCACTATATCATATAGCAACTGCTCATTCTTGTTGAGGAATTTAACAATCTTTGGTGGAAGCGAATACAATTGAAATGAGAGCTCAACACCGCCAACCACACGATCATCTTCATCCTCTTCACCCTCTTCGTCGTAATCCTCTTCATCAGAATCATCATGGACCAATTCTTTCGCAACTTCTTCATCTTCTCCTGTTATACCTTCTCTAAATGGAATCACAGGTTCCTTCACCACGACTTCACATCCCTTAGCGAAACGTTCTTCCAAATCTTTTAAGCATCTCTCCAAGTGAAGTTCTCCAGCAACGCACATAATAAGTTCACCAGAGTCATCGTCGGTGTACCATTCTAAAACAGGATCTGCCAATGCTAATTTAGTCAAACCTTCTTCCAATTTCTCCAACTTCATTGGATTCGTTGGTTCAATGGCAAGCTTCATGATTGGTTTATTGTGGATTAAAGTTGATGTGGAGGCAAAGTTGATGTAAGGCTCCACTTGATCCTTGGAGCAAATAGTGGCATTTTTTAACGATAATCCACCCAAACCAACCACTCCTACGATATTCCCAGCAGGTACTGTCTCCATTCTCACAAATTCACGACCCATAATCAAATACAAATCTTTGATTTCAACATCTTTAATGATTTGGTCCTGCTGAGAATTCGAAGGATCATATTTGGGGCTAATTACAGTGACTGTTTGACCCTTTGCTAAACTACCAGAAAAGATACGTGTGAATGCAATTAAAGTTTCAGGAATGGATGGCTCATCATCTTCACTATCTTGATGGAAAGCTTCAAAATCATCATCTTCTACTTCCCATTCAAATGCACTTTTTTCATCACCAGTAACAACTTTGAACTGATCATCATTAGACCTTTTCTCGTCAGATAAGACAGCTGCTGCCTCAGAAGCTTTTCTCGCCAACTCCCTAGCTCTTCTGCTTCTTTCAGCAAGTTCCTCAGGGGACAAGACTGATGCGTTTTCACCTGAGCCTGTAATAATATCCTTAGGTAATTCATCTTGCGGGACAGAAACCATCTTCGAAATATAGGCAACAGTATTCAAGTCAGGATTTGAAGATTGACATTTGTGTAAAGATTCGTCAAGTTCAGTGCTTATTTTGCTTCTTTCGTCTCCTAAACTTTCGCTCAAGATTTTGTCCATTCTATCACTTTGGGATTCTGCAGGGCTAGGTAACTTATCAATCACAGATCCTAAGAGTGCATGACTTAATGGGATCCATTGTGACATGATCACATTCAACAAAGACTTGTACTCTTTACTTCTTAAATCCCTTGGACTAACTTTGGCACCCAATTTCCCAATGATTGATTCCAATTTCTCCTGGTTTCTATCAATAACACAATTCTCATACAATGCCCAAATCTGGTCCATCACCAAACTTACAAATATGGGTTTATAGTTTTTGACCTTGACTTTCTTCCCAGGTAAAATTTTCTTGTTCTTCATATCCAAATAGAAATCTCCCCAGAGAGTTTTAGTTAGTATCTTATGGGAAAATCCCAACTTAGCAGCATATATCTTTGCAAATGTGTTAACGCTGAACCCCCAGCCATCGGCAGCGGATGCAAACACAACATTATTCAATTCCGGAGAGAAGTAGATATCTTGATCAGACTTCTCAACGTATTCTTCAGGATTCAACCCGCTTTCTCTCCAATTTAAGTCATCCTCCATTCTATCACCCGAATACAACGCTCCGATGACCGAGTTCACTTGTTCGATAACTCTAGAAAGTTGCTGGTAAGCTTCCAACGGAGTCAACTTCCATTCTATGAATAACCTGTCAATCTTGTTCAATACGAGGATTGGCTTCAATTTATCCACCCAACATTGTCTCAAGACGTTGACAGTTTGCGAACATACTCCCTCGATCACGTCTACAACCACCACGGCACCGTCACACAATCTCGATGCGGTCGAAACTTCCAGCGAGAAGTCGATATGGCCCGGAGAATCAATAAGATTTATGAGGTATTCTTTGGTGGTAGGAGAGTCCTCACCTTGTAATTGTTTCATTACCTTGAAGTACAAGGATATAGCAGATGCCTCCATAGTAATACCACGTAATTGTTCATCTTCTCTAGAGTCTAAGTACCGGACTTTCCCAGCCATTCTTTGCGAGATGATTCCGTTGGTGGCCAATAGCGAATCACTAAGCGACGTCTTACCATGGTCAACGTGGGCCAATATGCAAATGTTTCTAATGCAATCGGGATCCAGCTGAAGAGATGTTATAGTTTCCGCCGAGAGTCTCATCTTGATAGTGAAGAAGTAGCCAACCGAAGGGTACAGAAGAGAGAGATGACAAACATATGATGGCAACTACTGCTGAAGGTGTGCAACTTGCGATTTGCATATAGGAAGTATTATATGCAGGCACATCATACTTTGCTGAGAGATGAGCATCGTCGCTTCACCAGATACAGCTGGGCTGGGGAGTCAGCAGTTAGGAGGTCTTCAGCATCGTTCCACTGATTCTAGTATTTCCGAAGTTTTTTGGAGCGACAGTTGGATCTATGACGCTATTTTGTCCGCTTTGCTCCACAGAATTGAAGCAACATCTACTCCAGCCTAAGCTTGCAATAATCTCATGCGTCAACCAGAACTGTATATACCCGTTCAACATGTCCATGGAGGAAATCAAAAGTGAGAATTTAATATTCGAGGTTAATTCTAACGATATCATGTATGGAATGAAGCAGAAGCTAATGAAATCAAATGTTGACAGTAGGATAGCCGACTTCATGAGTAAAGAAGATGACCTAGTAGACTAGACTGGGGTATATATATATATATATATATATATATGTATATTATATATTTGTATGCGATACAGGCATACTTTACGCAAGGAATAGACCGTGTTCACTCACAAAAACTAAACATTTTAGAATGGTGGTATGCAATTACCAAGGAAGTGAAACTCTGATCCACTAAATCTCGACCAACTTGACAGTACCAGGACAATAGCTCAACCCCATACCATGGTGTACCCAGCTAACGTCTGGCTACTCGGAATGGCCCGCAGCCGTAGCTACATGCAGGACAAACAACTTTCTCTCAATGGCTGCAATTGTTCTAGCTGAGCGCGTGAAGATTCGCCTCGGAAGAGACCTGAGTAATTAGCTACGGGACATTTTCGTCAATTCTTCGTACCATGAAACTTATTTTTTCAGGCTTCAAGATCTTACAAGTTGATTCCCTACATAGTGCCATCCATTGCTGATCGAAATTCACAACTGAACTACTGATACACCTGTAGATTGCCTTCTTCTTACAATTGCACAGGTTCCAGCTTCTTAAAATTGACCGTTCCGGGTAATTGCGTGCGTGCACCAAAACGGATTTTCCAGTTCTGTCACTTTCACTCAAAATTTTCCCAGCACAATGTAGAGACCACCAAGTAGTCAGATCTTAAACCAAACATAATCCAAAGTATTGTATAAAATTCCAGTGTGAATTACCACCGAAACAACCAAGCCGTATTTTCGTCAGCACTCCCCTGTTTAAAAAATCAAAATTTAATTGTAAAATTCATTAATTGCCCATTTGGAGTTTCTCGAGAATCGACACCTAATCTGAAATTATCATAGAAAAAACGAAAAACATATAACTCCTGTTCGACAAAAGTTCATCGATATTTTCAAACCTCCTTTTAAATTTTTTTACCTTAATTTATTATAAACAAATTATTTTAGCGCGACCCGTCACTATCTTGTGACCAAAAACACACAAACACACTACAAGTACAAACATACACACAAAATGTCAGACGAGTGGAAACAAACTTTAAACATTCCTGTCAAAGACAGTAGACCTCAAACTGAAGATGTCTTGAACACAAAGGGGAAGACATTTGAAGACTTCAATTTGAAAAGAGAATTGTTGATGGGTATTTTCGAAGCTGGTTTTGAAAAACCCTCCCCAATTCAGGAAGAATCTATTCCAATGGCCTTGGCTGGAAGAGATATATTGGCCAGAGCCAAGAATGGGACAGGTAAGACTGCATCCTTCGTTATTCCATGTTTACAACAAATAAAACCAAAAGTAAACAAAATCCAAGCTTTGATCTTGGTACCTACTAGAGAATTAGCATTACAAACTTCACAAGTTGTAAGAACATTAGGAAAGCACTTAGGTATCCAATGTATGGTTACCACCGGTGGAACTCAATTGCGTGATGATATTATGAGATTAAAAGATCCTGTCCACGTTCTTGTTGGTACATTAGGTAGAGTTTTAGATTTAGCCACAAGAAGGTGTGCAGACTTCTCAGAGTGTCCATTATTTGTAATGGATGAAGCCGATAAGATGCTTTCAAGAGAATTTAAGGGAATAATTGAACAAATTTTGGAATTCTTTCCTGAAAACAGACAATCTTTGTTATTTTCAGCTACTTTCCCTCTTGCTGTCAAGTCATTCATGGATCAACACTTGAACAAACCATATGAAATCAATCTTATGGATGAATTAACGTTGCGGGGTATAAGTCAGTTCTATGCCTTCGTAGAGGAAAAGCAAAAATTGCATTGCTTGAACACGTTATTTAGTAAACTTCAAATTAATCAATCGATTATATTCTGTAATTCTACCAATAGAGTTGAATTATTGGCAAAGAAGATCACTGAATTGGGATACTCCTGTTATTACAGTCATGCTAAGATGCCGCAACAGGCTAGAAACAAGGTTTTCCATGAATTTAGACAAGGTAAGGTTCGTAACTTGGTTTGTTCTGATTTATTGACCAGAGGTATTGATATTCAAGCGGTTAATGTGGTTATCAATTTCGATTTCCCTAAGACTGCTGAAACCTATTTGCATAGAATTGGTCGTTCTGGTAGATTTGGTCACTTAGGTTTAGCTATTAACTTAATGAGTTGGAACGATCGTTACAATATGTATAAGATTGAACAAGAATTGGGTACCGAAATTAAACCAATCCCTCAAGTTATTGACAGAGGCTTGTACGTTGCTGAAAACGAAGATGCCGTTCCAAGACCATTTAAAATTGACGAATTACCAAAGGGAAATGAATCTCAAGTTAAAGGATATGCTTACAGAGGACAACCAGATCAAAGTGAGAAACCAGCGCCAGCTCAAGTGCCAGCATATGGTCAAGTTCAGGCTCCATACCCCCCTCAGCAACATTTTCAACAAGTCCCACCACAACAATTTCAACAAGCTCCTCCTCCACAACAATTTCAAGCTGGACCACCAGGTGGGTATCAAGCACATCCACAATATAGTCAATATCAACAGCAGGCTCCACAGGAACCAGCACAACCTCAACAGTATTAAGCAGGGAATATTATAGACCAACGCTACGAAGTATGACTTGATGATATTTATGATGGAGAATGAGAAGAAGATTAAAGAACGCCCCCAAATCTGAAAAGCAAACAAAAAAACAAATAAGAAAACATAAGAACTACAGACAAGAGAATGAAGTTCCCACGGAGAAGCTTATCAAGATCTCGCGAAGATGCGGCATGAGCTTAACGAGCACAAATCTAGAGATGGGGAAATATGTATGTAGGAGCTCTCGAGAGAGAAAGAAAGGAAAGAAAAGAGTGAAAATAGAGTACGCAGATGTGCAGGTGAGGTTACCAGACTAACACTATTATAGAGAAAGCTAGTTGAAGTTCTATAGCAACAGCATCGACAACAACGAAAAGAGAGACAGGTTATTAAGTTCTTTAGAGAGAAGATACATACCGAAATAAAGTGAACGGGGCCTTCACAGCACCAAAATGTACCTAAAGTGTACCAAAATGGAATCTACAATCAATCTGTCTATTATCTCCATAGAACTCCAAACTGATACTATAGCAGAGTTTAGCCTTATAAAAAGGAGAAAGAGTAAGCCAAAGGGCCAAGAGCCAAATGGCATAACAAAAAAAAGGAAAAAAAAAATAATTTAACCAGAAAAAAATAAGAAAACAATAAAAAAGAAACCAAAAAAAAAAACCATAAACCAATGAAAAGTACCCCAAAAAAACATAAAAAAAAGTTACATAGTTGGACGGTTGTTTTAAAGCTAAGTGTATATACAACGAAATAGTAGCTAGTTTGAATTACCAATCAAATAAATAATCTATGTAATGTTTGTGGTAGAATCTTTCCATCGCATCGCTTCAATGAGTGCCATTTCTTGCCTGGCTTAATTAACGCACATAATTAAACTTTAGGATTATGTGCAGGACCACATGAAAATTTTTCTAATTATGACTCTGGTTACCTAATGATCTAGTAGTGGGGCAGAGGAGAAGGAAGTATACTACCTGCTTAGTGTAATCTCATCTGAAAATCTCTAAGTTTCACTTGGTAGGAAGCGGAAAAAAAAATAATAGGTAGACTTGAAAATTTCACTTCTTTCTTCTTCTTCTTCTTCCTTTCTTAACTTTTAGTTCAGTTCATTCATTTATATTAGCTCTTATACGCGTGCCTAACTTGTATTCAGTACAATGTGTGGTATTTTAGGAATAGTTCTCGCAGACCAACAGCAAAATGTTGCTGCCGAGCTCTTTGAAGGTTGTATGTTTTTACAACATAGAGGACAGGATGCAGCCGGAATCGTTACCTGTGGTAACAGAGGTAGATTCTACCAATGTAAGGGTAACGGTATGGCCAGAGATGTCTTCACTCAAAAGAGAATGAACAGCTTGGTGGGTAACATGGGGATTTCTCATTTGCGTTATCCAACTGCTGGGTCCTCTGCAGGTAGTGAAGCACAACCATTCTACGTCAACTCCCCATACGGGATCACCTTGTCCCACAATGGTAACTTGGTCAATTCGATTGAATTGAGAAAGTACTTGGACGCTGAAGTGCACAAGCATATCAACACTGATTCAGACTCTGAGTTGTTGATCAACGTCTTTGCTTCTGAGTTGGATAAGTTCAACAAATCAAGAGTTAACAACCAAGATTTGTTCTCTGCATTGACTGGAACCATGGAAATGGTTAGGGGTGCTTACGCATGTGTTGCCATGCTTGCAGGTTATGGTATCATCGGATTCAGAGACCCCAATGGTGTCCGTCCGTTATTGTACGGAGAAAGAATCAACAAGACAGGCTCAAAGGATTACATGTTGGCTTCTGAGTCAGTCGTATTGAAGGCTCACGGATTCCATACCTTCCGTGATGTTCGTCCAGGTGAAGCAGTTATTATTTTGAAGGATGGATCTGAACCCGAATTCAGACAAGTTGTAGAACCTAAGATATTTGCACCAGATATTTTCGAGTATGTGTACTTTGCCAGACCAGATTCAGTTCTCGATGGAGTTTCTGTATACCACTCTAGAATTGAAATGGGTAACAAGTTAGCCAATAAGATTATCAAGGTTTTTGACAAACCAAGTTACAACGATATCTTGGAAGAAATCGACGTGGTTATCCCAGTTCCTGACACTGCTAGAACCTCAGCATTGCAATGTGCCGTCAAGTTGCATGTTCCTTATAGAGAAGGTTTCGTCAAAAATCGTTATGTTGGACGTACTTTCATCATGCCAGATCAACAAGAGCGTAGATCATCAGTTCGTAGAAAGTTGAACGCAATGGAATCGGAATTCAAGGGTAGAAGTGTCTTGTTAGTTGATGATTCGATTGTCAGAGGAACTACATCCAAGGAAATTGTTGCCATGGCCAGAGAAGCTGGTGCTAAGAAGGTGTATTTTGCTTCATGTGCTCCTCCAATCAGATACAACCATATATATGGTATTGATTTGGCAGACACCAAGGCATTAGTTGCTTACAACCGTACAGACGAAGAAATTGCTCAAGAAATTGGTGCTGACAAGGTGATTTACCAAGATTTGCACGATTTATTCGATTCATGTAAGGGTAAGGGAGTCGAAAACTTTGAAGTTGGTGTCTTTACTGGAGAATACATCACTGGAGTGGAAGACAACTACATACAAGAATTGGAGAAGATTAGAGCTCAAAATCAAAGATTGAAAAGTGCCAGCGAAAAGCATGGATTGTCAGTCGATGCATGCATAGATTCACAAGATATGGTTGACGTCAAGGCTGAAGTTGATCCAAGTATGTACAACTCTGGAGATTACTTACAGTAGAAAGGAGTATAGAGAGAAGAAGGACAGAAAAATACATTAAATAGACAGAGAAATGGGGATATTAATATAAATTGAAATGCATAGATAGAAATAGTATTACGATGAATGTAGAGAGAAATTGTAGCGCGTGAGAGGGTGGATGTGGAGAGTAGAGAAGTGAGACAGAAGAGGAGTAAGAAGAAAAGGGGAGCGGAGCAAAAGGAGAACGAGAGTGTAAGAGAGAGAGAGATGGAGGGAATGGAAATGAATGTAGAAAGAAATTGTAGTGTGCGCCAGAGTGAAAGAGAGTGTGTGTGTATGTGTGTGTGAAGGTGTGTGAGAGAGCGAGTGAGAGCACTCGCCAATGCTCCGAAATCTCTCAACCTATGCCTACAGTTAACCGCGTATACCACGCATCACTACACCAACAATCATTACCAGCAGTAGAAAATATCCGACAATATCTGCCCTAGGTAACTTGAAGCGGAAAGAAGCAAAAAAATAATAAAAATAAAATCAAGTATAAGAATAAAAAGAAAAAAAAACATGAACAAAATAAAAAAAATAACTTGAAATGCAGAACGCACCCACCAGCTAACAGTTGGAGCCCATTGGATGAAGAAGAGCGAGCTCTACTCCGTATTCTAGCATTAAACCTTACCGTAACCCCTGATCTCATGTTCGAAACCGTTGCATTGGTCTACACAATAGACAACCTACCTACGCATCAACATTATGTCAGGTTCAGGCCCATGGTGGCTCAAGAAAAATAATTCTCTATTGTACTGGGGAGATGCGCCAAAATAAACAGACCAAACCGCACCCTAAGGACGCACCAAAATGGGCACCGAAACACCACAAAAGACAGGCGCCAGCTGGAAGAATGCCTTGCTTAGGAACGGTATACAGCGCAGCACACCACGTATGGTGCATGCTGCCTGCTGCTTGCTGCGTGGTGTCTAATTTGCAAGGCTGGGTTAGAAGGAACATATAACCAATGGAGATGAACTTTTATACACCTATACTTTATCTGTGTTTATTTGTGTCTAAATCTTAGTTCCTACACATTGCACATGACACATTATGCTACGCTAGTGTTTGACATTCTTACATTTTTCAGCGCCTCATGTACCCACGACCCACTACCCACTGCTCACCAATCTTCTACACCTCTAACCTTATGCCCTCCCCTCGTCCTCTAACCTCATCCTCTCCCCTCGTACTTACACCCTGCAACTCACCTTCTCAGAAGCTCACATTTTTTCGCCCATCTCTGCTCTTCTGCCTCCTATCTCAGATCCAACCTTATCTTCCTACCAATTTAAACTTACGCGTCGCTCCTCCCCATGCACATCAATTTTTCTTTCTTTTTTCTTCCTCCACCACAAAGCGCTGCGAACACTGCGACGTCTGTCCTTAAGGAAAACGTGAAGGACAACGGTGGAAAAATTCTCACGAAATTCTTTCGATCTTTCTTTCTCTTCTTCTTGTTTCTTCTTCTTGTTTAGTTTATGGGATTATTGACTCTCTATCTTTCAGGACAATTAATATACCTTCTCAAAAAGAATAGACACAAATTTCAGGACAAGATGGATAGTATTGCTAACAACGGTCCGTTATCGATCATTTCATATTGCGCGTCTTCAATCTTGATGACCGTAACAAACAAATATGTCTTACTGGGTTACTCGTTCAACTTGAACTTCTTCCTTTTGGCTGTTCAATCAGGTGTTTGTATCGCCACCATCGCCACCTTAAAGGCATTTGGCGTTATCACCTACCGTCAATTTAACACCGATGAAGCCAAGAAATGGTCTCCAATCGCTTTCTTACTTGTTGCTATGATCTACACCTCTTCGAAGGCTTTACAGTTCTTGTCAATCCCAGTTTACACTATTTTCAAGAACTTGACCATTATCTTGATTGCTTACGGTGAAGTTATATGGTTTGGCGGTAAGGTTACCTCTATGGCTCTTGGTTCATTCTTGTTGATGGTTTTCAGTTCCGTCATTGCCTGTTACGGTGACTCTTCTGCTGCCAAGACTGCTGAAGATACCTTTTCCTTGTACGCTGGATACTTTTGGATGCTTACCAACTGTTTCGCAACCGCCTCTTTCGTCTTGATCATGAGAAAGAGAATTAAGTTGACCAACTTCAAGGATTTTGATACCATGTACTACAACAACTTGTTGTCCATCCCAATCTTGTTGGTATGTTCTTTAGTCTTCGAAGACTGGTCCCCAACTAACGTTGAATTGAACTTCCCATCTGATAACAGAACTGCCACCATTTTAGCCATGATCTTCTCCGGTGCCTCTTCCGTTGGTATTTCTTACTGTTCTGCTTGGTGTGTCAGAGTTACCTCTTCTACCACCTACTCCATGGTCGGTGCATTGAACAAGTTACCAATTGCCTTATCTGGATTGATCTTCTTTGACGCTGTTGTCAATGTTGCATCTGTTTCATCCATTTTTGTTGGTTTTGCTGCTGGTTTGGTCTATGCTGTTGCCAAGCAACAACAATCGAAGGAACAAGCTGCTCCAAAGTTGCCAAAATAAGTTTGATTTCGAGAGAGAGCGAACTTGCTTTCTTGATGAAATGGGAGTGATAAATATATCAGAAGGATGAGGAATGTAGTGGAGAAAGACGGAAATAGAATAAAAGGAGTGTGTGTGTGTGGTGATATTGATGGATACAGCTTGAAATCGACGTCACTACTCGAGAACTCTTCATGATACCGAACTGGTACTGTGAGTGGAAATGAGAGAGGAGACTAGATAAGAGAATGAACTTGATTGTTTTTCTTGTTACCTCTGGACTTCTGAATAAATAAGGAAGAGCTTTAACCAGGGGCAACATTTATATATATACATATATATATATAATTGTTAACTTATATGTATCTTACTTCATATTTTAATTTATAATTTGTTAGAGAAGAGCGTGTAGTGCGAGTAGTGCCAAACAGCAGATCAGGACTGATCGGTGGAACACCAGAACGTAGAGAGAGTTGAACACCGAAAGTCTAATTGCTGACACTTTGACTATACGGACAACAATAGCGGCAGAGTCCGCTCCTTAGTAACGCTCCTACAACCGGCACACTAACACTACCTATCAGTGCACTAACACTACCTAACAGTGCCTGATGCTCTCTCGCTTCTCACCAAATCAATTTTTCGTTACCCCATTGAGATTATTTTTTTTTTTTTTTTTTTTTTTTCACTTTTCTTATTTTGCGCAAACGTCAAAACATCGAAATCAAAAATAAATAGCCGTAGAAGGCAGACTTTATCCACCAAGTATTTCAGCATCAGTCCGAAGGTCGAACCTTGAAGTAGCAAAGAAGGAAAGACAGACATAGCAAAACCAAGAAAAGTAAAAAAAAAACGAAAAAAATTACAACTTTGGAAACTAATAACATATAGATTTCTGAATCACATTTTTTCTTTTTAAGGGCAATCAAGACTGGAAGACCGAAAGTATTAACAGCTTGTAAATATGTCATTGGAAGCACTTTCTTCTTGTTTGGAGCTTTCCCTTCAACCACAGCATGCCAAGCAGGCAGAATCACAATTGAAGTCTCAAGAATCTAGTCCTGGGTTCCCGATTACTCTTCTCCAAGTAATCTCATCGAAAAATCTTCAGCTTCCAATTCGTCAAGCCGGAGCGGTATTCTTCAAGAACTTGATTCGTAGGAAATGGAGTAACGAAGACGGACAGCATTTATTCACACCCGCAGATGTAGCGTACGTTAAGACTGAAATTGTAAATATCATGATTCAATTGCCTAATAACTTGCAAATCCAATTGGGGGAGTCCATTTCAATCATTGCAGAGTCAGACTTCCCTCATCAATGGGAAGGTTTAATCGATGAATTGGTAGGCAAATTGTCACCCACTGACTTTTTAGCAAACAAGGCCATTTTGATTGTAGCTCATCTGATCTTCAAGAAATGGAGACCGCTCTTCAGATCTGACGAATTGTTCTTAGAGATTAAGCATGTTTTGGATAAGTTTGCAGAACCATTCTTGCAATTGTTGACCAAAGTTGATCATAATATTGATGAGGCACTTGCAAAGGGAGACAAGGCTTCTTTGATTATTTACTTGGACAATTTACTATTACTCATTCAGATCTACTATGACTTGAATTGTCAAGACATTCCCGAATTCTTTGAAGATAACATGAACAGAGGGATGGCTATTATGCACAAGTACTTGACTTTACAAACCAAGTTGGTGACGGACCCTAACGATGACGATGAGGTTGACGTGTTGATCAAGATCAAGACTTCAATCGTTGAGTTGATTTCATTGTACATAAGTAGGTACGCAGATATATTCGAGCCATTAATTGAGAGTTTCATCACTACGGTCTGGAATATGTTGATTGGGCAGGGGGATGATGTTTACGTGACAAAGCAGCCTAAGTTTGATTTATGCGTGGTAAAGTCTTTGCTGTTTTTGACATCGGTAACCAAAATGGCCACCTACTCTGGTTTATTTAACAATGAATCTTCCATCAAAGAGATCATCGAGAAGATTATCTTACCTAATATTTATTTTAGAGAAGTTGATGAGGAATTGTTTGAAGATGAACCAATCCAGTATGTGAGAAGCGATTTAGAGGGTTCCGATTTTGATACTAGAAGAAAATCTGCAACTGATTTCCTCAGAGAGTTGAAGGATGTCAATTCCGAATTGGTTACAAATACTGTAATGACTTACGTAAATCAATTCTTACAAGCCAATGAAGCTGATTGGAAGAACAAGGATATCGCTATATACCTTTTCTCATCTCTTGCTGCAAAGGGTTCAGTTACCAATGTTGGAGTCACATCGACGAACGTGTTGGTTGACGTGGTTAAGTTCTTTAGTGAGAACATCGCCAAGTATTTGATTAACTCTACAAATGATACACATCCGATTTTAAAATCTGATGCAATCAAATACATTTTCACATTCAGAAACCAATTGACAAAGGAGCAACTTGTTCAAATCTTCCCGATGTTATTCTCTCACTTACAAGAGACCAACACTGTGGTGTATACTTTCACAGCGATTACCATAGAAAAATTGTTATCAATGACTAGCTTTACAGATATAAACCACTCACCTGTTTTCACCAGTTCCGATATTCAACCATTTGCACAAGACTTACTTACTCATCTTTTTCAATTGATATTACAAAACTCTTCAGCACCAGAGAAATTATCTGAAAATGAGTTTCTAATTAAGTGTATCATGAGAGTTTTAATAACTGCTGAGAGCGAGGCCATTACTGCGGAATTCAGATTGAGCCTTATTGAACAACTTCTAAAGATGATATCAATTATTTCAACAAATCCATCTAACCCGAAGTTTTCTCACTATGTTTTTGAAAGTTTGGGTCTTTTAATAAAATACAGCAATAAATCTAACATTTCAAATCTTATTCAAGTCATCTTACCTTCCTTGTTAACTATCTTGGGTAATGACGTGCAAGAGTTTGTTCCTTATACATTCCAAATATTGGCGTTTATGCTTGAAGAACTTCCAAGTTCGGAGCCATTACCAGAATCGTACACCCAGCTCATAAAACCATTGTTATCCCCTAGTGTCTGGGAATTCAGAGGAAATATCCCCGGAATTACCAGATTACTCATTGCTATATTGAAGCAAGATCCTCAAGTCTTTGTTGAAACTGAGCAGAGTTTAACGCCGTTATTGGGTGTTTTCCAAAAGCTTATTGCATCCAAAGTAAATGACGTGTATGGATTTGAACTTTTGGAGGCCATTTTCTTATACATACCATTGAACTTTTTGAATACCTACGTAAAGCAAATTGCAGTTGTTCTTCTTACCAGACTAAAGGCTTCGAGAACTGAAAAATATGTGAAGAGGTTTGTTGTATTTATCTTCAGCTTGACCTGTATCCCACTTAACCCTGAATTGAATCAAAGAACACATGGTTTAGTAAATAGTGACTTCGTCATAAACTTCATTGACTCGGTTCAGGATGGTGGGTTATTTGCGCAAATATTCAACTCGTTCATCCTTCCAACCACGGCATCATTTGCCAATTTGCAAGATAGAAAGATTGCAACTTTGGGATTACTGGAAATTATTCATAGTAGCCACTTCACATCTACATATGGCCAACTTTTGGTACCTACTGTTGAGCAATTATTGACTAATGTCAAGGCATTGGGAGGTATTCAAAGAGAAGTGTCCTTGGCAGCAAACGGCGCAACGGTAATGGGCGGTGCAGCCTCTGTTTCGACGTTCAACGAATTGGACTTAGAAAGTTCTGCATTTGGTTCGACGTTCTCTAAGATCATCTCCATCCTGCCTAAGCCTTTCGACCCTTTGCCAGAAATTAAGGGCAACGACCAAGCTACCATAAAACAAGCCGTCTTAACCAACTTAAAGAGATTGGGTCAAGACGGAATATTTTCTCAACTTTCGGTTGAGAATCAACAAGTGTTGAAGGAACTCGGTCTCTAGTATTATATATATTTACTAATAACTACATCATAACTCTATTCATGCGTCTGTATACCTTTATTATTACACACCTAAATACAAAATTTAAATACTTTAGTCGCTTTCGTTTAGTTTTTTGTTCTTTCTTTTTAATTCATTTTGCTTGTTCGTCAATTGTCTAATAGATTTTTATACTCGTACATTAAAATTCCCATTTCGTCCCATTGGTGCATTTCCCTGCCAGGGGAGGCTACAACTACTCAACAGATTCATTAATCAAGTTCTCAAATATCGCATCATCTTCTTGAATAGCTGCAGGGATCGAAGTAGGCGCGGTTGAACCGGTTGCAATGCCCTCCTCCGTAGTCGGTCCAGATGTTGAAGACGTAGTAGATGCTGAGGAAGATGCTGAAGATGCTGTTGTGGATGCAGGTGTGGTGAGTGGCACGGCACCGTTGGTATTACTGCTCAGTATTCCTGGAGTGTCAGCCTGCGAGCTAGGAGATGGAGTATTTGATTCCGAGATGGGATTACTTTGCTGAATTGTACCATCTGCAGCTGACTGTTGCGGGTCCTTCTCTGTGCTGTCGTTCTTTTCCTTCTCTTCCAACTCCTGCAATTTCTCCAATCTTTCCTTTTCGGCAATCTCGGCAGCTGTCAAGAACCTACCACCTTGTCCACGCGGTCTTCTCATAGCGTGTTTATGTCTCGATTCATGTAAGTACGGCTTTCTTGTTCTTGCGATCTTCAAGTTCTCTTCAAGCTTGGCTCTGGCTATACGTCTCTTCAAGATTCTGTGGTATTGCTTAGCGTTCACATAGAATGGTTGCTCAGCTGGCGGCTGTTGTTGCTGGTGCTGGTGCTGCTGGTGTTGTACTTGCAGATGTTGCTGCTGATGCTGTTGCTGCTGAAGTGGCATGCTTCCTTGTGTGGTGGATTCTGGAGTATGGAAGTAAGTTGAAGCCTGCGTAGTGGATGCGGAACTGGAATGGTCATATAACCCATCACTACGAGGTGCCGACTGACTCACTACGCCCGGGATCTGGTGCGTTTGAGTGAGCTGCGACAGCTCGTGTTGTCGGTCATAGTATGGAATATTGGAGGCGCCTGGTGTGGGATTTGCTCCACCATTCGGCGAAACGTTTTGCACATTATTGGCAGGGTTGTTATTGTTGACATTGGGGTTGCTATTATTGTTGGTATTGGAAGCCGTGTGCGGGTTATAGTATGTTGGGGATGGGTCCTGGTAGTAAGCCTCTGGAACTGGGTTATGTAGAGAAGTCATAATCTGGAGTTATCTTTTTGCTTTTGCTGTTTATATGGAGACTAAGTCGAATGGGCTCGGCAGACTCTCTCAGTTAAATGCTTGTAATGTTGATCTGTATCTCTATTAAGTTGAGATCACAATTTCTTGAAAACAAACAACAATTTCGCAGTTTTGAATGTATAGGAGTAGATTCACAGCGATGTGGTATTAAGTCCTGTTCCTGTTTACACCTATTGGCTGCTCTTATATCTGTTGTAGCCGTTTCCTTTTCTTCTCTACAGCGTTAGTAAAATTTAAGGGAAAATAAAAACGAAAAAAAAAAAAAAAGAACAGAAAAAAAAAAAGTAAATGCTTGTCCGGCACATAGTCATATTGTGGAATAGGTAGAGGGCTGATCCGTACACGACCGCCGATAACGGGAATCATAAAAAGAAATGTGAAGTTAACCTTCTAGCCTTAGTATTTCTTGTGAAATATCCGTGGAACATCCGTGAAAAGTCGCCAGTGTCAGTTGTTAGGGGGCAGGCAAGATCTCGCTAATTTCCTCGCTTGCTTTCTTCTTTTCCGCTTGTTACTCTGTGCTTCTGGTGTAACGAAGCTATATCGGGTATGTGTTCATTTATTGTTCTGTATATAAGAAGCACTAAATCTGTGAAGAACGGAATATAGAGAGTTAGAAAGTATGGAATGATATGCAGGATTGGATAGATCGGTTTCGCTGGGGCTCGGGTTATCTGGTGTATTAAGTTGGAAAATGTGGGACTTACTGTAAGGGATGCGGATTCGATGACTTCTTTCGATCCGATAATGTACTCAGTGTGTTATTGATCTAAGAATTCGGAGTCTAGAAATTTAAAAATTTCCAATTCTTCGAGTTTTGGTGATTCTGGTACCGTTTGCTGCTGTATTTGTTCTAGCACTATACTTAGATCTTGGTCGATTTGCTGTTCGGTAAACCGCAGGTCTTTATCATTTGACTGTACTACCTTCTCCAGTTCATCAGTGACATCTTCCTGCAATGCTATTTTCTGAAGAAAATACGACTTCTTCTTGCTCGGAGGCGGTATTGGATATATATTTGTGGATACTGGGGCCGTTATAATGCTCTTATTTTTATTATTTTTGCTGGATTTTGCGTTTGGTGCTGAAGAGCTTCTCTTAGAGTCTTGATCGTCAACGTAAACTACCTTTTTAAGCAACTTACTGAGTTCATGTTTTTCCATTGGCCACTCGCATGTTAGATTTCTGTTGTTACAATTGCGACACACTGGGTACAGCAGTTCATCACACTTCTTTTTCCTTTTACGACATGTAAAGCAACCTAATTTGGACCTTGTTTTTCTTAGCTTCGATGAATTCGACTTACCACTGTGTTCCATCACGTCAATTTCCTTCCTCTTTTGCACTTAACTGTTCTTGAGTTTCACAATTTTTGTATTTATTAAACGGTTGGTATTTCGTGATACCTTGACTTTAACGTGCCAACTTTTTTTTTTTTCACTAATTCTTTAACTCTGCCTTATATTTGCGAACAACATATGAGTATTAAGAGCCTCAACAAACGCTTTCAAGATCTAAAAGACGTTATTCTTTTCAATAAGAAACCTAATATTAATTTTCATATTGAAAAGTGTAACTTTTTAAAATGAGTCATGCCTAATTGGGTAATACGGAAAATTAACCGCGCTTGCAGCCACCAGGTGATAAGATACGACGTGATGAGATTTGAAGAGCTGGCAATACTAATCAGGAATCCCAATTTACAAAATACTCAGGAGTCCAGTAGTTCTCAAAATAATACCTGAAGCGATAGACAGGTTCAAATTCCGAGGAGTCTCACTGGTGACATCTTAGACGAAATTATGAAGGTTTTAGAGGGGGTGTAGCTGACGGTTCTTTTGTATAGATGAAAAATTTCACTGCTTTGGGAACGCAGTGGTTGATAATTCTGACACAAAATTGACTATGCACTACGCATGAATACCAGTCTGGGCTCTTTGATCACGGAATGCTAGTCTTGGAATCTATTCCGGGTGCAGTATCAAGTGTGGGTAAGTGAAAGTAGATAGCTAGGGCCAGGTCAGCTCTCTTGAGACTAAAGAAGAATCAATCGAAACAACCTTATTTATTTTAATTTTTATCAGAATTTGACAAAACCAGTATTCATTTATTGTATTGATGTTCTTTTGCTATGCGAAGAGTGAGATACTGAAAAATGCACATAACACATCCATTTGTAAGCACAGCCGTACATTTAGCTGACGCTCAGTTCAAGAAAAAGAAAGAAGAAGAGTACAAACAAGCCCATCTAAACCTAGTATCTCCCACACTCTGTCTAAAACATACCCTGGTGAATGATGTTCTGCTTTCTGTGCAGGTCTGCAGCACATTTTTTTAGTACACAGCTCTAACCAATTTGGGTGCTTCACCTCATCAACTAGCACCAATTTCACTCGAATCTGGAAACAAACAGTTGAATCATCCACAATAATCGTACTTTAACCACATACATGCCTCCAAGTGCCCGATTTCCCATTCCCCATCCTCTTTCAACATCACTAAAATGACCGGCTCACCTTTGCACGCTATACACTATATGCAGGATTTCCAAACCCGGTACGTATTCGATTTTTGCGGCTCCAGGCAGTTTTTCAAAACCAACACCAGCGATCAACAAGGGACGTTAGTACAGCGCTAGAACATAAGGTAGAGGACACAATGTCGGTCTTAGGGTTTGTCACTGGCAACAAAAATACTCAGACGAACACATATTCTTCCCGAAGAGGTCTGACAGCTAGTAATATATCCTCCATTTCGTCAACATGGAAGAATGCATCCAACACCACCTCAGACGATATCTTCCGTCATCTTACCATCAAACAGATCCAAGCTCTTGGAAGAGAGTATAGTGATAATATCGCTGTTGCAAAAAAGGATATACACACACTTGTGGGCAGCAAATATAGGGACTTGATCGAAATTGCTGAGGATATCGACAAAATGCACGGCCAAACTGTCACCATAGATCAGAAGATTGCAGACTTGTCGTATCAAAACTCGACATTTGTGTCCTTTAGTGGGAATGACTACGCGTATGCAAAGTTCGACTCGCTAGTGAGAAAGAACGAGGCTTCAGAAGTCAGAAAGAACGCATCTTCAACGATACTCAAGAACTTGGTGAATACTTCGTTGATCTCGTTCAACCTAAAATTGAGTGGTGTGAACTTGGTACACTCTGCTAGTTGCATTCATTATGCCAAGTTTTATTACTCGATAGAGGAGACATTCAAACATGAGTTAGAACCAGATTATGAGCTCAAGAAGACGTTAGCGGTGTTGAAGAACAACTTCAATTCATACTTGGAGAATCACTTATCGAGCTACGTCTCTGGGGAAAAGCAATTGACCACCAGTAGCATCTTCAGCAGAAACAAAGTCAATAGCAGCATGAATAGGGATAAGTCAACGCAAGGTGTTGAGGATGACGACGAGTACAATAATTCCGATTTTGAAGAATCATATACGGATGATTTTGAAGAAGGTGAGGAAACAGGGGAATTGTTGAAAGATGGAGAATACACCGGGGATGATGACTCCAACGTGAATTACAACTTTAGGACTGGTACTTCCATAGAGAATTACCTCTTTGCATACATAATTCTCAACAGCAACAATCCTGAATTGAACTCTATGAGTAAAATAGTGGAGAGTTTTACCCTGTTAAGATGTAACTTCCTTTCATCTGTCATGGCAGATATGGAATCCATAAAATACCCTATGGAAGAATTAAAGATCAATTTCTTGAATATTTTGAGGTTCATTGAGATAACCTTCGAGCTTTCCAGGAAATACTTTGATCCTACTAACAACACTCGCTTTATTCATTCATTGCATCAAATAACACAGCATTGGAATGCTTCAGACGTTTTGGGATTCCACAATTGGTTTGAAAACGAGACTGTCATTTTCCCCAAGCAACACATAGACACCAATGAGCCTGAATATAAAGAATCTCGTGTTAATTTGAACAAATTCAATATGATATTGTACTCCTTCACTCAAGAAGTAATTCACAAGGGTAATCTCGATTCTTGTATTCACAAATTTGGCAATTTAGTTGCTGGGTTGAAAAAACTAGAATCAATCTTCAGCGAAGACGAAGATTCCACACAACCAGTAATAATCCAGCAACTCGTAGAGGAGGGCACTCTCATTAAGCTACTTGAAGAATTGACTACTCAGATAGTTGAGAAGTATTCTGAGCATTTTGATCTATTGGTGAATGAAGATAAAGACATTAAGACAATAATGACTACTATCAAATACAGCAAATCCTACAAACCAACGGGAGCAACGAACTCTAAGGCGGATTTGTTTTCCAAAGAGCTCATTGACATACTTGAAAATGATATTGATAAGTATATGGACACTATATCTTTAATGTCTTCAGTCGGTAGCGAATCAGTAGCTGTAGATATCAAACTGTGGTTTGATAAATTCAAAGAATACAATCACTTTGTTCGCAGGTTTAGTGATACTATAGGCAGAAAGTTTCTTACTACTTGGGACGGTTTCACAGACGAAAGTACTCAGACAAAGTTGAAAGATGTTGAGAAACAAGTACTGGAATCCTTCTGGAAGAGAATTGCAGAGTGTGTATCAGAATTAAGCAACGTTGAAAAACTGCATGAAAAAAGCTTACATTCTTGGTACTATGTCTTGAATATAATTATTCGTTTCAAGGACAATATACTTAATCTTGAAGTTAAGGAAAGAGAAGAAGATAACCTCCACGAATGTATTAAAAATTTTGATAGTGTCTGCAACAAGTTGTTGACCGAAGTTATACAATACATACCAAGCATACAGGAAAATGGAAAGTCCTTTGCTGAATTGACACAGGAAATAGGTGAAGTTAACGAAGTAGAAGAAGGTGAGGGTGAACAGGACGAAGGAGATAATGAGATTCCTACGAGACCCAACTTCAAGTTGGTGTCCATTTTCCATAACTTATCAACAAAATATATTTCCACGTCTGGCGAGTCCTCAGGTTACATGTCTGGTAGAATATTCCTCGAGCCTCACGCTAAGGATCTTTTCATTAAATTAAAAAATGATTGGATCAAGGATATAGCTAAGGATCTTTCCAAAAAAATCACTGAAATATCGAAAGAACAAGCCAAACTCGAGATTTTTGCAAATGTTTCATACCTATTGGAATTTGTTGATAATGGAGATGCTGAGAGTATAGTACTGGAACTAGCCAGTACAGCAAACATAGACGACGAATCCGTCAGAATAATCCGCAAAGGAGTTTCTGACTTCTACAAATCAAATCTGGTGTTGTTCATACCACTACTGATATAAATTTGAGTGGAATAGAAATTCAAAACTAATAATGCAATAATTTAGATAATAATATATACTTATATACTGTCAAAGTCTATTTTTGTCTCTTACGATATTATTTTCTTAGTAAAGGTAAACCTTTGATCCAGATTTAGTCAAGCTCTTCAATACAGACAAGGTTTCCTTGATGTCCCATATATTTTGGCACTTCTGGTCCAAGTAGGAGTTATCAAGAATTACAATTTTTATTTCTTCTGCCTGCAATCCACTATCTTCAGTTGTAAGAACCTTCTCTAATCTACCAGGAGTACAACACAATACTCTCGAATGGGTGGTCTTCACAAGCTTTAAATCAACATCTATCTTGTTCTTATTGATAAGCTTCAACGAGGATCCTGGAAGATCACGGGTTGCCCGATGAATATCGCATGCACGGAGTGCTGACATCGATAATAAGGCTACAAATTTACGTTCAGATTCTGCCTCTACTACTTCCCTATTTGTTTCCTCTTTCTGGTTCTTCTTCGAATTCTTCTTATTCTTCTTTTCTTTCTTAGCTTTCTTTCCTGGTAACATATTGTCGAATTTTCCTGTAATGAATGGTGCTAAGTTATCCAAAGTTCTTGTCTCTTTATAGTCACCTGTTGCTCTAAAGGCAGACTTATCAAAATACAACTCTGCAAGCTCCAATGCTGAGAGGTCTGGGTTCTTATGTCTAATTCTAGTATTTACAAAGTCTGTAATAGCCTCTGGAGACAGCTCTAAAGATAAATTTTTCTTTTGATTAATATCCATTTCCATTTTCATCTTCTTCTTTTGTTGGAGTTTAGAACCTCCTGCCTTTCTCTTTTTAGATGTAGCGGCTGGTTCTACAGCTCTTTCGTTTTGAGGAGCATCCACTTGCTCTGAGTCCAGTATTAAGTGACCTTCGTCATCTGATTCGGCTACCAAAGTAGCGTCGTATTCGAGTCCATCATCGAGGTCATCAGCAAATGTATCACGAGTCATCTTCCAACTAAATATTACGTTATTCAACAAGGATAAGGATAGGCAAGGAATGTACAACCATAAAGAATCATAATCATCTATGCGATGCTCATCGACCTGATGCATATCAGTGAAAAATTACACAAAACCGAGAGTATCAAAGATCCATACCGAAGACAGTTGAAAGGGAAAAAATCGGAAGCTGATTTCTCCAGGTTTCAGATATCTATACTTGAGAATTTTGCGCTTACATCTCTACACATCCCTTGTAAGGTAATAAACATCTATAATGATGCTGTTAAGAGTATCAAGTACACTTCACCGACTTAATAGATTCCCCCAGCTTAGAAGGCTGATCTATATTAATGCGGAACTCCAAAATTCATTAAACTCGGCGCCTTTCCACCCAGTCATCGTAATAGGTGGAGGTCATGCTGGATGTGAAGCTGCAACTGGTTCTGCTAGATCTGGTTCTCAAACCACCTTAATTACTCCTCACATCGACAAAATCGGTACAGCTTCCTGCAACCCGTCAATGGGAGGTGTTGGCAAGGGAACTCTTCTAAGAGAGGTAGACGCACTAGATGGAGTTGCTAGTAAAATTACAGATAAGGCAGGAATTCACTTTAAAACTCTAAATCTCTCTAAAGGTGCTGCCGTTCATGGCCCCAGAGCTCAAATAGATAGAAAAATTTACTTAAAAGAAATGCAAAAAGAGATCCTAAGCTATCCGAACTTGAATGTTTTGGAAGCTCAAGTTGAAGATATTATCGTAGAGCCAATTTTGAACAAGGCCGAAGACAGTAAGGATGTTTCTGGTAGGCAATTTAGTACAGTGAAAGGTGTTATATTATCAGATGGCACTGTTCTTAACACTTCCAAGGTTGTAATTACCACCGGTACATTTTTGGGTGGTGAGATCCACATTGGACTAACTGCCTATCCTTCAGGAAGAATCGGCGAGGAAGCAACATTTGGATTATCCAAAACTTTGAAACAGGCAGGGTTTAGATTGGGAAGGTTGAAAACTGGGACCCCGCCTAGATTGTCGGCAAAGACTATAAACTACAATAATTTACCTGAACAACCCTCAGAAAACCCGCCAATCCCTATGTCATATATGAACGACACAGTAGATTTAGCGGACCATTTAGTATCATGTCATATGACACAAACCACCCCAAAAATGCATAAACTTATAGCTGATAACTTAGATAAATCTATTCATATAAGAGAAACCGTTAAAGGTCCAAGATATTGCCCTTCTATTGAATCAAAGATCATCAAGTTCCCACAGAAAGAATCTCACATGATTTGGTTGGAACCTGAAGGATTGGATACAGACTTAGTTTACCCAAATGGGATATCTTGTACTATGCCAGAAGAGATCCAGGCCAAAATGGTGAGAATGATTCCGGGATGTGAGAATGTAGATATGTTGCAACCGGGGTATGGCGTTGAGTATGACTACGTTGACCCCAGAGAGTTGAACAGAACGCTAGAAACAAAATTAGTTAGTGGATTATACCTTGCTGGTCAAATTAATGGAACAACTGGCTACGAAGAGGCAGCAGCACAAGGGTGTATTGCTGGTATCAATGCGGGTTTGTCTTTTAAACAGAAACCAAGTATTGAATTACTTCGCTCAGATGGATTTTTAGGTGTGCTTATTGATGATTTGATTACTAAAGGTGTGGAAGAACCTTATAGGATGTTTACGTCAAGATCGGAGTTCAGAATTTCCCTTAGATCTGATAACGCAGACATGCGTCTTACTGAAAAGGGGTGGCAAGCAGGTATCGTAGGGGAGAAAAGGTACAATAAGTTCAAAAGTGAATTAGAACAATATAACAACATTAAGGAACATTTGATGTCAACTACATGGCCCGGTTATAAATGGAATAAGATTTATGGAGAAAGGACTTCAATGCAAGTCAATTTACTTGCCAGTGCTTGGAAAGTACTTTCTTACACTGGAATATCAACTCCAGAAATGATAAACAACTTACCCAATATCTCATCATCTGAAATTCCGAAGTTTTATGATGGATTATCTGCTAGACTCATCAACCGTCTTAACGTGGAAAGTATGTATGATCCATGGATGAAGCGTGAAAAACACCACGTAAGAGCATTCGAAGCTGATGAGGACCTACTTTTACCTATCAATTTTGATTATAATCACAATGGAAAAGTGAAGATTTCTTACGAAGTTTGCCACTTATTAAATACCATTCAACCAAAGACTATTGGTCAAGCTCGTAGAATTCAAGGGGTTACTCCTGCTGCAATTTTTGAGTTATTTCAATTAGTGAAAGATAGACAAAGAGAATTATCACAACAGAGACAGATTGAAAACATTAGCTTTGAAGCGTGATATTACCTTTGAAACTGAAAAGGAGAAATTTCTTATAAGGACTACTTGTAAATACTTTGTATACTATATTTATAAATTACACTAACTATACACTACTGTACATACTAATCCGAATCACTGAATTCATTAAATTTTTTGAATGTAAATGAATTGTCATCTTCAAAGTCATTATTGTCGGACAAAATTGGTCTATTTTGCGTTAAGCTTTTCTCCAAGCCCACTAGCAACTCAAGTGGGAGAGCATCATGAGCCATCCTTGAAATTACGTTAATCTGGTCTTGCTGTCTTCGTCTTCCCGGTATTTGGCCAGTGCGCTCCAAGAGTAACAACACATCCTTGATGTTTATCTGGTGAGACTTGCCATTTGTCCTATGCAGAGAATATGCCTCTAAGTCAGACACCATACCTTCCATAAAGATATCAGAGATCTCTTGAAGAAAGTCACAAGCTTCTGGCGCAATAGGTTTAACTGGAAGACGAGAGTTTACTGAAGAATTCTTTACCACAGTTTTCATTAAAGTTTTCACCAAATTGATCGGAAGGGAAGAAGCAGACTTCTTAGACTTCAATGCAAATGACGCGGTCATCCTAGTTGGAGGATCGACCTTTGTTGCAACTTGGAAATGTTCTTGTACTTCTTCTTCTATTAAATTCGAAGGTTCTCCTTCCTCTAGAATAAATTGGTCTTTTAGTATACCTCCCTCTTCAACTTCATCCAGCTCATCACCCAGGGAATACTCACCTCTCTCACCTTCTTTAGCTACATCGTCAATGAGCGGGATATCAAGATCATCCTCGTATTGCCAATTATTTGGAAAAAATTGATCTTGTACGTTTTCAAGCAGGTTATCATGTTCTCCTTTACTTTCTTGAGTATCATCTTTGTTTTCTATTTCTATACCTCCAGTTTCTGTAACTTCACTTGGTTCTTCATCTCGCTGCATTACTTTATCAACAAAAACATCCTCACCAATATTGCCTAGCCTAGAAGTGCCAATCGTAAGTTCCTCTATTACCAAATCGGAAACAGATGGATTTGCTGGAGTCTTTGGGGGATTTATCGAATCTCCTGTAGACTGTTCTTTTTCTTCTCCATATGTGTCACTCTCCTCTAGGATATCACTGTCATCATCCCCTAATTCTCTTCTGGTCTTTCTGGCTTGTGCAGCCAATATCCTCTCCAAGTAGGACACAGGTCTTCCGGAAGATTTTTTATCTACGTCAACTTCGTATATTGGAATTGGCGAAAGAATTTCATGCTTTCCGACGTCGTCCTGAAGAAAAGGGTTAAGTTCATCAACTTGTATTTCAGTAAATGGATGTTGTGGGGGAGATTGAAAGTTAGCTTTCGGTAATGGCAAAGAATAGTCAAACTCAGATGGCGACTTGTTTTCAACCAATGGAGAAGAATTCGATGGAGAGTTCCCTGTTTTCAATTTCTTACTACTATCCTGACCCCTCTCCTCGATCAGCTTTTGACAGAAGAACCTCAAAAAGTCAATGGTAACAGGACCAGCATAATTTGATGTGTATTCTATTTTACCGTTCACAATAGATGACCGCCTACGCTTTCTTCTTAGGTAGTATCGCACTGGAGTCAACAGAACTCTGATCCCTTCTCCTGCCCTCCTCTCCCTTCTCACGCTGTCTCTTGGAGAGAAATAGGGCGACTGGTCAAGAGCGGTTTTGGCATGAACCGTCTTTGGCGTTCGAGATGTTCGCTTATCAGAATTTCGATACTTCGATTGATTGATCCTTCTACCTGGAGTCGATTGGTCATTATTATCATCATCATTATTATTCACGTTATTGTTATTGTCATTATTACTACTGTTACTAACCTTGTTAAATCTATTGAACACCCGCGTTAAATCGGTCTTGGGTAACCTGGCTGGTATAGGCGCTGAATACTGCGCAGAGATCTCTACTTCCAGCGAGCTTCTTAATGGAGTTGAAGGCTCTGTACGAATTGAGACTTCCGGATCATCAAGATCCATTTTGATACCTACGTAAATCTTACACCAAAATCAGTTCTATGTTATTTCAGTTGAAACAACAAACAGTCTTGCTAATCGCCTCCCTTATACCAATCAATGCTGACTCTGTTGCATGGCTTCCTTTGTGATTCGCTTCGTTTGTTTGTTTACCATTTTTCAATCATACGCATCTCCTAATGCACCTGCACATAAGCGCATCCGCCTGTTAGCAATCTGGGGTTGTGGATAGAGGAAGAGTAGCAAGCAGTTTATGGGTTTGCTACCTCTTCTCTAGAAGACTCGTAAACGTTTGAATATAGCTGTGAATAGTACAATTTTTCCATGTCTACTTCAGGTGATAACCTTTTGACGGCCCTTATATCTGGGTCGACCGCAACAGCGGTAACGTCTACAATTACTTACCCTCTTGACTTTATCAAGACGCAGCAGCAATTAAACAACTACCAGTTGATGTCCAAGTACAAAATTCCTAGTAATTATCCCAATTCTTTGGTACAAATATTCTGCGGAGGGAGTGCATTGGTGATAGGTAACGTTGCTAAAAACCAAGCTAGATTAATTTCGTACAATTGGGCTACCAAGTTCATGTCGCTAGAGTCTCACCACCAAGATGAAAAATTACTGGGTAAGGTAAAGACTAGTGCTCCTAGAATGGTTATTGCCGGAGCGATGAGTGCTTTCATTGAAACCTTATTCATAATCCCATTTGAAAACATAAAAATTACAATGATCCAGAATATGTCTTTAACTAATGAAATCAATAGATCTAGAGCCCAGGCAAACGTACAAGATGTCACTGGAGCTGTTGTACTTAATAGACACCATAAACCTCATGCGTCTGTTTTTACCAAGCAGTACATTTCACCAAACGCATACTACCCCAGCGACTTGTTACAGCAATATAAGACTGGTAAAACTTATGTAAAGGGAGGTGGAATCACCCATTCAGACCACCCTCACCTGAATTGTAAAGGCAAACTAAACAAGGCCGATAAGTTGAAAAGAAAGTTTAATAAAGCTCCAACTTTGACCTTCTTGGGTACGGTGAAAGAAATATATTTATTGAAGGGCTTAAGTGGGTTCACCGCAGGTTCTATAGTTACCATGACAAGACAAGTAGCTATTTCGTCTGTTTGGTTGTCCACGTACAACGCCACTAGACAGCTATTAGATCCTCATAACAAATCTTCGTCTGGTATAAATGAACAACTGTGGTTTGGACATAAGCATACCATGGTGCAACTGATGGGATTGCATTTATTATCTTCCATAGCGGTTATAGTTGTTACACAGCCACTAGATGTTATCAAATCGCATATGCAGCTGAAGAATGGTAAAAAGATCTATAGAGACTCTTTACATACTGCTTATAAAATTTTCTTGAATCAGGGAATAACAAAGTTATGGAGTGGTTCTGTTCCACGTGGTCTTAAGGTATTCGCCAGCGGTGGACTCACAGCTACGTTTTATAGTTATGTCGAGGGGGTTGTCAACGTAGCGGGAGGACAACGAGTATTTGCAGCCGAATAGGTTTAAAGCTTAGAAATATACACTTAAATTGACTATTAATACTGTTTTTCCTCAAACTTCAGGGAAAACGATTACGCCTATGTGTAAATTGTGACTTGATTTAGTACGCAAGAACGTAGTGTTGTGTTCGATAAAGATCTCTGACTATGGCTTTACTATCTGACGTGAAATAATCACCCTTTACGTAGTAAACGTTTTTTGAATTCATGGGTCTCACCATTTACCATGGCAGCCTACTTGTATAAATCCTGATCAAAAAATAAAAGAGCTTTAGCGGTTGAAGATTCAGAAAGAGTGAGTAAGTATAAATAGCAGTGTTCTACAGCAAAACTAAAATCATTAAGCTTTTGAGAATTTTTGTGACTTGGCTACTATTATTCTCCAATAGTAGCAGTATCTCCTATTTGGCGACACAGGCTATAGAGGATGACTTTGGTGACCCCTCGGAACAAGTATAGGACTGCCATTAGAATTGTCGGGGTGCTGGTGTGGGATATTGCCATATGTATATCATTTAATGATTGAGATGGCAATGTTTCCTTCTTCAAATTTGATTGTACTTGAATGGGCTTTTGGCATTTAAAATAATCTTTGAAGAAGGCTTACTGGGTTCTCTTCAAACTAAACCAATGTTTCACTTTCTGCTCTTGGTGCATGTTCTCAGTCATTAAATCACATTCTACTTCGCATATAAGCAAACAACCGCCAGTATTTAAGCTGTTATGTGGTACCCATTGGGAACATGCGTTGGCAGCCAGAAAGCCTTTAAAGCTAGCCAAGAAAAGAACCAGAAACCAGTGACCCAAAGTGTTAAAGATTTCCTGCTTGTGCAACCTCATCAATTTTTGTAGGAATCTACGCCAGCTCCAGATTACAACACAGAGCCAATAGATACTTAACTAGTTCTCAAAAATTCGAAATCCTGAAATGACAAACATATCTAGCTAAAGAAGCTCAAGATTCGTTCTCTACACTAAACAAAGCACCTGAATAATATAGATAAACAGCCATGGAACCCATTCCTACCATGCACTGGGACCTTCTGCAGCCCTTTCCACAATGTAGACTTTTTTCGCAGCCAAAGTAGCCACTCCATATCTGAATTGCACACGACCAGCGCGATTCATGCACCTTAAATTTTTGCTTGTTTTGTTTTGGTTTGAAATCTGAAGCAAAGCAAAGCTAAGGAACAAGGTAGTGATCTTCTGAAACAGGAAAAGGTGGAGATATAAAGAGCCACTTTCGTAAGACACTAACCACTTAGACAGGTTTGTTAATTTGCGGCGTTAAACCCTGAAAATAATGCCGATAACGGGAGATGAACTATTCCTGGTAGTGACCAGCTCCAAAAACCCAGCGGAGATTTTGGATGCGGTCAATGAATTTAAGGCATTTGTGAAGAAGGAGTTTGTTGATATAAATCAGGTCCCCAAGTACATGGAGGCGCTCTGCATTTCAGTAGACTATCCCGGCTCGGTAGATGTACAAGTCTCGAGCTTTGCAGTAATAGCTCACTTAGTAAAGCGTGTAAGCATGCAAGATCACTCAGGGAAGGTCTTGAATTCCCAGTCCTTTCTCGTGTTACCTGTGATATTGAAGAGATTAGGTGATCCTAAAGCCAGCGCTCGAAGCCAGGCTAAGAGAGCCTTAGAAGCATACTGGTTTCTGGCTCCGCAGGATGTAGAAATGGCCCTCATTGAGATTGCTCTAGGCTCCACGAACTTGATTGTTGTGCAAGAGCTGATAAACTGGATAACGCATATCTTCTCCAATGTGAGCCATCTGTTCAAGATTGATGATTTTTTGCACGGCTTGATACGAATTATTATCACTATCGATGACGAAGCTATAGTGGACTCTATTAGGAACTTATTCGTACAGTACTACTCGCTGAAATCCAATCAGAGTAGCAGGCATATGTTGATGAGTGAATTGACAAAGAATAGAGTGTCTCAGAAATTCTGCGAGCAAGTATTGAAAGAAATAGAAGGGAAAGATACCACAGTGCATATCATTGCTGTTCCTAATGTTTCTACTAATGCTAACCCCGCAGGCACTAAGTCCAATTTTATAACATCGTCTTCGTCAACTAGAGCAAAGGTTCCAAATAGCGATGAAAGCTTATTTAAAAAGAGTCTGTCACCTAGTAATACTCAAAATAATAACTCCAATTACCCAAAATCTAAGTCCCCCGATACTTCCCATATAAATGTACCGGAAATTACAGACCCTGAACTTATTAAAATTGCCTCCAAGTATGCAAACTATAAGTTTGATGTGCTTCCCCTGGGTATCAGCATTATCGATGTAGACAGCTCGGATATCCTTTACAATTTAGTATCCAGTCTCGCACCGCCTTTTGAAGGTAAAGAAACCGAATTCAATTGGATTTCTAGAGAAAAAAACATCATACAATTACGCTCTATACTTCGTGGCAATTCAGCCCAAGATTTGCGAGAAGACCTTGTCAATTGCTTAAAGGAAATTTCAGAGCCTATATGTAAAGCTGTAATGTCACTTCGTACATCGTTGTCCATACATGGCTGTCAACTAATTAAGGAATGTGCAATGATTTTAACCACTGATTTTGATGCCTTAATTGAACTTTTCATTCCTACATTAACAAAATTGTGTCTGGCAACTAAACACATTGCATCTACAAATTCAAATGTTGCTATTGTCTCTATTTATATGAATTGCTCTTTCCTGCTGAAATTAGTCTCCAAAATTCAGCAATCATCACTAGAAAAGAATTTTCAACCAAGGTCTTACTGTGGGGTTTGGTTACAAATATTTTTGCATAGATTCCATAATAGTTCGCAGCATTCAATTGAGGCATATACCAAAGTCATAGCTAAATTGTTAGGTGATCAAAATCCTACTGTGAGACAAGCTGCCAAAGATACCTTCTGGGTATTCTGGACCAAATTCCCATCACAGGGTGAAGCCATGTTACCTAAGTTGGAAGGTAATATTGTTAGAGCTTTAGAAAGGTCAAGACCTAAACAAGGAGCTTCTCCAGGTGCACTATCTCAAGCTCCAAGTATTCCTTCTGTACCAATTTCTCGAAAGCAATCCAAGCCTAGTATAAGGGAGTCAATTATTGCAAGAAATAGGGAAATAAGGGAGAAACAAAGGGAATCTGGTATAAATTCTAGACCTTCTTCAAATATGGATATTGTTTCAGATGAAGAAAAAAAAGTCAAACTTCTGCTAAAAGCAAGTAGTCTGAGACTCGGTGGAGGACCAAGAAGAAATTTCACTCACGATCCAACAAGTAGTACTGCGACCCTGAGTACGAATAGCAGTTCAGCAAAATCAAGAGTCGCTTCTGCAGGAAGTACTGGAGATCACAAGAGAGATCATTCATATCAAAAATCATCGTTTGATTTGCACGCAGATCCAATAATAAAGTTCTTATCTTCTAATCAACTGGAATTGAAAGTGGAAGGGGTGAATTTGCTAAAGTTTGCTATTCTTGGAGAGGAAGAATTGTCCCCTGAGATAAAAGGCTTAGTGACTAGTATTTCCGTAAGCAATCCAATTATATTAAAGCCATTATTCCTCGGGTCTGAGGATTTGTTAAGGAAAACTTTCAAGTATTTTACTTCTTCAGAGGACTTTATCAGGGTTTGCTGTGTATTACAAGATAAAATTGATGCCAGATATGTTGAGTTGATAATGAGTTTTGTACCACTTGATGAGATATATAAATCTTTTTCAATTATCCTTGGATATGCTACTAAAATTAGTAGCATATTGAATAATAGTGACTTGGTAATGCAAATGATAAAGTATAAAACTTCTATCTTCAAGATATCGCTTGAATTTTTGGCATTAGCCTTACAGAAAATTCCTATTTCTGATGAGATATATTCAGAATTAATCTCAAGTTTATTCGAGATGGTCACCATCTTACGATCTACTGACTTACATGAAAAGCTACTTAATTTATTATCAAAATTTTATTTGATTAATGAAAAGCTATTTGAAAAAGACTTACACGATGCTTCTATATCCATAAGAGATGAAATTGGACATATTATGCAAGATAAGAAAGATGATATAATCATTGACGATGACGATGACGAAGATATGCTGCACCACATTCAAAATTTGTCAGTCAGTTATCCTTCTCAAATATCATCTAGTGGTACTTCGTACGATTTGACTAAGGTTGTTTATCAACCAAGTACTACGATTCCACGTAAAGGATCTCCTTTAAAAGAACAATCAGACTTAACTATGCTAGTTCCTACCTTTGGTTCTAAAAATGAATTCACTTTCCAAGAATCGAAGCGAAGTTCCCCTGCGACTAACTTAGATGCTGAACCACAATTTGACATGGTTGTGGAGGATAATATCGATTTAGATGAATATGAAGCTGTTGGTACTACCGGCAAGGGCCCTTCAGTTGACAACATGGAAATGGACAATATAGATAATGCTGAAGGTGATAACGTATTCGTAGACCAGGGCCCTATTGATGATTCCACTAGGTCAAGAAAATCTGATTTATTTTCAAAGTTCAACAAGGAAAACTCGACAGAATTGGTCCAAGATTTTGCACAAGTTCAAATTGGTGGCGAGCACCCCAGTAATCTCGAAAATCCCATCCAATTGTTTATTGATAAAGTAGATCCCCTAAACAAGGTCTCGAATAAAAAGAAGCAAATTCAGATTTATCAGGATGAATCGATACAAGGTTCTCCTCAAAAACAAAGAGAATACAATTACAATGAAATGAACTGGTTTAACTACCTGGTGGCAAAGTACAGAGTAGATGATAATACTTCACATGTTAACTCAGTATCTAATTCTAAGACTGAGGATGAATTATCTATTGAAAAGTTCAAATCTTTGTGTTCCAATTTTGGAAAGAATTCTTTGCAAAATAGTGAATTCTTAGAATTGCTAAACTTCTTGCAAGAGCGAAACTATACCGCTGAGTTTTGTAAGTTTCTTGACAGCCAAGGGGCCGAGATATTGGAAAATTCGTTTTGGAATTTTTTTGAGTTATTTGAGGGCAATGATGACACATTATCTTCTCATTCATTATTCAGTGGACTTCTCTTGTTAAAGCAAGTATTAGTAAATCGAGCATATATCGATCTCTCGAAACTCTGGGGAACTTTGTTTAGTTTATCTGAGTATTCGTCAAAGAATAATAAAAATATAGACAATAACAGCAGAAATATTGATCATGAAATGGAAAGTATTTCGAATGAAGTCACAATTGCTATTAACGAGATTTTTGATGAAATTCTAGTCGGCTCCTATTCTACTCAAGAAATCTTAAGTCTTTTCATGACGGTCCTTCAATCAATCAACCAAATGAGTTATAAAAGACTAGTGTTTGTGCTTGAATCATTTTACAAACTATTAAATGTCAACACCATCGGCTTCTCCCTTTCTGACCAAGTTATAAGCCACATTGATCTCTCACTCGGGAAGTTTTTGAATAATGAATCAGTTGTCGTTCGAAGATGTGTTGTTCTGATATATGGGAAATTACTCAAGGCCAATTTGTCAATTGAAGTCAATAAAATAGAGAATTCTGAAGAAAAGAATATTATGGACAAGATATTGCAGAGAGTGCCTATTCCCCAAAAGAAGTTAATTGAGTATTACGCTCAAAATTAATTAATAATGTGCAATTATATTATGGAAAACTGCTGGAAAGTTAGCTAGTGTATATATAAATACTACAATGGTCAGATTATTAAGTAAAGTAGACGTGAAATATATCAAGGGCTAACCCTGGACAAGTATATTGATAATTACATATTATACTACAAGTTTTACAGAACCATTTACTCTGATTGAGCTGGATTTGCTGTATGAGTTTCAACCTGACTGACAGAAGACTCCGGAGTTGGAATGAATGAAGTCTTCTTCGAGACTGAGTGAAGCAACGGTTCTTCATCATCTTCCTTTTTGGTCACCTTCGTAGCCTTATTTGCAACAACTTCTTGGAGATTTGCATACGGTTGAGTATGACGCTTTGTACTCTCAGGTTTCGACACACCACCTCCACCACTAAAATTTCTCTGGGGAAGTGGACCTTGCCGCTTTGCATTCATTAATTTATTATTTATCGGATGGTGCCTCGAAGGCGCTCTATTTATTGGGAATTCACCGGCTGTATGCATGCCACCAGCAGAAACTGGATGATGTACAACCATTGAAGAATTCACAGGTTGATACATTGGATTGTAGGATTCACTCTCACCACCTGGTACGTAGTAATTACCATTGGTCATGATCGGTTGCTGATATTGTTGAGCGAATTGTTGTTGTTGCAGAAGCTGAGCTTGTTGATCCGCATATGTCCAGTATTCTGATTCTACTTGCTGCTGCTGTTGTTGGAAGGGTAAATATCCTGCCTCCCCATTATAATATTGCTGTTGTGGAAAAACATTAGATGATTCATTCCAGAAATGTTGCTGTTGCTGCTGCTGTTGTTGTAGTTGCTGTTGTGGTAGATGTTGAGGAGGTGGTTGTGGAATTGACATTTGTTGAGAGCCTGCAAATTGTTGTAGTGGCTGTTGTGGTACAAGAGATCTCTGAAATTGAGTGTATTTTGCTGATTGTGGTTGAGAACCTGGAAAATATTCTTCCTTCGAGGATGCTAACCTGCCACCGGCGATTGCCTGCGAGAATGATATAGCTGGGGGATACTTAGCACTCTTCAATGGTTGTGTTTGTTCTATAAGATACTCATTGTTGAAAACTAAGGGATTGGCCGTAGGCGCTACAAATATCGAAGGATCTATGTATGTATCGTAGTGCTCTTCATAATTTCCAGTTGAATTTCCACCGCCCACGACACCACTAACATCGACATTAAAATATTCATCAGATTCAGCACCGCCATTCTGAGCTTGGGTATCAAAATAGTCCAACGGAAAATCATCTTCGTATTCTGTATTTTTGTATTGTACAGGTGTTTGTTGAGTAAGGAAATCATAGCCTTTTTGTTTAATGGTAGCATTTGCTTTATCTAGTTGCTCATCCACTCTATCTTCAGAATCTTCTTCCTCTTCGGGCACTTCAGTAATCTTATTTATTGGATCTTGTTGTTCATGTATATTTGAGTGTTCCTCCATATTATTATCACCATCCATCCTGTTAAATTTCTGCTGCTTGTCCATATGTTCTATCAATTGTGTATACAAGGGAGACTTATCGTCATAATTAAAAGAAACTGCAGGTTCTCTATATGCAATAGTAGTAGGCTTTTGATCTAACGCTTCCTTCTTCAAATCTCTTTCCAAGGCATCTGCCATTAGTTTATCATGAGGTACGTTGAACCAGAAAAACACCTTCTGCTTCTTCTGCGTTCTAAGACACAGGTTTTTAAACAAGAATTCCAAGAAATCCAGTCTTGGAGGTTCCAATATAGCATCCGTCCCACACTTCAAATTTCTTAAATCAGAAAATATACCTTCTTCGAACTTTTTTCGATCAATTATCTTTCTGCCGAAGTGTTCGAATTTGTAAACGATACACCTCACTATGTCTGTCCCCGTCACGAAGTAAAGATTATTCCAAAACACACACGAAACAAATCCTTCATCATGATTAAGATAATACCTCCTAATTACCTGATTTTCTTGCCAATTCGCTGGAGCTGTGGCAAGGAAGAATTTAAGATCTTCGATAAGTCGGAGTGACTCTTTCACAGAACAATCTGCCATGAAGTATTATATGCAATGAAAGGAATGGAATTGGTGTTATTATAGCTGCTGATTCTATCTCTGTAGACGTATATCCTTTCCTCAAAAGATACACAACAAATTACAAAGGTTTTTACTTGAATAAGGGAAAAGAAGACGTGTGGCCAAAAAGTAGCTGGTAGTGTTATTATATCGAAATTGATCTTTTCTAGTTAGAGCCGAGTTTGCTTAGTATATTTTTAATTGAATTAGCTCTGTCGTACGCGGATTTTACACTATTAATATCCTACTACTAACTTCCTACTCTTTTCTAAATTTTCTATTCTGGTCTCAACGCAATTCACTAACCTTTTATGTTCGTCCTTGGGCTTGTGTCTGTTTTGTTTTGCCTATTTATTATTTAAATTATTTTTATTTTTTTTTTTTTTTTTTTTTTTCTCTCTAGTTTTTCGACTTGGGACAATTACTGATTTAGCGAATTTTGTTCGATATATATGAGGATCACCTTTTTAAGATTTAATGTAATTCAAGGGCACTTTTTTCCAATTGGTGCCTGAAATGTTCCTGAAAATAATCCCAATTTTAAGGTACAATTGAAACTTGCTAGGGCTAAAATTACTTGAAAAAGGGAAAACCTAAAATATGGGTTTGAATTGGGGAGTTATTCTTCAGTATAAATATGGTCAAGTCCAAGATCTTCTGATATTGCAAATTATAATGAAAGATTGTTTTTTTACAGTACAACAAGATACTTTCTGCCTTGATGACTTAAAAATAGCAAAAGGAAGGTTTAAGTTTGGTTGTTTATCTTGGTTGTTTGAAAAAAATAATAGAAAAAAAAAGAAAACAAATGACTGGTGGTTTCGATACCTAATCTAAGTTTCTATGTTCAAGTTAATTCAGAGATGAAACACCTTAGTTTATATACTATGGGAGCGTGTTTCAGATTTTCGTGTGAAACACTTCTGAAACTGCCACAGGAAAAATAATTTTTCTCAATTGTTTCCTGCCACCATCATAATCAGTTCTCATCAGGAAGAAACAATGTATCCCATGTTAATCCTGACAATACAACAGCGATGTGGGATTAAAATATAATTGACGGCGCAAGTCCAATGTTTCGTATGGCATATTTACCCTTTTAGTCTTTCACCGTAATAATAATCGACAATTGATCGTGCTATTTCCTTATATTTTCTCAATCTTTTTTTAGAATGATAGAGTCTGCTTTGACGATACTGTTTATGGGCGACGGACTACAACTAGATTTAAGCTGGGGTAGTCGTTTGAAATATCTCTCAGACACTGCCCTCTCTGCCCATGTAGTGTCATGTTCATGTTCATGTTCATCTCAAAGTCAAATCATTATCCATTTTCCAGAATTCGTCTTTTCTTCTTTCTTTGTATTTTTTTCTAGTTTCCAAATGCCATAAATTAATTTTTATCGTGAGCCCTATTGTTACCTCTTTTCAAGCTCTACATGCTTGATTCATATATGCTAGCCTGTGATTTATTGAAACGCTACGCTACCTTTCAAAATCATTTTATGATATGCGTGAGGGTCCTTGTCTTATATATCATTATCATTGTAAAGCGTTTGTAGCTTCCCCTACCTCTTCTTTATCTTGCTGTAGAGCCCGTTAGAGAACTTATGAGTAACCCAAAAAGATCAATACAGTTACCTCCCTTCAATGTAGTCTTCTCGGAGTTTCGGTCAGATGCCCTGCCTATCCTCAAGCATAAGCCGAGTTATCAGTACTTCACGCCCTTGGATGTATTGGCTTCTGTTGGTTCAAACATACAATTACTCCACAAGTACCCTGAAGTAGACTCAACCTTAAGTGAGGTACAAGAAATTGTAATTGACAGCTCTGAGAGCGATCAGACTGAAACTGGCACTGAAATAAATCACAACTGTGAAGAAACTATATTGTCTTATATATTTAAACTCATTTTCAAATTAGAGCTCCTTGTTCAAACTCTCACTCAGTGGAAGGAACAATTGGGTGCAAATTCTCAAGTGCAACCAATTTGGAACCAAGAAAATAGTCTTGATGTTTCAATTATAAATGGTGCAGTTTCGAACGAAAATTTCTGTTCCTCAAAACTGGGAAGTCAAACAACTGCAAGTTTGCTGAATATCTATAGCGAATTGAGTAATTTGAATAAACAGATTCATACGTTGATCAAAGAAAACATTCAATTACTGTTGGTTGAAGAAATAGCCGGATTATCATCTTCTGCAGCCGAGAACGAAAAAAAATGTAAGCATTGTCTCTGCAGCAATACCCCCGAGTGGAGAAAGGGTCCAGACGGTACGAGGACATTATGCAACGCTTGTGGACTTTTCTTCTCCAAGTTGTATAAGAAGTTTGGGATACAGCGGGCAATAGAGATTATGAACGAGAGAAAATCAAATGGTGATTATCTAGATCGTAAAATCCCATCTTAAATACAACCCACGCGCACTGACTATTACGTAAATGTAGGCCATTACTAATGAGAATCCAATCGTTTATATGTGTAAAAATGTATTACAACTAAATATAAAAAAAAAGATAATGCTATATGAGTAGAATGCTAATTCGTTTTATTCTGTTATTAATCCTTTTCTATGCATCTTCATCATCGTAATCACCCCAATCTTTTTTAAACGAAAACCAGTCTGTCTTTCCAGTGGGGACAGAAGATGAAGTGCTATCTATATTTGTCATTATGTCTCGCTTGAAATCATGATGTGACATTTTTCTCTTGGAGTCGTCATCACATTCTTTGGAGTTACCTTCATTGGCCTTTATCTTACTAGTAATATTTGAAGAGTGTGAAGATCTTCTAAATGGTGGAACGTATTTACCATTGGGTGGAACAAATTCACTGATAGGCCCTATAAATTTCCCAGAAGAACTGGTAGGACATACTGATGATCTCTGACCACCCCCAAGGGAATTTCTTCTACCAATACCACGGACAGAAGAGGAATCACTCGTAACTGTCAGACCTGGAGCCACACCTACTGCTGTTGCAAGACTATAAGTTGGAACCTTAAAATTAATTGGAGGCTTTTTAAAGTTATCAACAGTATTTGCTGTTGGAATTAAAAAGGTTCCATGGGATCGTCCGCTGCTTTGACCACTTATATGACCATTGTTTGAGGGGTACTCAGAATCGTCAAAGTCATCTTCAAGATGGAAAACTTCATCATCTTCAAGGTTCAAATTGCCAATATCTTCAATCGGAGGGTCAATAAGAGGTGACCTAGCGTGACTAGGTGATCTAAGATACGGTGGAACATACTTTTTTGAGCCGACAACTCCATTGTTTTGAAGCAGCGGGTGTTGCTGCAATTGCTGAGTGTGAATCCCATGATGTTGGTGCAATTGAGAATTACCTCCGCTAGTTGCTGCAAGATTCAGATGGCCAGAATTTGAGAACAATTTCTTTGGCTTTGAACTAGAGAACAGGTGTGCCTTCTTCTTAAAGTAATCTCTGCTATTTCCATTTCCATTTCCATGGCCGTGAACGTGTCCGTTACTGTTACCATTTACATTAGTATGGTTAGTTCCACTATAAGAATGACGGACTCTCAGTCTCAGTCTCAGTCGAGGAAATTGTGAGCTACTTCCACTCTCGTAATTATCGCTGTCAATTGTTGCCTTCTTCCAAGATCTTCTTTTACCCTTCTTTTTCCAGGTAGACATCTTATTCCTAACATTGTGATTATTATTATTGCTATTGTAGTTGAACGCACGATCTTGTTGTTTACTGTCACCATATTTGTCCATGTAATGATTGAATACAGATTTTGGTGTAAAAAAATCTTCTCTATTAAATTTACCTCCTCCGAAGCCATCAGTCAGAATCTTTGACTGATTAAACGATGCAACTCCAAATGGTTTACGTTGGTTTCTGAAAATTGAATGGTTTCCAACGTCATTGTACTCAGTGCCAATGATTGGGATGGGCAACATGCTCGAGTTTTTAGATAATAGCGCGTCAGCTCTATGATTGTGAGGCATTGGCAATGCTGCATCTGAAGATGCGGTGACATCAGATTCAGCAGCAGAATCAATTCCTTCGGAATCGTATGTTCCGAGTAATGCCGATTCAAGGTTTCTATTTCTGATTGGCGGTCTACTTCTTCTACCGGAATTAGATTTAGCTAGTCTATCTGAGCCACCCGAGCCTCCACTTGAATCACCATCTTCAACGTCAAATGTAAATTCCAATTGGTTATTGTTTTGAAGTTGTACTTCATCATCCACTTCATCTTCTTCTTCTTCGTCTTCTTCTTCCTCGTTACCTAGCTCATTCTCACCTTCGTAATGTGGCTCCTTCTCCACCTCATCTTGTTCAACTTCCCAGTATTCCTCGTCAATCGTAAAGTATTTCAAAGTTTCCAATTCACCTTTAAGCATTCCAATGTCTCTATTAGTTGGATCAATGTTAAGACTGTACCTCAACACTGAAAACATCTCACCGCTCATGGTGGAAAAAATATCAAACAAAGCTTCACGATTCACCACAAACTGTAAGAACCTTTTGTCTGAATGATTTGCAATCAGGAAAGGGTTCTTATGAAATACCAATGTGAGTAAAATGATTCCAATAGACCACAAGTCAATCTTTGCGGCATCATAGCTTTCCATTTCAGGATCAAAGAGTTCTGGGGCCATGTATCTTTCAGATCCGACATCAAATTCACTCTTGTTGGAAATAATTCTGTTTGTTGTGGCCAAACCCCAGTCACAGAGTTTAATTGACCAGTCTTCTCCAATAAGAATATTTTCAGGTTTCAAATCTCTATGGAACACATTCTTGGAGTGACAGAATTCCAAAGCATCCAATATCTGGTAAAATACATCCTTGATATCCTGTGATGTCAGTGGACCCTTGCCATCTTGAATTGCGTCATAAAGATCACCTCTGGAGCAATATTCCAATACTAAGCATGAATCAAAATGATCATACAATGTAGCAATGTTGGAGTGAACACCCAAGATTTTATGGATAGTGATTTCTTTCTTCGCCTCGTTATATAAAGTCTGAAGAATTGATTTGGAAGGTGGTGAAATGGCTAGTGGATAGAGATCATCGTCTGAGTCACTGTCACTGTCGTCGTCATCGCTTCCATGTTGTCTTTGCTTCTTCTTGGGGAGTGGATAGATATACTTAACTGCGACCAATCTCTTGTCATGCACAATGTCTTCAGCTACCGAAACCAACCCATAAGAGCCCTTGCTGAGATCAGCCAATTTTCTATACTGGCCCTTCAAGAGATCACCCTTGTTATAGTTGTTGTATGCCTCCATCTATGCAGTTGTGAGCCGAAAGGGAGAGAGGGAGATGCCAAAGTTGCAGGTATATATATATATATATATATATATGTAAAAAAAAAAAACCAAAAACCTCCAAATTCTGGTTATGCTGTCGACAATAAAGTCTTTCAGTCTAATGCACGATTTGTTGTGATGATTTGGCTAGATGCCTCTTGATATGTACAAGTGTTGCCCAACAGTTTAATCAGTTTGGTGTATATACTATATTGGTTGAAATTGGGGGCAATGCTGATGTGTGAAATCCACTAATTGTGGTGTACCGTTATGCTTTGAATGTAGAAGTAAGAGACTTGAGATTGGTGGGGTACAATCTTTGACTTCGCTTTTTATTTTTTACTTGCACTGTCTTCGTATTTTTTTTTGTTTCTTTGCTACCGGTTACCTATCGATATTCGTCGGTGTGTGGATATTGTCGATCTTCTTTCTATAAGCCCTGGACTCTGGTGCCTTGTATCTATTCGACTCTCTTCTCCTGTTCAACAATCTCTTACTATTTACACCTTCTTGTACAAAAGAAACCACCTTGTGAATTTTAACTTGCCGATTTGAGAAGCCAGATCGCACACTGATTTTTAAATTTTCTCCAGACTGATGGACAAAAGAATTTGATGAGTTCGATGGAATACAGGAAAGAGCCAAAATTGTGAAGAGGGTTAGAGCTGCCGAGGTTGCAGAGAAAATAAAGCTGTTATCTTCTGGTACTCAAAAGAGGTTGATATAAACGAAATACGATAAATTACAAAATTACATGACTCCAATTGACCAACCCCCTGAAAAAGGGGAAGCAAGTTTCAGTGCAATTGGTAAAGACAATACCTCTCGTTTTCATCCTCAGATTAGGGCCAAACAAAGGATTCAGCCATACCAATTTAGGTCCGGCAATGACACAAAGGAGATCGACGCTCGCTACTGTAGGGGCAACCGATAAAAGCAAAGATAGCCCAAGGGCTGGGGGTGAGCATGGTGAGCTATGGGGACTGCACATACGATGGTGAGCCAGTCTTGGCTGGCGGGATGAGCAGCTCGGTGCAGCACCACAGTTTGGGGGCAGAATATATGCCCTCTAAAGAGGTGGTTTGGGTGCTGTTTTTTGGGATTTTCCTTCGAATTCTTCGGTAACCTGCCTCTGAGAGGCCCATATCGCCTTGCTGTTCAAGCTCCCCTCCCCCCTTGCCCCAAAACACCTGCTCTTGCTACCCTTCTTTCGACCGACCTTCGTGACCTGCATATAGTCAATTCATTATCCACTATAGTACTTGTCAAAATACTGCATATAGAGCACTTTGTGTCTAGCGAAGACAAGACGTACAACTAAGCTGGCCCTAGTGTACCCTATCTCTGCATTGCAACACACATTATTCGAGCAGCCCAAGATGGACGACTTGATTGCAAACTTTCTTGCGTTCACATCTACGGAAGATGAAAACACCGCAAAACAGTACCTTGAGATGACGGGGAACGATCTCGAGTACGCGGTTACTCTCTACATGGAATCAGTCCCGCCACCAGCAGCAGAGACGCACACCAGCAACCATGAAGATGATGAGCAGATAGCACAGAGGCTTCAGAATGAAGCTTACGGCGAACAGACTCAGGTGAGAGCGGCTGACACAAACATTCACAGACATGAGACTTTGGTCGACTCCTTCCCCCCTCAGTATGGTGGTGAAGGTTTGGGATCAATGCACAGTTCCTTCAACAATGCTGCCGCTATGTTTGGCGCTGGAAGAGTTGGAATATTCAACCAACGATTTGATGACGAGGAGAATGAATACCACCAGCACAGATTTGAGGAGCAAGATGATGAGGACTACAATGACGATGTAGATTACGAAGATGAAATTGAAGACGACGATTTTGTTGAGATCCAAGATCTCGATAATGACAACGACAACGACAACGACAACGACCAAGATGAAGATATAATGATTGTAGGAAGCAATGACGAAGATGTCACGAACGGTAGGCGTCCTATAGGACGTAGAAGAGTCAACAGGGACTCCAGAATGTCCGATCTTTCGTTTACTCAACAGAGGTTGGCCAATTTGTTTAGACCACCTTTCGATATCATGTCCAAGATTAACTTAGACACAGCCAAGAGTGAAGGAAGATTAGCCAAGAAGTGGATTCTTATTAACATTCAAGATGCAAGGGAATTCCAGTGCCAGGTTCTCAATCGTGATTTTTGGTCGCTGACGCGGATCAAGCTGAAGGTGAAGGATAACTTCATCTTCTTGCAGTATCAACATGATCTGGCAAATGGATTAAACTATACAAATTTCTATTCCACAGGCCAGCTTCCACATATAGCCATCTTAGACCCATTGACTGGTGAAAGGGTACGCACTTGGGAAGATGGAGTTGTGCCACAGGTAGAGAGTTGGTGCAGCGATGTAGACGAATTTCTAACTGAGTTTTCACTTGCTCCAGGCTCTCAGAACCCTGTCGTTAAGCACGAAGTTAAATTTGACCCCGATGCATTGACCGAAGAGCAGCAAATAGAATTCGCATTGAAGCAATCGATATTGGATAAACAGGAACAAGGCACAGCTAACGACCCCATTGACCTTGATCCCTCCTCAGAACCTGAATCAGCACCTAAAGTCCTTGAACAGCCAGAAGAAACAGACCCCTTCAAACGTATTCTGGCTGCAGAGCATAAAGAACCTGAAGGTCCTCCAACTGCAACAACCAGAGTGCAGATCAGATTTCCTAATGGTAAGAGAGTCATACACAAGTTTGATACAGAAAATGATACAGTTCTTCAATTATACCAATGGTTAAAATATTTATTAGAATCCTCCCCTGGCAATGAGTATGGATTAGCTGCCGGTGATCACTTCAGTCTTTCTACGCCACTGAATAAGTCCGGAAAGCCTTTAATTGAATTATTAGATAATTCCATCGTAGAGGCAGGCTTGAAGAATGCTAGTGTATTGCTAGAGAAGGAATAATGTATATAGGTATATATAGTAATGAGAAAAGTATACGTAATAAATTAAACTTATCTTGCTATGTGTCTCATCTAAGGATACCTGCCGTAGTAATTTTGTCTGAACGGAGGTAAGTCAGGCGGCCCTGGAGGGCCTTGAGGAGGTTGAGGAGGTTGAGGTTGCCATTGTTGTTGTAATATTTGAGGCAAAGGGAGCTGAGGCTGACCCGGAGATTGCTGTCTTTGACCTACGAGACTTGGAGGAGGATGAATTTGTTGGTATAATTGCCTTTGTGATTGGGGGTCCAGTTTATCTTGTTGTGATTGCTGTTGGACTTGGGAAGGAGGTGGACCTTGAGATTGATAGTGTGAAAGTCCTGCTTGATGGTGTGGGTGGAGAAATTGCCTTTGATGATGCAATTGATAGCTTTCTTGCTCTTGAAGTTGGAGTTGGCGCTGACGAAGTTGAAGCTCTTCGTCGTGTTGCCTCTGTTGTCTTTGCTGGAGAAGAATCTGCTGTTGAATTTCGTGCTCCTTTTGACGAAGCTGGCTCTCTAGTCTTTCTTGCTCTCTTAATTTTTGTTCGCGCTTCTCTTCTGCTATCCTTGCCTTTCTTTGACGTTCAGCTTCTTCTTCTTCTCTCCTCTTTTCCTCTTCTTTCTTTCTTTTTCTTTCAATTTCTCTTTCTCTCTCTTTCTCTCTTTCTCTTTCTCTTTCCCTTTCCCTTTCCCTTTCTCTCTCCCTTTCTTTTTCTTCTTCTTCCTCTCTCTTCTTCCTCTTCTTTCTTTCAAGTTCTTCTTTATCCTTCAATCTCTTCTGTTCTTGGTCTGTTCTATAATTCAATGTTGGGAATGATTCAAAAGGAGGAAGCTCTTGAAACCTGAATTTTGCGCCCGGTGAAGTTGGAGATGATACAGATATAGATGAAGTAGGTGAGTTCGATGTCTCACTACCATTATCGACTTGCAAAAGTTGCTTGTACTTTAAATGCATAGATGATTCAGGGAAGAAATTGATTTTGGGTGTAAATACATTTCCTCCTTCAACATATTCCTCTTCATCGTCTTCCTCTTCATCGTCATCGTCTTCATCATCATCATCATCTTCATCATCATCCTCGTCATCATCATCATCTTCGTCTTCATCGTCATCATCATCCTCATCATCGACATCATCTTCCTCGTCTTCCTCATCATACACATCGATATCCAAGTCGTGATACTTTGTTGAAACTCTCTCATTTCCACTTGCAATAATTTTACCGTATTCTTTTTGCCTCTCGATTCCCAGTCTTAACATAGCCATATCATCATCAAGACTCTCGTCAGGTCTATTTATATTAAGCAAATCCTTATTACTTACCTTCGCCAATATATCTTGCTTGATGTTGGTTAGTTCAACCTTGTTCTTCTTGAAATACATCTCCTCTTGTTGGTAATAATTGTCGTTATTCAAATTATTCTCCAGTGAGAACTTCCTTTTCAATTGATTAGGCTGTATCACTGATTTGTAGTAGTTCTTATCACCAATTTCTTTCAACCTGGAGCCATTTATCTCGTAGTATTCTTGATACAAATTGTTGAGCTGGCTATAGGTTTTGTCAAGCAAGTCTTGCTTGGATTGTATCATAGAATCATAGTACTGTTTCCAACGAGTGCTTGATCTTGTTTTAGAATTGAATTCATTGAGATTTACCTGATAGTAGAATTGATTCAAAAAAATCGTTAATTCATCATTAATCGGTGTAATGATTTTTTGGAACTCTTTGTAAAAGGGCAACTGATTAGTAGGGTCGTTGAAGTTAGATTCCACCACCAAAGGTGATTGCACACTAGACAAGAGCTTGGATATTTCTTCTTGGTTTTGCTTGTAGGGTAAAATTTTCCTGTTGGAACCACTGTAGCTGTGATGGTTGCTGGCGGAGGACCCCCCTTTGCTACTGGCACCCGACAAAATCAAATCTTCAGTATTGGTTTTCAAGTTCTTGATCAACTCAACCTCATAGTTATACACCTGTTGCCATAGTTTATCCTTTTCCGTTATGAGATGGATTTGGGAATCGATGTTATCAAGCATGGCATGGATCCTGGATAATCTGGACTCGATATATCGGTGGGTCAATTTTTTGTATTCGTTTTGGATTTCTGTTTCTAGTGCTGAGAGCTCTTGTACATCCAAATTGGGTGAATTGGTCACCTTGGCCAAAGTTGCACTGTTGGTCGTAAAGGGTGTCTGAGCAGACCCATCTGACTTGTGTAACACCATTATTGTAAGACTTCTAACAGCAGCAACAAGTACTGATTGAACAGAGTATATATGGTTGCTGGAGAAACCGACGGGCTGGGGTTGGTTCCTTTTCTTTTTTGCAATTTTTGTTATTCCAATTTTTTGCATTCAAAGCAAAAGCAAAAGCGGAAAAAAAAAAAAAAAAAAAAAAAAAAAAAAAGACAATAAAATATATTCAATTAGGAACGAAAGGCTATGAGGAATAACCTGAACTGTCCGCCCGTTAGGAACAGTCAAGGCACAAGAGGTGAATGAGAAGCTACACCACGACACTGGAAGACGTGGATTGAGAAATTATTGTGCAGGCTGTTCTAGGATTACACAATGCACTCTGGCAGGCATTTATATGTACGTTGCTTTACACATATATTGGCATATCTGCATTTGGTCGGCTACTACTTAAATGCCCAGTTATCGCTCTATCCTTAATTTCTTTCTCTCGTATGATGCATAAAAATCTCACTCACTCATTTTTACCGACGTATCTTGTAGGTTGACGGTATTTTATGCAGCATTCTTCCTGCGCAGCCATTGCAGAGCCAGAAAAAAAGTGAAGGACACGGAGAAGGATCGTTTGGTACTGCATAGAGGTGATAGTTGGCGTGAGCATGACAGTCGTGCATGCTATAGCTGGGAGAGAGCTGGGAGAGAGCTGGTGCTCCACGGTTACTAGGCTCCTCTCCTTCTGCAACCTCTCACTTTGAGAGGCATATCGTAGCAGTAGCCCTCAACTCTCTTCACCGTTTTCCTACGCATGATTACCAAATAGATAGTTGTATTGTATATATGTATATTCCTATTTATTTTTCCATTCCTTAACTTGCTCTCCTTGTGCTTCAGACTCAAGTGGTTTCGCACTCAGTCCCGCACCAGTCTCGCACTCACCTTTGCTTCGCAGTTACTTTACAGTTACTTAACGGTCTTCTGCCCATTCGTTCTCTCTCCTGATAGCAGCTTCTTCCTCAGGACTGAAGTCATTCACAATATTGAATGTCCTTCTCAATTCTTCTGGACTTTTCCCCCTGATCATTTCCGCGACAATCTTACACCCACTGTCAAGCAATGGTCTAATGTTTAAGTAGTTCGCAGCTAAGATAATCTCGTAAAGCATCTCTTGGTCTACCTGTAAGAAATTCTTATCCCACTCGTCAACTGGAGCACTCTTCTTGGCATCTTCTTCATCATCATCTGGAAATATAGAATCCTTGTGATGCTCACACCACTCCAAAACTTTGGCTAAAACAGTAGATTTTACGTTGGGAGTTGGCAATTCAAAATCTTCTTCCAATCCGTCAGGGTTTAAATCGTTCACCATGTTCTTAATCAAAATAGATTTCTCTGCCACTTTCAATTCTACGGGGAATTTTTCATCATCCGATGATACAATAATCACTTTAGGTTGCGACATGTTCTCTGTATATATATTTACTTATACGTAGTTACCTTTAAGATGCCTATATCCGCTTATAAATGGAGTGGGTGTTTTCTAAATCGCTTTTGAGAACAAAATTTACAATTTGCTACATATCAAAGGCTTACAATATGCAGGATGTCCACTCACAACATGTGGATCCTCATGGACGAGAGGGTACCCCATAAGATGTGGAGGTAGAATGGATAACACCATGAAGAGCCAGCTTCAGAGGTTATACAATTATTTGCTACAACTACATAGCAACAAATATACTCGAAAAAAATCTTATTGAATAAATATAGTACTAACTTTAATTACCTATAACCAACCTGAATTCGTCTTTGTTTTCATTTTTTTAATTTTTTTCATATTTCTTATTCTTTTCTGTTCCACACAATCAAGGTTCATCACTGGAATGTGTAACAATACAGTTTCCGAACCCTCTCACTGGAAATTAGAATAGATACTTGCACTCAATTCATCTAATACTTCCAACAGATCTAAATTGTTAATGAAAACGTTCCCACTGAACTCCTCTTCCTCTGTATCAAATCCACTTTGTGGAGCGGCAACGTTGTTGCTGTCGCATAATACGGCACTCTGAATACTTAACTGTGCCAATAAGATTGCCAACTTGAATCTCTTACCCTCTGGAACTTGATCGATTTCAAATATTTTACTATCTTCCTCACCGTTGTCCAACTTCATTAATAATTCTGGTTCAAGTGATATTGACAAGTTATTTATTAATGTTACCAAGTTGATGTTCTCAACCATGTTGTAATATGTGGACATGAAGCTTGGAACGTCTTCTATGAAGAAATATGTCTCATCGATCAACTTGAGCAAGGTGCTATCTTTCTGATACAAGTTTTCTATGATCTCGGGCGTAGTATTCGACAAGGTTTCCACTAACGCATCATGATTATTAGGAGGAAAGATGGATGATATGATCATTGGCTCAAAGGCAGGCGAGTTTAGTTCCTGGACAACGCTATTCAAAATGCTTTCAAATTCCTTGATAGAAATTTCTGTTCTGGCATTAATGTTCTCAAAGTGTCTGTTCACGACGTCTTCAATGTTATTTGAAAGTGTTAACCATCCCTTGTTGAGCAACCACCAACTAAGTGAAAGGAAGGATTGTTCGGCGAAATAGTCGCTGGATTCGTCTGCCTCTATATTATTACCTCCACCACCGCCAACTATCCCAAAGAAGCCGCTCTTCTTCTGATCGCCCGCCATTTGAATGGCTGTCTCCAAGTAAGATCTTCTTGCTAAAATATTCATGCTCAACCTAGTAATCAACAATAACCCACTCAAGGTATAACTCAAAGTGAGGAATCTCGTTATAGTCTTAATCTTCAATATCTTCCACAACTCGGTCTTAGACTGCGTAGAGTAAAAACTTAAATCATCATCGATGTTAGATGATTTCTCCAAGTTCTCCAAGTTCCCTGTGGTGAGCATGGAATCTGTCAAAACTTTACTATTGCCTATGGAGTTTGGCGCATTACTGGTGCCCTTCTTATTTTTCAATGCTTGAGTCACCAATTCCACGGGTAAATGGTCAAGGATTGGCTGTGTTAAAACAGGTAGGAGAGCTAAGATAGTTAGGTAACAATCCTTCTGCGTTTGAGTGAATCTTCTCTTAATCTGTTCACGAACGAATGCTTCCTGCTTCAACGACTGTTGAAACGACCGGAACTTCTTTATAACAAAGTGGTTAAACAAGAAGTACACTCCAAGTGAAACTGATGTAGAAATCAAAAGTTTACGTCTATGACGTCTCAAGAAAGTAGAAAGTGAAGAAAAGATAGCCATCTTTAAATTTGTGTGCTCTATTTAGTACGATACCAATGGTCCAACTAATATTCTCTATTTCCTACTTTTTCAGTCTATTTTTCTTCTGATACCTGTTGCCTGTATGTAACCTTTGATCCTCCCTGGTTTGCTGTATCTCACTATAAATAATCTGGCCACTGGAGTATACTCTCAGTGTGGACTACTCCCTTCCTGCTGCTGGATGTTCTCACAGTCGCCTGTCGTTCGCAGTTCCCTTGGGTACTGCATACAGCCACTCTTGTCGATGAATCGTGCCAATCTTCAAATATTATCACAAGCAATATGAAGGACTCTAGTGGGGGCAAGATCTCAGTGCGCGTAGAAGCAAGTGTAAAATTTCCCTAATGGTAGTGAGAAACTGGGGTAGAGAATGAGAGCCGAGGCCGAAATAAAAACTCCATTTCGCACTGTGGTGGGGAAAAACGACGTAATGATATGCAACCATCTTATTCTAGGAAAGGGAGGTCTGACATAGAGAAGTAGGAATATTACTAGGGCCATGGTGTATGGTTAGAAGTGTTATAGTGTATACTCTCGAAGCTACGCATTCTGTTGAGATAGGGGCGTTTAGGTTCTTTTCTTGTGTAGTTTTTTTATTATAGAATAGTAATATGACATGGTATAGAGTGGTATGGTTGGTGCTTCTCTCGTTTTACCTGTACTAACAAAATTGATAGGTAGCATAAAGAAGAAGAAAAATTACTGAGGTCATAGCGTTTGATCAGAAATCATACATAATATAGGAAGTTGTGTTTTTTATTGAAATGTTTCACTTTTAAGGTCTTTCCTTTTCTTGGAAAATAATGATACGGTATGGTACGATATGGTACTCTCTCGCTTTATCAGTAGGCTGCAAATTACCTTTCTTTCGCACCAGAAGTATGGCTATCTCTGTTTCTCTTACCCTCTAACTACTCAACAGTCACACTCTTAGCCAAGTTTCTTGGAAAATCTACATCGATACCTCTGCTCACTGCTAGCCAGTAACTTATTAACTGCAATGGAATTACATTCAAGAGCCCTTGTAAACAATCAACAGTTAAAGGTACTTCTAAGATGGCCATAGTTTTAGAGTCCATACCAGAAATAGTGCCCTCATTTTCGTTACAAATGATAATTGGTCTACCATCTCTGGCTATAACTTGTTCAATTGCCAGCATGGTTTTGGGGAAAAGAGAATCCTTTGTAGCAAAGGCAATTATTGGCAAATCTTTATCAACCAAAGCCAAGACACCATGCTTCAATTCCCCGGCCAAGACACCTTCTGAATGCATGTACGATATTTCCTTGATTTTCAATGCACCTTCTAATGCTGTAGCATATTGATAACCTCTTCCTAAGAGCAACAACGATTTTTGTTTATTTAAATGATCATTGCAAAGCTTTTTTATTTTCTCCTCCAATTGAAGGACAGCACTAATTTGTTCCGGAATCTTTTGTAAACCTTTCAAGATCTCTTCATGACGCAGTCTTCTGCCGATTGAATCGCTAGATAAAGAAAGTGCAAACATCACCAAAGCAATATATTGCGAAGTGTAAGCTTTAGTTGAAGCAACACCAATTTCGGGCCCTGCATTGATATGAACACCACAATTGGTCTGTCTTGAAATTGACGATCCGACAGAATTCACTACCCCAACCGTTATAGCGCCCCTTTCAATACAGTATCTCAACGCAAGCATGGAGTCTGCAGTTTCTCCCGATTGTGAGACAAATACACACAGGTCATCCCTGAAAACTGGCAGCTTTCTATCCAAAAAGTCTGAAGCCAATTCCACAGACACTGGAATCTCTGTCAATTCTTCAATTATAGATCTAGTAGCCAAGCAAGAATGGTATGAGGTACCACATGCAATCATTAAAATTCTACGTGATCTTCTAATCAAAGGCATCCATTGTTCTAGTCCACCTAAGGTCACCTTGTAGTTATCGAAGTCAATTCTACCTCTCATTGTATTGAAAGTGGACTCAGGTTGTTCGAATATTTCTTTTTGCATAAAGTGATTATAAGTACCCTTCATGAGTTCATTAAGTTCCATTTCGAAATCTTGGATTTGTCTCTTAGTTTCTTCACCAATTTGCTTTGAATTCAACCTGTGGATTTTCAATTCACCGTCGTGAATATGGACGATATCATCATCTTCTAAAAATAAAATTTTTTTAGTGTGTTTAATGACCGAAGAAGGATCTGAAGCCAAGAAGTACTCTACAGGGGAAGGTTGTCCGTCTTGATCTTCTGTAAGGAAGGCTCTAGATCCTGTTGTTCTTAACCCAGCATGTCCGTTACCACCATTAAGAGCAGCACTTGGGCTTAAGCCAAAGTTATTTTCACTTTTCTTGGTGTCTTCGTATTCCACATCAACGAAATCCACAGTCAACTTGCGGTCAGTTTTCACTCCAAGCAATAAGGGAGAACCTTTTCTTGTGGCACATACTTCATTAGGATAATGTGAGGACATTACCAACAACCCATAACTTCCTTCTAACTCGTACAAAACTTGCTTTGTTAATTGATTGAAGTCAATATTAGGATTCTGATCATAAATATGTTTAAATAACTTGGCAATACATTCAGTATCGGTTTCAGTTACAAAAACCATTCCCTTGGATTCTAAAAGTGACTTGAGAGCTTTGTAATTAGTAATAATACCATTGTGAATTACTACAAAATCATTCTTTGGGTCCGATCCAATTGGATGACAGTTTACTGTTAAGGGCAGACCGTGAGTGGCCCATCTTGTATGCGCAATTGCTGCATGGGAATTAAAGATTTTACTACGATCTAAGTCTGAGTGGGTTCTAGAAGCGATTTCTTCTTTAAGTACTCTGACTTTGCCTACACGTTTAATAATAGTTGTTTCATTAGGGTTGTCACCTTTAATTGCAATTCCACTTGAATCATAGCCTCTATATTCAAGTTTTTGCAAACCATCGAGTAGTATGTCAATAATTTCACCTCGAGATTTGTCTACAATGTAGTTAACATAGCCAAAAATTCCACTTTATAGGTTAGTACTTCTCAAGATACAGATATCTGGCCATTAGATCGCGTTCATGATCTTCCATGAAATCAGGCTTCTCCACATTTACGTACCACATTTCACTTATTTTTTACTTGAATTCGTTAGCGATATGCCCGCCTTCCAAAATGATAATTCTGCTCAGATATATGTGTTCCTGGTCAAAAAGAATTAGTAATCTCTGTAGCACTTTGACGTGGCAGATTTCCGTATCGCATCCCAATTTGGAAAAAACGTCAACAAGAAAAGAAAAAGACGTTGAGTTTAATTTACGAGATATCATAAGGCTGGAAATTCCTACGTACCTACTCGATAGTTTATTTTAGTTTGAAGTTTGCATTACACATTAAGATGATGACGAAGACATTCTATATTACTCAGAAAATGCTTCCGACAGAAACGATCCAAACAGAGTAAGTTCAACCTCACGATCTGAAAGTAAGGTACATAAAATCCAGTAGGTTTGAAAAAAGCTATAAGGATAGGAGTTATCCCGCCGATATTACAGCATTAACAGTATATTCTTCCTGCTATAAGAGATGAATAGCAGCATAATGCTAACATATTCCAATATGAGATCGATATTACATATATAATCATTGACTGCCTACTTCGTACTAAGAACATTTTTCACGCTATCTCGTAAATTATGCGATAAGAAAAAAATCTTGATGACACTTTTTAACTCCGCGGAGGGGAGCATTTATGATTTGGGGGGAGACATTTCACAACTAAAAAGTGTTCGAATAGCACATAGAAACAGTAGCTGAAGGAACAGGATCTGATAACTGGAACTTTTAGAATTCTGTATAGAAAAGTTCGTCTTCATCGTTTCAGTGATCGCCTTCTTTGCCTTTCCCTTTCTGCTTATTATGGCAAGATGGATTGGGAACTGTTCCTCAATGACCTTCCTCTAGAGCTTATAGAATATATATTCACATTTTTCAGCATTGAAAATGATCTTAAAACTTTGATTAATTTGGTTTCAGCTGAGTCCAAAGTGAAAGAATTTAGAATTAGACAAGTCATACTTAATAGATTGCTAAAATTTGTAGTAATAGATCCATCGTGTTGGGTTAAGGAATTCTCATCACAAGACTATTGGTACCCATCGATGAAAGAGCTTAAATTGCTACTCCTGGAAATTGATGTTCCAATAACCACAAACATTCAGCTATGTGTCCACCATAACTTTGAGAAAAATAGAGATGAGATAGAAGAATTGGCACAATTCCTAGGCTCTGGAAGGTACTTCAATATCAAATGTAGACTATATATGAAGGATAATTTCGAGCACATATGCAGCTGTGTTACAATTTTGAGAGACTATGATGTTTTTCACAAGGTCACACATCTTGAGCTAGTTAGTACTACCACCGACATCGCAAATTTACCAGAACAGGGGTCACATACCGGAGACAAAGAATTGGCTACCTCGCTTTTCGAGCCGTTCCAGCTCGATTCCGGTACCGGTCCCGCCAAGGTGTTGGAGATGGGTAAGTTTCCAGTAGTCAATTATTAGGAAAAAAATTATGGGATGGTCGGAGTACCTAGAAACTTAAATTAGCATCACAACCGAACTACTTCCATGCAAAAGAGAATGTGAACGCAAGACACTTACAAAGCCTAATTGAATAATTTAGCCGAAAAAATAAATTCACCTTTAGTTACTGTGCGTATCAAAACATCTAAGCATAGATGTGCCGGTATAACGTCAAGACACTTGGCTTAAATGCTTCAAGTAGTTAATCCGGTATATTGTATGAGAAGCTACGCTAGCTGTATACATTTAGTCTTCCTTCGAATGTACAAGATCAATAACGATATAAATAAACATATACAATTATTTAAGTGGTAACGTAGTAGCTTATTAAAATTTAGCCGATTTATGCCAACGTGGTGAGAATTAGTACCATTACTTGAATGAAATCCATGTTACAGGTAACCTTTTGTATTGTTCCAATGGTATGTATATACCCACGTGTTCTTTGTGCAGGAAATCAGATCAAAAAAGGATTCCAATGCAACTGTTTAGGAACAAGTAGGTGCGGCTCTCATGCATGAGTCTGCAGTTGTTGCGAAGCTGATAACTTCTCATCAATTAAAATGCAATGAGCAAAGCAAATGGTTAAAAGGGGTAGACTGAATGGCTCCATTCATATGTATATGACAGAATCTAAATTGATACAGCAATTAAGTGATGGACCAATTAAGTTATTTTGATGGAAGCATCGTGGCCCAGTGGACAAATATCTTGGCTTTCTAATTTTAAATTAAGTACGGCCTTAATTAAATAGTGCCGATTGACTTATCTGAAACTGCTAAACTAAAAATTAGTTCAATACTCCTTCGACAATGGTTAGGATAAAAGATAACAATATATAAGTATCGTATAATATTCACTTGAAATTTAACTTTTGTTTTTTCCTTTTACAGTAAAGAAATCAAAAAGAATAATTGAATCTTCTGGATCTCATCTATCGCTTATATTATCAAACAATGCAACTTACAAATTTTTTGAGTGCTGCTTTAGTCGCCGCATCAGTATCTGCAAAGACTATTCTTCTTACCAATGATGATTCCTGGGCTTCCACTAACATTAGAGCCACCTACAGAGATTTAACTGCTGCTGGACATGAGGTTGTTTTGGTTGCACCAGTTTCACAAAGATCCGGATGGGGTGGTAAGTTCGATGTTCCATATTCACCAACTTTACAAACTGATGGAGAATTTGGTTATGTTAAGCAAGGTGCTCCAAGTTGGGGTCATGAAGAAGACAACCAAAATATTTGGTACTTCAATGGTACTCCAGCTTCATCTGTTGCCTTCGCATTAAAATACGTTATGCCTAAATATTTCGACAACAAGACTTTTGACCTTGTTGTTGCTGGTCCAAATGAAGGTCTTAACTTATCACCAGGTTCGTTAACTGGTTCCGGTACTGATGGTGCCACTTACAATTCTGCTTACAGAAACCTCCCAGCCATTGCCTTCTCTGGTTCGAATGGTAACAACTCCTTCTTCAAGGACTCTCTTGACGAAGATCCATTAAACCCATCAAACATCTATTCAAAGAAGGTTGTTGAGTTTGTCAATGGATTATTCGAAAAGCAAGGTGACAACGAAAGAGCTTTACCATTAACTACGTTCTTAAACGTCAACTTCCCATTGGTCGGTTACCAATCTACAGATGAGTCTTGTGTCGACCCAGAATACGTCTTATCTAGATTAACTGGACTTGAGGCTACCACATTCGACTTAGTTTGGAACGAAACTACCAACATGCCAGTTTTCCAGGCCCAAACTTACACTGCTTTAACTGCTTGTAACAACGGTGACTGCTCATTGGCAGGAGAAACCTATGTCATCAACCACGACACTTGTAAGACTCCAGTTTCTGTTGCTTCAATTGACTACGATGCTAACCTTCAACTTACCGAAGAAGTAAGAGTCTTGTTGGGACTTTAGATGTCAGCGTCTATATTACCCATATTCCTACAAAATTAGCTGACTGGTCCATCTAACTGAAACAGAACCAAAAAAGCTACACAAAAAAAAAAAGTCAAAAGTCAAATGAAACTATAAAAAGGAAAAAAAAAAACTTATAGAACAACCCCATTTTCAAAATTTCCCTTCGTATCCGCTTTACACTCTTTCGAATTAAACTTTATTTATATGAATGTATACCTACTCATCTTATCGTGCAGTGAAGTGTAGTAATTAGAGAGAAGCCAAGCCACAGGGAACGTTCCCCAACTTTTGCAGCTTAAATAAGCGCAGGTTTGAGTAGGCGCATAAAAATAAAAAGAAAAAGAAAGGAAAAAAAAAAATAGAAGCCCACTGGAAATAAAACGCTACAGCCTTTTTTTTTTCCAGCCTCTCTTGCTCTGTCTTAATCTTCCCTACATGAACTTCTATCTTCTTTCACAAAGGGCTAGTAGTATCCTTTTGTTCTTCTTTTTCCTCCAGATTTAGGGCCCCACCATGCGCACATCGGCTTTCTTCGTAATACGTTCCATTGATACTATTCAATACTCCATTCATCCCTAAATTCATCCCTCCACCACACTAGCTTATCAATCTAGCCAACTACTCCGGACCTACCGACCTCCTGCGGCCTGCACATGAAATCGTCCCCTATAAAAAAAAATATATTACTACTATGCCGAACCCCATTGGAAATGGTTACGCACATTCAGCAACATTATAGCATTGCTTCGGTGACCTATTCGATTTTCTTCTTGGAACCAATTGAATTATATTAAAGTCTATATATTGCCACGAAGTCAATTCAGAACTATCAGGAACTAGACAAGTAGGATCTGATTTGCATTTTATTTCTTGTTTTAGGTCAATTCATTGCCCTTTTCCCATCCTACACTCGTCAATTTTTCAAGCGGCTACAGATTGAGTTAGCGCTCTATCGTTTCAAGGTATAGTGATTTTTTTTATTCAGGTTTTATTTTCATTGTTTCCAAGGAATATATGTCCAAACTAATTGCTAAGATAAAGGATAACGACTCCAATGGCGACAAGAGCTCCAAACACCACCACTCCTTAAGCAATATATTCCACCTTCATACGGACTCCGCAGGCTCTGAGGAACTGACTGTCAAATCCATTACCAGGAAGACCAGATCCAGATCCAATTCTTTGAATAAAGGAGGCAATGGCGCTGCGTCCCATTCAGGAGCAACTCCGTCATACGCTACCCACAGAGCATCAAGGTCCAATCGCCATTCACTCAACAGTACCACTGGTGCTACTGCTAATGATAGACTTCGCAGCTCCGTGTCTCCGTTGCCTAACCCGCTAATCAAATCTCAGTCAATGGACCACTCCCTCAGTCTTACCAGCCAGCCGTACAGTGCAATTAGTAGCAATGTTGGCGATATCAGCATAAGCAATACAATGAGTGCGTCAATTCCTAGATCGACCTCTACCCCACTTATTCACGTTGGTAATGATCAAAGTAATACAAGTCTTCAAGACTCCAATTCCCCACAGCCATTTCCCAGTGTTGAAAGTCCAACAGAGGCTGCTCCACCTAGTAAGCATTCGAATGGCTTCTTTTCTACCATGTTAAGTGCAATTAGTTCTCCTGTGCCACATGAATCACAGACCGACGAGGAGAAAGATAAAGACCACGGCACTAGTATTAGCGCCACTAATAGTCATACCAACAACAATAATAATAACCACAACACGCTGTTCTCAAGTAAATTAGACTTCTTGCTCAAGCCAGCGAAGTTTGGAAAGTCGAAGTCTTCTCTTCCAGAAGATGGGCAAACTGCTGGCGATAAATCAGAGGAGACCAATAGCATCAGTGATGGGCGTGCTGCTGTTAGCGACAATGAAAGTAAGAGTTTCATTGGAGAAGACGTCCCTTCAACTTCCAATGTTCACTTTGAATCTATAAGAGAATCTCCTTTGCAAACTTTGGGAACTGGTAATTTATCCTTACATATATTTGAGAAAAACAATAACTCGTCCTTAAAGAATGGGCCAGACTATAAGAGGAATGATAACACCATCAGCTTCAGTTCAGCTGATGCGAACGGTGAGAGTACTAGTAGGGCTCAGTCAACTTCATCGAGAAATCATTCTACTGAAAAGATTGATCAGTTATTGGCACATAATGACAATTTGAAGCGAAATTTGTCACCTAATGCGGTAAATAAGCTTCTTCCCTTAAAAAACCAGTTAGCCGTGAGTGGTACAGCTGATAACAAGAAAGTCAGACGTAAGTCCTTCAGTACTGATGGGCCAGGCAGTACAAAAGCTCTAGACGAGGACTCCGATGATTCATTCTCATTTGACGAAAACGAAAATAATAATGCTAATCAAAATCAAAATGGTTCGTTTCAGGATATTGGTATACAAGATTATTCTGATTTTAAGTATGCGAGCAAGAAAAGAAACAAAGAGTTTCATCAAAACTTCAAAGAGGTGCCTCGAAGTGAGAGATTGATTGATGATTTCAGTTGTGCAGTTTCCAGAGATATTCTAGTACAAGGAAGAATTTATCTTTCTCCGGGTTATGTTTGTTTCAATTCCAATATTCTTGGCTGGGTTACAAATATAATTATACCCTTGCAAGAGGTTATTCAAATAGAGAAAAAGACTACTGCAGTTCTTTTCCCAAATGGTATGGTTATTCGTACTCTTCACCAAAAGTACGTCTTTGCTACATTTATTTCAAGAGACTCATTTTTTAGTTTGATTACCAATGTGTGGCATAGAGTCTTGCTAGAAGGTAATGAAATAGACCCTAGTAAGCTAAGGAAGAGGATGAATACATCAGTCAGTTCGAGACGTACGAAACTTAGTGATGAAGATAGCTACTCCAGTGACGATGATGAATACGATGAGGAAGAAGAAGACGATGAAATTCACGCAAAGCTTGAAAATGATGTGGATGTTGATACCCTGGGAATTGTAGATAGTGATGAAGATATCACCAATAATACTAATGGTGCTCCTCAGAAGGAAAATCCTAGCGATGGTAATGCAGCAGTTGCAGATACTTCTAACGGGGATCTGTATAAAGGACTTCCGATCATTGGACCTTCCACGCATGCACCTACAGAAAATGGATATGAAAAATCTCCCAATGATACATTTATTTGTGATGAGACATTGGAAGCGCCTATGGGAGCTATTTTCCGAATTTTATTTGGTGATGGCACTGATAAGTATATCACTATCTTAAAGGAGCAAAAGAATTTTGATATCACAGAAAGTTCTATTACTGCAATATCAAACAATAATAAAGAGAGGAAGTACAGTTATATCAAACCCTTGGGCGGTTCCATAGGTCCTAAACAAACCAAATGTAATATAACTGATACTTTGATTGATTTTTCCATAGATTCATCAATTTTGGTCGAGCAGGTCTCCAGAACCCCAGATGTACCCAGTGGAAGTAGCTTCTCAGTCAAAACCAAGATATATTTAAGTTGGGCACCTAACAATGCTACTAAGATTTACGTTGTTACCTCCATTGAGTGGACAGCAAAATCTTGGATTAAGGGTGCCATTGAAAAGGGTAGTATTGATGGACAAAAGGAATCAATGAAGTCAATGATGGCGACATTAAACAAGTTCATCAAGACCGCACAGTCATCTAGCGCTGGCTCTTCTTCAGCTAACGTTGATAAGAAGAAGAAAAAGAAGAGAAGATCTACGGTTAAGCAAGAAGACGCGCCTGTGATTGAAAAGCAGGAACCTGAACCTCCAAAAACAATCATCAATCAAATATATGATTTGTTTGCCAGTGTTGGAGATTCAGTACCAATTTCTATACCATTTGTAAATAGTGCAAGTGCTGGCTTCGTTTATACCGTAATCTTGTACTTGGTTATTCTGTCACTCGGTAGCATGCTTTTGCATCTAGTTGGTTTTGGAGGTTCCTCATCCCTGTCATATAGAATTGGCTCTGGTAATATGCAATCTCCAGATGACTTCATTTCGAGGATTAAAATCAATGGAAATGAATATTCCATTGTCCAAACAGTTGACTCTACTTTATCGAATGGAAGATTGGCTCGAAACACGGAAATTTCCATGTGGGAATGGATCAGAGACCGCAGTGAGGGCAAAATAGATCTTAACGAGTCTGGTTCAAGTAAGCATGACTTGAAGCCAATAAATTGGTCATCAGACTATTCAAATCTTGAAAGGAAGTATTCGAAAGATGACATTGAAGAGATGTTGGCCATGACTCGTATGAAATTAGATGAAATTCAACAACAAATCTCAAAATCTGAGTCTTCAGTATGAATAGACGGCGAGAAAACTAAAAAAAAATAAAAAATAAAATGCTTTACGAAAGTAATTTTATGTTCATGATCTATAGAAATGTATAAATAATGAATTTGTCATTTCCCTTTGGGTACATGTAGAGAAGTTAATTTCAAATGCATGGAAGCAATATAAAGTTTAAGCGAGAGACACGAAAACAGTAATGGATGCTCCACCATAGACCATTGCTTTATGTGAAAAAAACAAACTACTAAAGTCCACTACAACTCTGCTATATCTAGTCATCGAGCATTAAAACGCATTTACCCTCCTACAAATTCTACGAATAAAGACAGAAACACTATATATATCTTAACTTATTCATATTTAGTAATGTAAACACAGGGCGTGTACGCAAACCGCGTACCATCTCATTCGCTTACCATCTGCTTACCAGCCTTTAGTCATGGAATTGTTATATACACTCCTGTTTATAATCACACGATACAAAAGATGTGAAGCTGACCTACAACATCATTTCTATTGGTGGAAATTTATTTGTGTTCCTGCATATATGGTGTCTGTATTAAGGCGTGGGTTGCAACGATTCAATATAAAATCAGGCGTATGGTCCCTCTTTGATCCACTTCAAATTATGAGAGGCATCAGATAAAAGTTTAATTTATATCTAACTACTTCACTTTATCTAAAGTCTATTCTATATTAGTCTAACAAATTTCATAATATAAATTTTCACAATGGTCTGTCAAGCTTCTGATTGCGTATGTGCTCAAAAATCCACATGTTCCTGTGGCGCCAAACCTGCCTTAGAATGTAACTGTTCTAAAGCTCCAGTTGAAAACGTCAAGCCAACTGCCTCTGAAGCATGTCCATGTGGTAAGAGATTAAAGGGTAAGTGTTCATGTGGTGCTCAGCCATGTGAAGCTAGAGAAGGTGAAATCGACTTCACCAACTCCATGTAAACAGGTTCTACGCTACCGCTGTTGCTGTCTTAGTAGTGCTACTACAAATGAAAAAAATGCATACTATTAAGAGAAGATCGAAAAAGTAAAGCAAATCGGTCATACCAATTGTATTTACCTTTTACTTTTTGATCTTCATCTTCTCTCATCGATACAATAATAGATAATAATCTTACTCATAGTGTATAATATCAAATAAACTAATAATTTGGGAACTACGTGTACTACTCTCTACCTCTCTTCATCTCACCTTGATACTCCATTCATTTTCTCTTTCTTCGCTTCTTAGCTTTTGTGGGGATCCTGCAGATAAGTTACATCTCTCGATTTTGATGCTCCTGTATATAGAGTCAGGACTGGAGCTCTGAGCACCTGAGAGTGCCTACAAAAAAGTCAAGTCCTTTCTCCGGATTCGGTGGAACCTCCACTCTTTCCTTGCTGATTTCATTCTTAATAATTTCCAAGCTATGGCTCGTCTCTCAGGACTTCAAAAAGAGGTGCTAAGGTTATACCGTCATAGTTTAAGATGTGTGCGAACCAAACCGGAAGAATTCAGAAGTCATTGGAAAGCTTACGTAAAGGAAGAGTTTGCTAGATATGATCACATTCAAAAGAAGCAGTTTAGCGTGGTGGAACATTTAATAAGAACTGGGCATAGAAAACTTGAAATGTATCTGAATCCAAATATCAAGAACATACACTAGAGCAGGTCTCCTTAACCAATATTGGAAAGTCAAGACTCTCTTTATTATTTATTAAAGCATAGTATTGAAAGTGAAATTTCATGGTCCTGTATATAGCTACATTCTTTATTTAAACCTACAATGCACATAACTAGCAAGCAACATTAGGTTCAAGAACTGTCCAGTCTACAATTGTAACTATTTTTAATGTATTTATCATTAATTTAAATAACTATCATTACTATTTCACCTCTCTCAAGTAAAAATCTTTTGAAAATTCGAAAACATCAAATCTGTGACATCATTTCTGTATCCCATATCAATCATTTCCTTTTGACCAGTTTCGTCTCTTGCTAACGTTGGCGCAAACACCACTGATAAGTTCTTAAATCCCATTCTATTAACACTGCAATATGAATTTACTAAATCAAGATGTTGGCAAATCGCCTGTAAAGCTAACCTATTGGCAATGGGTAATCTCTGAATAACACTTCTTAAATCTTTCATTCTCTTTTCAATCTTATTTGGAGCATTGGAAGAACTCACCTTGATAAAATCATCGTACAATGAATATGGGATAATTGGTTCTGGTAACTTCCTCAAATACCTTTTTAAAGCTGAAGTGACAGCGTTAATATCGCCTCCGATAGTTTCTTCCAATTTGGTCATTAACTTTTCATCATTTGCTGAATTAGGTGGGAGATTAGTAAAGGCATTCTCAATAGAAACGATCGCTGAGTTACCTCCTGATATTCTGTAAATACCTTCCATGTCTAATCCTCTCTTTTCTACCTCTTCAATACATTTAGTTATAATAAGTGGGAAGTCTTCTTTCTCGTATAAAGCTCTCTTCAGTAAAGTAGATGTAAAAAGTGGACAAGGGTCCACATTTTCTGGTAAAGATTGATTTGATGCCGAGCCATTCAAAAAATTATCCAAGATGTTTGAAGATCTTGACTTTGTTATAAATCCTCCTAATCCCTTCTTGTCTGTTGACGAGGTGACGGTGGTAAGATATTCAGTACCATTTCCATTGACCACTGTACTATTAACGTTGTTACCATTAGTGACATTGTTGTTAGTATTAGCAATTGATCCGTTGTTACCAGCATTTCCATTGGGGTTACCCTGTTGATTACTTGGAATTTTGATTGCATAGGATGAGTAAGCTTGGCTAGTTGGAAGCTGGCTATTACCGTTAGCGTTGTTGATGTCATTCATGGAACCGTTATTAAAGTTATTTCCGTTAACATTATATCCAAGATTATTGTTGCTATTGTTTCCATTGATGATGTTGTTGTTGTTTCCATTAGAACTATTGGTAACAATCATAGGAGTATTACCTGTATTCAATGTGTTAGAATAAGAGCCCTGTTGACCAACAGATTTACCATTCGCATTCATAACTCCAAGTTTGGGTCTTCTCCAAAATTTCAATTTTGTAGCTTTATGCGTCTCAGGACTTTCGTCGTTAGGTTCATCTGAGTATGGTGCCCCTGCCACTAACCCAGACGATTGTGATGGGACATGAGCCAATGCAGTAGAGCCACCACTGTAATCGGTACTGGTACCATATTCATATGAACCCTGTTTATGATGTGAGCTTGTAACAGTGACCTGAGATGCATTCTTAATCTCTAACCTATGATTCTCTTCAGAAAGCGCATTGTTCACTTCTAACAATTTCTTCTTTTCTTTCTTTAATTCATCAACTTCCTTCAATAAAATCTCGTAAAGACCTGTGTCGCCATTAATTTTGTCTTTCAAGTCCTTCAAAGTATGGTTCAATTTACTTCTTTCATTGTATAATCTTTTAACCTCACCGTTCAACAATTGCTTTTGACTATCCAATTGATAAACTTCCAACTTTATAGATCTCATCTCTAAATCGGATCTGGCAAATGGAGTTAGATCTTCATGCACGTCAATTGTACCAGTTTCTGAAGTTGACCTGAAATGATCACGGTTGAACCCAGGCCCTCCAGAGAACTTACTTGTATGTTGAGCAGGTGATGTTAACGGTAATGGAGGAGTGGAAAAGGCGGAGCCAGTAATGGATCCTTCCGATACATGCCTAGAATGGCTCCTTTGAGGAGTTGCTACCTGGACAATATTGTTAATAACAATAGGATCAGAATCTTTGCTCTTGAACAAGGATCCAAATTTATTTGAACCAGCTGACGTAGACCTCTTATGCTTCAAACTGCTCAACTTAGGAGTACGGAGTATTGATGTCTTTCTACTGATACTACCTGACTGCTCAGGAGTAGATGTATGTTCGATTGGAATTTGTTCCTCGAGATTAGTAACAGCGGGGGTAGGGTTGGTAGTAACAGTTGTGCTTGCCAATTTTCCTCCGCTGTCAGGTCTGCTACTACTTTGCCTTGGAGACAGATAGCTATTAAGGTAGTCACGATGCAGGTCATAATAGTCAATATCCAATCCAAGTCCTTGTGGATCAGCTGTCTTATCTTCATCTTCATCGTCTTGTATAGTGTCGGTGAGTCTTGTAATACTAGTAGCTGTAGTTTCAGCCGTATTCTTGTTCGAGTTATTTCCTCCTGTGATTACCGTTGCATTTGTACTGTTGCTATGGTTGTCGCTAAAATCTTTCCTGACTGGTGTAGATGGTACTGAGGGGACCGATGGAAGTGGAACTCTTGGAGGAGGAGATGCCATAGATGCCGGTTGTTGCAATTGTTGTTTCTTTTTTGGTGTACTGTTGATGTTTGCTGCTGCAGCGAATATCTCGTCGTCCAACAAACTATCATCACCACCCATATCAGTAGAAATACTATCATTAGTCTCTACAACTCTTGCTTGCCTATTCGCCTTCGCAAAAGGAGAGTTCATTCTTTGTTTGTAGTTAGAGCTGTCGTTGTTGGATTCATCTGTAGTTACCACCTGTTGCTTGATATCACTACCACTAGATACAATCTCAAGATGTTCGTTATTTCCACTTCTAGCTGAATGGAATTCATGGTCATGAAATTGGTTAGGGGAACGAATGAGAATATTTTTACCTTTTGGATTAGGTAATTGATGTTGCTGTAATTCAATGGAAGAAGCATTTGTTTCTACAGAATTCTTCCTTCTTCTTCTAGCATCAGGATCACCTCTTTCGGCCGACAATTCGACAGCAGGTTGAAGTATCGAGTGGTTGTCTCTAGTTTGTTGCATTTCAGGAGTAGATGGATTTAATGTGACACTCTTTATGGAAGGGCTTCCATGTCTTTTGATTCCGTTACTTAAGCTTTCGTGTTGTGAAAGTGGAGGCGAATGGAGGCTACTTCTAATAGAATTAGCAGAGGTAGCGAAGCGCTCTCTTATCAGCAGCAGGGAATTTTGAACCTGTTTTTGCTGATTTAATTCGTCGTCGCTGTCATTGATCTCTTCGATATTGTAATCGTCATTTTCACCTATTTCTTTGCCGGATTGTGATATTGACGTCACGGTCGTATTGTGTGAATTCGAGTATGGTGGAGATGTAGTCATGGTTGTGGTTCCCACGGCAGAAGTTATATGTGCAGGGATTCTTTGAGGTTCCAATCTCGACACGGATTCTGTTATTGGAGTGGAAAACTGTGATGTGCCCTGAGTTCCGAGTGAATTATGCGATGTAAATGAGCTTTCTGTCCTCTGAGAGAGTACAGAATCTCTGGATATGACCGGTCCTGTGTTGCCTACACTTAATGGTGTGTGACTGTTCAGTAATTGGGACTGTGGTGGAGGTGGTGGTAAATTCTTGTTGATGCTAGAAGTGGATCTGCTCTGTTGTTCATAAAACTCAGCCTTCGACGTTTCTGCTTGACTTGCGTACTCTGGAAATTGTACTGGGTTGAGGGTTTGCAGCTGTGGAGGTGGGGAAGGTGTTGTTATTCTTTGCCCTACTGGATTTTGGCCGTGGCTCAATTGGTTTACCAAAGGAGGTCTTATCAATGGTTGTTCGTCCAATATAATGGGCAGGTGAGATCTGGCAGGAGGCTGAGCAGCAGCAGGTTGGTAGTTTTGATATTGTTGTTGAAGCTGTTGCTGCTGTTGCTGCTGCTGCTGAAGTAATTGCTGCTTCGCTAACGCCTGCTTCTTCAAGTCGTATTTCTTCTTTTTGGCTATCAACTTTTCATGACAATTCATACAAAACAACCCCTTCGACGTCCTGGCATACCTCAAATCTTCAATTTTCTCCTTACATGACCGACACTTGAAGCACGATGAGCAGTACGCCTGATCTCCCGTCAAAATCGCCAAGTCGTCAATCTTCTTGTTACACTGTTTACAATTGTACGAACAGTTGGAGCATATCAAGCTGCCGTTACCCAAAACCAAGAAATTGGAGTTACAACCCAACGACGTATTACATTTGGAACATTTGAAGCAAGGGATGTGCCATCTATCGTCTCCGAGTTCGTATGCATGGCCCTCGTTAATGGGCAACTCGCATTTCTTACACGTCTGCAATTCCGAAGATGCCTCAGCACTGTTAAAAGGATCCATGTTTCGGTATTTCCTTTGGATCTAGAATGGTGTCCTTTTCTTAAAAGATAGTATGAGTGAGACTCTGCTTATAAAAACAGTAAAACGATATGATTGGAAACAAAACTGTCAAATTCAGTCTAGTATAAGCAAACTTCAATTTCAAAATTTCACCCTCTTTTCGGTTTAGGAATTTTTTGTACCTTTTTCTTTTTTTTTTGTCCCTGTTTTGCCTTTAAGCTTAATGAGTGAACGTGTTTAGTTAGTCAGTGGGAGTAATCGGTGGGTGGGACGAGGACTAAGAGTGTGCGTTCCGTACTAGTGGTATAATGTACAGCGAGAAGATAATTGGAATTTTGGAAGGGAAAGGACAAACTACGTTGATACAATTAAAAATGAATACAACGATCTATAAATACAAATCGGCCTGAGAGTGTGTGAGTGTAAACGAAACCACTTTTTTTTTTTTGTTTTAGTTTTTTTTTTTTTTTGTTTTCCTGATTTTATTTTGGTCTTTTTTCGATATTTAGCTAGGGGACTCCTTGTTATTTTTTGCATATTTTGGCCCTACTCGTCACTACGAAAATATTTAAAATTTCCCAATGTATCTTCGCCCTTTATCGAGAAATTAATCAAAGAGGAATAGCCCACCAAGGAACCCACATGCATTAAAATAAATCATAAAACACTCAAGATAGTATTGGAATTCCAATACAATTCAAAATAATTACGTTTAAAAAATATTCAACCGCTTTTTTGCCATAGTAGGCTAACAGTCTCAGAACGGTAATAGTGTTTTCTCGCACCTGTTGATCCTGCTGCTTCTCTCTCTGCGCACGCAGATCACCATAAAAAATCTGACGCTATTAGGAACAATACGTACATTATGCGCAAATGCGTCGCATAAGTTTTCCTTTTTTTGGGGGTGTGTGAAGATTCTAGTCCCGCTTTTCGTCAACATGGGTAAGAGACTAAGCACAGCGAAGCAATCTTGGGTTTCGAGGAGAACTGTAATTTAGCCTTTGCCGAATACAGGTGTGTTTTTCACCCTCCCTCAGTCGAGTCTTTTTGTTCTCCTCGTCATTTTAGTCGAGTCCCCATGTCTTCCCGAGGCTAGCTTGTGAAATCTCAGGCCTTGAAATCAAAGCAAAATGAGTAAAAAAAAAAAAATACAAGAATATTTCAATTTTCACGCGCAAAAAGTTGTATCAGCATGTAATGTAAGAGCTAAATTCTACGCTGGAACCACATCTGCTACAGCTAGTCATAGAGTGCTTACAAAGGGTTTGAGAATAGAAGTTTGACGATACTAGTGAAACAACATGCTGATAACCTCACAGTAGGTGCCGTACCTCGGCAAGTCCGTAGTTTTTCCAAGTCCGTAGATGGTTGCAGAGAGATAGCGTTCTGTTAAGTTCCTTAGACAATTTGATTTTTCTTCATCGCATTCTTTAGATATTCCATATGCGGTAATATTATTGTTTATTCAGGTACGAGGCCGAAAAATCGAACTTTCAATAGCGGTACCTGCATAGAATTTCAAGATTACTAACGAGAGAAGGAAATGTAAACAACATTATTCCATTCAAAGTGTAGATTTACCGCCCCCCTCCCTTCTACTCTCCCTATTACTAGCTGCAAACTAGGCTATTACATGTATTTCATATATTTTGAGCCTTTACATCTATAAAACTGACAGAATTTTCTCTTGTTACCATATTTACACGTGGAATATATTCGTCATGCTATCAAAGACTCATGTTCGTTTATCTTGTTTCACCTTCTATTCTTTTTGTTTCTCTTGGTTTCTTTTTTCCTTTTATCGATTTATTTTATCTTCAACCCTGTTTTGAATAACCATGGAGCAGAATTTAAGCTTTCGTATCTCTCCATGATTTTCTGTGCAAAGAAGCTACTCGAATGCATCTCAAATTTATTGTGCTCGCCAGGCACAGGTGATGAGCGTTTGATGAGATAATTCTGCAACCGTTTCAGTTTGATCGGGAACAATAGACACATATTTAAATGAAGCAGATGATTTTTAGGTAATCTAGCTACAAGCTATTAATAGATCATCATATTGGATCATCAGCAAGCAAGCTCAAACTCTACGTGATCTTTCATTAACAACTTTGGGGAAAATAATTGTTCTGCAGCATTCGAAACATCTCTATCAATTATTCTCATCTTGGTATGTGTGCAGATGAGCACACATTCTCCAGATTTTGTTCAAAGTTGAAATGCTCTACCATGCAACGAAGTTGAAAATAGAAGCGTATTTTCAACCCACGGTACTGCTTCCTTCAATTGCTTGAAACCATTGGATTAAGTCCTGGTCTGGGTAACTCCGTTTATGCGTTAAACGAAGTTCTTTTTTTTGTACTATTTTCGCTTAACCTTTATAAACGGTTAAACGAAAACTTGAGTACGAGTAAATTGTTAGCAGTTGGCTGTTCTGCTAATATCACTCTATTCCTCCCTGTATCTTACTCTCATAATTCCTCTGCAGTTAAATCTTGCTTAATCTTAAATGGCCTGCCTCTCCAATCAATTTCATGACCAATCATAGCCTGTATCCAAATTGGTAAAGCTAGCAATTCCCTTCCTAGCCACGCTGTGAACCACCTAGCCACGGATTTTTGCACAGTAGGCGACTCCTGCTTCTTGAGCCAAGCTGGTAAATTAACATCGCTATGAAGGGCGCTATTCAATAGAACATAAAACTGAATGTAGTCTGTTATTATCCATACAGTCATATGGAACATAAATAATTTCCAGTTGAAAATGGATTTTGCTCCAAGAAACAATGTCAGTATAGCAAAATTTCCATATAAACCACAGAGTATTGATTCTGTAGTAGGTTCGAGCAAAGTAGCAGCTAAGACCATGTACTTTCGAACTCTTAACCATCTCACTCTCCTTTCCATGTAGTCATTTACTCCATTATCCTCACCACTAAGGGGTTGAACTACAACATCTCCGGTCATACCTGTTCTTCCCATTGCGTTCTCCCAGAGACAAATTCCTATCATATTATCCTCTCCAATATACCTAGAGAAGAATTTGATAGCATGTCCAGGACCCAAAGAGGTGAAATATTTAGCATCTTGCAATACATCTGGGGAGTAGAAAAATTGAGAGTCAGTCACTTTAGGAATTTGACTAACAGCATAGTCAAGATCTGATCTTCTATAAATATTAGACTTTCCATTCACACATGGAGCAATTGAAAGGTTGTTAAACGTCACGTAGAACTTAGAGTGAGACGTGAAAAGAAACATTTCATCCAATTTAGCACCAGATTTCTTCAAAATTCTCCTATGTACTCCACCGCATTTCCTAGCTGCATCCGTGGAAACTCCTTCATCTTCACCGGATGACAGAATGGGGCTCAAGCTGTATTCTGTGTCGACTACGCTCAATGCTAAGGGTGTATGGTGTACCAACTTTACCTGTCTCTTACCCCTTACAGGTCTGCCATTGTCTATGTTTTGTTGCAATGACTTAACCGACCTAGCAAGGACTCTAGAAGGTGCCCAAACATTCGAGTCCATTGCCCAGATGATGTCGAACTTAGCTTCAAGGAATCCCTTGGCCAAGTTATTCACCTTGGGATTTGGTCCATAGTGATCGTCCGAAGTTCTAGTCTCACGATTATAATTGGACGATAAAAGAATCCTTGCATTCACAAGGGGATGTTTCTCTATAAGATTTTTCACAATCGGAATACAAGAATCCTCTGGATCATCCACGCAGAACAATATCTCGAACTTATCAGTTGGATAGTCTTGTACAAAGGATGATTCCAAGCACGAACTCATTTCTGGATCGACACCCTTGAGCGGTCTGATAATAGACACACCTTCTACCCCATCAAAAGATGAAGAAGATACACTTTCTAAGGCGTCTGTGTTCTTTCTTCTCTGCTGTCTATTCAATCTGTATCTGAATTTCAACATGATCTCCCAAAATCCGTTGTATGCAAAGACAAGCACAACGACGTACCAAACTAGGAAGATACATGCTAACGCGTATCGTACTGTGGACATTATATGACAATATTATCAGCACGAATCCGCTTCTGATTATGGTTGCAACCACGCGTTGATCTGGGTGTTCTTATTGATTTTTGTAGTTTTCTGTTTGGCATTTCTTTTTTTTCACTTGGCCAATTTTCGAGCGCTTGTTCATGGACATACTGCCGATATTACCGGACATGAGGTCTACTTGCCGGATGTAACAAAAAATAATTAAGAGTTGATGAATGAATGGAATAGGATTGACTGAGGATTTATTGAGCTACGTGTCGGTAAGGTTGATATGGCTAATTGTGTTTGTGTGGATGAAGTTTTGATGCTAATTTCGAGAGATGAGTATTATGACGTAATGCTTCATTCAGAACGGTTGCAGATGTGCAGAAAAAAAGATATATAGACTCGCTTTCGATCTGATATAGTGGAAGATTATCCGGTTCGTGATAAGGCAAAGGAAACCGGCCAGTGGTATTGGTACAATACAGGTGAGATAGGAATGCCTCCAAGATGAATATTTTATCCTAATTCGCTACATATTCTCTGCATATTCATTACATGGTCCGTGTTCATGTTCACTACATTTAATTTATTTTCTATTTTTCGTTATCATTGTCTATTCAAAATGCTAAAGGTTGAAATTGCTTTTAATTCCATCTACGCCAAGTCAACTTCTTTCGCCTCAACATAGAACCAACTAACTCCATCACTAAGTTGAAATGGATTATCTTCTCCGCTATCTTCACTGACCAAATGAGAAGTGATATTCACTATTCTTCCAACCATCCAATCTTTATCTTTCAAGTTATGTATGAACTTCTCATCATTTCCACTCTCACGGTCATCATAAACTTTGAGGAAATAATGTGGAGACCTGAAGTTGAATGCAGCCCAAGGCTGGAAATTTTCTTCGAACTCGGACATATGATCAATTCTTGTAGGCAAAAAGAGCACTAAATCACCAATTTGAAAGTCATTCATGGAGATCTTATTTGCCATCTTTGAAGAAAGCTTGTTAATCTCATGAATTTTGCTTCTGTTTTCTTTCGTCAACTTTTTAGCAAATCCTTCCACATCCCTGAATCTTTTAGATATGGCAGCAACGAATGCTGTGTGGCTTGTGGTATTCATGCTGGAATCCAAGTCGATGTTTCCGATTGGAGGATACTGTAAATTCTCAAACAACTCATTGAATTTAGAATCTGTACCTTCAAAGTTATCCTTAAAGATTTTGATAATTTGCAAATTCTGAGGGCTGTCAGGGATGGAGATGTCTTTAGATTGGACCTCTTCAACTTCTTCACTGCCGCCTACGTTTTCAATGCCTTCCAAAGCTGGACTTTCCTCAAGTCGATCAAGTTGAATCTCATTAACCCAAGTAACTAATTTCGAAAGGGTTTCAACAACCTTTGAGCTAGGTTTCTGAGGAGTAGGAGCCGTGACTTCATGATCATCCAATAAAGTGGTTGTTCTGTCTTTTTCTTTATCTTTATTTTTAGACCTCAATCCCTTGACTCTAACGATTTTCAATTCTTCAATCTTCTTCGATTCATTGAATTCTCTTACTAACAATAATCCCATACTTTCTAACACTAAGCAGAAGTCATAATAGAAATTATACGACATGGACAAGACTTCTTTTATCTTGTAAACTAATTGATTTCCAATAAAATTCAACTCATTTATCAATTGCTCATTATACTTTTGCTTACTCTGTGTTAGTTCCATAAGGTCTTCATAGTCGTCAGTCACTTCCTCTAATTTTCCCTTTAGCATATTAATTTCATCCTCAAGAATACTTCGCTCCTTAGCAAACTCGCTCTCCTTGGCAGACATATTTGAGAGTAAATCGTTTTTCATGTCGTTGGAGTCTCTAACTTCTTCTCGGAGAGATTCATATTTCAACCTGAATTCTCTTAAATCTTCACGAGTGGAGTCTATTATTTTATTTAACTTCATTGCTTCCTCAAACTTATCATTGTTCATGGTAAGGTATTTGCCAATTTCTGTTTGAAGTGAAGTTATCTTTTCATCCTTTTCTCTCTGGCTCTTTTGGAAAGAAATCTCCTTCAGGGTCACTTCCAACACTTTCTCGTTAGCCTCTCTTTCCTTTTCTTTCAACGAATTAATTTCGTTCCGGAGCTGGCTAATGACTTCGTCTTTTGATTGATTCTCTGAATGCAACCTATTCATTTCTTGCATAATCTCATTATTTTCCTTTCTCAATCTGATATTATCCAAATGCTTATCGATCGTAGTGGATGCATCTAGTACTGCCCTACCACCACCGTTCTCGCCAACTGGGGAAGGAGGAGTTGGAGTAGTCTTTTGCAAAAATACCGTAGGATTAGTTCTACTACCTGAGAAATCTTTTCTATCTACAATTAAACTTAGCTTTCCCATGTCAGAAACATTTCCCATCTTTCCATTCTCATTGGCGTTATTCCCGGCCATACCTCTTGTTACGGGCCACTGGGATAAATTCTTGTACTGCTGTTGATGTAGTAAATTTTCTAGCTTGTTTATTCTAGATTTCAATCCTTTAATCACATTCAAATCATTATCAAGATCAACGGATTTTTCTTTGGAAACACCTCCATTTCCCAACTTCTTACCTTGCTGTGAAATAGCCATCAATTGGTTGTCTAGTTTCGAATTGTTAATTTCGTCTGAATTTGGAGACGTTAAAGTGGATATTGAACTGACCAACTTGGTAACTTTTTTCATATTGCTAGTGCTTTTGACCAAATCTTGGAAATTTTTCTCCAATATAGTGTGGAAGTTCTTACTAGTTGGAGCTGCAGTTGCAGAAGCTATCAGATATTTCTTCAATGCCTCAATATAGTTCAAAACATCAGCTCTATTGATGAGGATATCTTTCAAAATATTACCAAATTCATCGTCTTCCATTTCTCCATTGACCAATGTTACATCTATAGATGGAAGTTTAGGATACAAAAGTCCGCCACCCCCTGGGACAGCTGTTACATCATTTGCTGCACCTAGCAATGATAAAAACCCACCAAATTTTTTAATCCAGAGCTTTCTAAACACTTTTTCGTATTCTATCATGATACTGAGTTGTTCAGATATGTTCTTAACTACACCCTTGGAGTAGAAGTCATACCATTCATACTGTCTTCTCTTTTCTATCAACATAAAGCCAAACAAGAGTGGTAAGTCTATTGTCAAGGAAAGATAATCTTCCTCTTTTTTAATCCTATTAATGATCTCAAAAGAAATTTCATTATCAAGATTTTCATGCAAGGTGTTGTTGGTGGTAGTCTTCTTGGACGCATGATCATTTTCTTCGGTTATGCTTCTTAGCTCATCTTTAAGTGCAACCATTCTCATCTGAAGGTTTGCAATTCCTCCAAAAACATTCAAGCTCTCTCTACCGATTTTCTTCCTGAATGTTTGTAGTTCGCTGTAGATATGAAATAGTTGATTGGAATAGCCAAGAATTTCAATTTGTTTGCCATTCACAATATTGTTATACGTTAGTTCAATATCGTGTGTACTGGAATTATTGGTTATATCTTCTAATTGCTCAGCGATATCCCGGATTAATATGGTAAGTTTAGAGTTAATATGGCTGGTTCTTTCCTCGTGATCTTTGAATCTATTTATTGACTCGTTTCTCAATTGTTCAATTATTCTATCGATATCCAATTTTTCTTCATTGACAGAATTTATGACTGAAGACATGTCATTAAACTTATTGACAACTTTTGGTAGATTTGAGGCAATATATGCCAGCGACAGCTGAAGCTTATTCACGTCCAACAAGTCAGCCAACTTGATATTTACAGATTTGCTATTGTCTCCTGGAGTCAGAGCTCCCACTGTAACCAATGGGAAGTTTTTGACCAAGTTTCTGTGGTACTGCTGCCAACTACGGTGCAAAGTCTTCATGTTTGTGAGCTTAATGTAATTGAAATAGCTATTGAAGTTCTTTTCAATTCCGCTGATGAAATTCGTACCGAAATGAAAGATTATATTGAAGCATTTGAAAATGATATTGATCTGCCTCACGGTAGCCTTTATCTGAGTTTCAAGTTCTTTACAGTTGGACAAAACCGACTGGGAGGACCAAGTTTCAACAATCTTCAAGTTTTCCGTCATTTCTTTAAGAGACTTTGTATTAGTTATTGGTCGTACGGATGGAGGCTGTGGCTTTTTTGGTGCAACCGTTCCTTGCTGATTATCATCACTGCTGTTCTGGAAGTACAGCTCAAGAATCTGAGATGACGAGGGTGACGGACTGAAAAGTCTCTTGTCGTAGACATAGACGTCATTCAATTCGTTTATCATATTGAAATTGAACTTGATCCCAAACGATGTAAGGAGGAAAATGTTCTCCACGCCACCGAGTAGATAGTCCGAGAAGGACTCATAGAGGAAACTTTTGAATGTGCTAATGGAGTGGAACCTCACGGGTTTAGGTATCTTCACAGTGGATCCATTGTGAGCATTGTATATTAGCAAGTGAGAAGTCGGGATCTGTGAAGGTTGTGGGGTAGTGGTAGCTGTAGCTGTAGTAGATGACATCATGCATCTGGTGGTCTGGGGTAGAGCTTAGATTAGACTACTTATCTGAAAAGGATGCTCCCTTTGCGAATTAATTCTGAGAAATTGTATGTGGGCAAAGTATCAAGCCAAAAAATGGAATATGGATATGGCTTGCACTCTATTCTGCACTGTAAAAGGCAACTTCCTCTGAGCAGACTGTTACTCTAATGCCTCACACTTTTTGCCATTCAAACTGTGTAAAATCGGATCTATGTAGTCCTGCAGGTAGGCGGTGTATGGTAGGTACTACAGTAGTAGCGAGATGCAATGAAAGACAAGAGCCGAGTAGGGAACCGACAGAAAGTGGCAGTGATAGAACGATTTCGAGTTGGAGGGCACCCTTATAATGAATACCTCTGTTCTCGTTTGACATTACGAATACGGTTCAGTCCAGAGTGTGAGTGAGAAAGACGATCGAGTGAGGTTTGAGATAAGAAAGTAGCCCATCGTCAAAATAGGTTCCATGCTTCCGCTTCACCCCGCAAAATGTATGGAGTCGGAACTAAAGCTGATACTAAAGGGGTGGCTGACTTCCCAGTAAAAGAAGTAAGAGATTCATAGAATTTCAGAAATGTCCTGGACCCATCTCTGCTTCCTCTATCTCGTACCTGCCTTACATATACTATAAATATGCAGCAATTTGGACTCACCGTGAAAAATAGATTTAGCCGGACCAAAGTAGGACTTCTAAAACGGCTCAATAAAATACAGAAATAGTCTAGCGAAAAGTACTTTCTTGTAGCGAAAGTTATTCCGATCTCAGTCCGTACTCAAGAGGAAACATCTTCATTCCTCGTAACTCGTACCAGTGTATCTTTCATCATTCCCATCTTCCATAAAGACTTGACACGATTACATAATCAGCACCAGCTTTTGTGTTGCAATTATTTTCCTAATGCAATTATCTCTCATTACGTCGGTGTCCTGCAGGTAGTCGATACCCATGAGCTTTTTCTGTTCTTTATTTTTTTATTCGTTTATTCGTTTCACCACTGGAGGTCAACCAATAGCGGCTTCTTTTCCTAGCATTACCTTGAATAAATAGATTGATTTCAACCGCAAGATGTTGGACGAAAGATCGCTTGAAATAATATCCAAATTTAAGCAGTCCTTAGTGACAGCACCGGCTAAGAGTGGCCTCAACGGGCTGTTTGCCAATAGAGGATCCAAATCGATAGCGGCCCCCACACTGGCGCTTTTAAACAGCCATATTCTTACTCCCAAAATCGTGGAATACGAAGGTTCCAAAAGACTAGTGTTGACCAATGATTCCATAGAACGCAACAACCACAGAAGGAAGAGGAAGTGGAGACAAACGTACGGAGATCCGGCTGAGGTAAGGAAAAGGATCAGACAGAAGGAAGAACAACAGCAACATTTCCAGCTGGATGAAGCCGACGAAGATGAACAGGATGAAGCCCAGCAAGCTTATAACACTAATAATAACAACACAAACAGAAAGCAGATTGCAATCAGCAAAGAAAATGGTCATAGAGGAGATGATGACGAAGGAGAAGCAGACTACGACGAAGAGCAAGGTGAAGACTTCTCTGAACCTGATTCCGATGGAGACTTTGAATCTGAAACGTCCGATTCTGAGGCACACCCCTTCTCTCGAATCAACTTGACAGAAATCTTGACGCCATTGACTCACCCTTCGGAAATAATCTCCCATCCTGCCATACTGAAAACGTATAACCTGCAAGTCTTCCGTAAATTGGCATCTGAACTAATTGAGCTTATTGAATTGGAGCAGGAGAATTTGAACTGGTTGAACAAATTGTTGCAGGTGTTGAATGGAGAGGATTGGTTCTACTTGTTGGAGGAGAACTTGGGATTACCCAAGTACGACCATGGTTTGAATCAGGTCAGTGATGACGAAACACCAAATACAAGCGTGGTGAGCAAGGATGGCGATTCCGCAAAGGAAAAGGCTGCTGCTTCAGAGACCACCACAGAGAGGGAAGAAGTTTCGTCGTCGGTCACAGAAGGAGGAGAAGACAGCTTACCCAAAAGGATTACCAGAACAGCAGCGACACAGGAAGACAAGGAAAAGGATATTGATCCCTTTTTTGCGGTTCCAGAGGCGTTGAAGACGTATGAAGCGTATCAAACCCAGCAATTAGAAGATACCAGTAGTACTGAAGAAATAATCAAGGAAGAGTTAGTGAATTACCTCCAAGTTAGCATCCAAAGACAACAGGAATATATAAAGAACTTGACGCAGTTGAGGAATGGAATAGTGCGCAGTGACCGTTTAAAGGGAGATTTATTCAAGTGGGGCAAGGAGATGCATGACAAGAGAAGCAGCTAGATTCATATAAGATTTCAGAAGGTGACTGGCCAACTCTCAGGAATAGTAATGAAGCAAGAACGTCTAAGCAGCTGGACGATCGGTTACGTACAATGAGAGTTCGTAGCTCGGGAAGAAAATCGATGTGTGAGGAAGGAAGAATTTGGAGAGAAGGAAAACATGATGGAAGAAGCAAGATGTTGAGCAAGTCAAGCGAAGAATTGGCCAGCCGAAAGCTGGCCACAAGCTAGCCATCACCAAATAAGGTGATGAGTCTCACATAGTTAGTACTATACAGAGAGAGTAGAAACATGATGGAGGAAGCAAGAATTTGAGCTAGTGAGGTGATGACTTAGCCAGCTGAAAGCTGGCCTCGTGCAAATAAGGTGATGAGTCTCATATAGTTGGTACTAGACGCTCTCACTCAACTATAGATTAGTTATTTAAAAAGACAAAAAACCTCACATGAATGCACTCGTAGCCACAGGGAGCCATTTACATGCCTTCACTTCCACTCTCCCCCTCTCCCTTTCTCCCTGAACACCACCTGCTATCTCGCCAACCTTCTTAGCATCCCATTCACTCCACCCATCCACCCCACCATACGTCTCCTGCATATAATCATGATCAAACGCGCTTTCCAATTTTTCGAATTTACGCGTGCACCAAAAAAATCACCAAATATTTTCGTTCACCAGTTGGTTCTTCTCTTCTTCTTTTCCCTGTGTTGTTATACAATAAGATAATATAATAGTAATAAATTAAGAAATACAACATGCTTGAAGGTAAATTTGATGAGGCCGCTCTTTTGAAGAAAATTGTTGACTCAATTAAAGACAGTGTTAAGTTGTGTAACTTCAACTGTACTGAGCATGGGATCACTGTGCAAGCTGTAGATGACTCGCGTGTGTTATTGGTCTCTTTGCTCGTTGGCCAATCTGCTTTCAGTGAATACAGATGTGACAGAGACATCACATTGGGAATTGACTTGGAATCGTTTTCCAAGATCATTAAGTGTGGTAACAATGAAGATTACTTGACCTTGTTGGCAGAAGACTCTCCAGATAATGTGATGACAATCTTCGAAGACAAGAAGAAGGAAAGAGTCAGTGAATACTCATTGAAGTTAATGGACATTGACTCTGAATTCTTGAAGATTGATGACATGGACTACGACACCGTCATAACCATGCCAAGTGGTGAATTCTCCAAGATCGTCAGAGACTTGAAGAACTTGAGTGAATCTTTAACCATCATAGTCACCAAGGACTCCGTCAAATTCACCTCTGAAGGTGAGCTGGGAACCGGATCTGTCGTGTTGAAGCCATACACTGATATGGATCACCCTGAAGAATCCATCAAGGTTAACTTGCTGTCGCCAGTCAACTTGACCTTCGGTTTAAAGTACTTGAGTGATATCATCAAGGCTACCAGCTTGAGTGGAACCATCACGATAAAGTTGGCTGACAAGACCCCAGCCTTATTCGAGTATAAGTTAGATGCCGGTGGTTACTTGAGGTTCTACCTTGCACCAAAGTTCGATGAAGATGATTAAATTATTTAGGCTATGGGGTAGGTGTACTATAAAGATAATAAAACAAAAAGTGTATTCTACGTGGATGAGTGCAGAAGTGTGTAGTGTAAACTACCAGGTTCTTAGTGCTCAGATGCTTGTAATTTGTAGATGTAAATGTATTAATGTGGATCTACATATCTATGTACATAGTGGGTACACTCTAGGTAATAGTGTGACGAATGTGTGCGTGTGTGTGTGACGAATGCGTGCGTGTGCGTGTGACGAATGCGTGCGTGTGTGTGTGAGCGAGTGAGTGTGGTGAGTGAGTGAGTGAGTGAGTGAGTGATTGTGTGTGGTGAGTGAACGAGTGAGTGATTGTGTGTGGTGTGTGTGTCCTAAGTTCCTAGGGCTGGCAAGAATGCAACTCTCTTCATACTCTTCTCCGTTATAGGTAATATCAACCGGAATGCATCGTGCGTGTTCAAATAATACCTATAAAGTCTCTTTGTTCTCATAAAACCCAACGACTCATACAACTTCAACGCTCCCTTGTTGATAACCTCAGTCTCTAGCGAAATCTCGTCCACGTTATCGATCTGTATCATTCTTTCAATGGTCATTTCCACCAATTTCGAAGCCAATCCCTTGCCCCTATGCACAGGATCGATAACCAACATTCCTATGTAGCCTCTCAATCTGACGTCCCGATGCTTTTCGACTTTCGATATTATCACTCCGACCAATTTAGGATCGTTCTCGAGCCTCACCGTTATACAGTATTCGGGCCATGTGTTGAGGAAAAACCAGTAAACATATATCGAGTAAGGTTCGCTCAAATGCGACGAGATGAGCGCAGAAATCTCTTCAAACTCCTCCGCAGTCTGGTTGAAGGTCGAGAAGTTCATAACTAGATCTTCTACCACCAGCAAAGAACCACCTTCCCTAGCGCCTGGCTGAGATTTCTATGGCCAAGGAAAGATCGGCATATGTCACACAAAAACAGCGCACAGGTATGCTCTTACAAGGACACAAGACCGAGTTGAATGCAGGACACGAGCGTCCGCTCTAGAGACTACTGCACCGAGTGCAGGTGGAGCAGCAGGTGGTGAGCACGGCAGATCAGGAAGACAGAAAAAGTTGCTAGGTTTGAAGCTCCGAATGGAGGACTATCTATTTTATGGCAGTAAAACGGTTCTGGAGCAGCAACGCCAGCAATTGCAGCAATTGCAGCAATTAGAGCAATTACTGAGGGTAGGCGCTGAAAAACTAATAATAATAAAAAAAAAAAAAAACTGAAATAAAAACTAGAACCTTAATGCATCATTAGCCTATCAAACTTGATTCTTTGCAAATTGAGCAACTGGAGAGTTAGCGCTGCATTTCGCTGAATCGCTGAATCACGCTAAAATCCGCAGTGAGTCTCACCACTACCACCACCACCAAACGAACGTTCTCCGCAATCTGAACAACACGCAACGAAATCGAATTTTCGTACGTGTTGAAAGTTACTTAGGTGAGATGTGATAAAGTCAAGAAATTGCAAAATCCGTTCCCCTACAGAACACAGCCAAGACCACACAAGACCAACAACACTACACACCAATTCTTCCTCCGATCAGCATGCTTGTTTGCCAATACTCTGTGACTCCGAAGCTCGCAACCACCCTTTTTTTCTTTCTCATCTACCTCTGCGCAAGCATCTCTCTGTCTCCCATGTCCTTCCCAACCTACCCTGGCCTATATGGTTCCAGGGTGTGCTACACTTTACCCGGCTGCCCCTGCACACATCACGCTCCGGGCTCCGCATGTCCGCATGTCTCATACATTTTTGCTATTTTTCCCATTTTCCACCAGACCAACTACGTAATTTGTGTAACCCGCACCACGACCACCCGAGCTCACCTGAGGGACACAGTCCGCGAAGGTATATAAAGAAATGGAGATCCTTCATGTTCGCCCAAAAGATTTGAGATCATTTTAGCCATAATACATTTTTTTGTCAATTAACCAATTACATATTAATTATTTACAATGTCAGTCTACGACGTCCTCAAAACTAAGTCCGGTGTTATCTACGGTGACGATGTCCGTCAACTCTTCTTGCACGCTCAAAAGCACGGCTACGCTATCCCATCTATTAACGTTACTTCATCATCCACTGTTGTTGCTGCTTTAGAAGCCGCCAGAGACTCCAAGGCTCCAATTATCTTACAAACTTCTCAAGGTGGTGCTGCATACTTTGCTGGTAAGGGTGTCAAGAACGGTAACCAGGAAGCTTCCATTGCTGGTGCCATTGCTGCTGCCCACTACATCAGAGCAATTGCCCCAACCTACGGTATCCCAGTTGTCTTACACACTGATCACTGTGCCAAGAAGTTATTACCATGGTTCGATGGTATGCTTGAAGCTGACGAAGAATGGTTCGCCAAGAGCGGTACCCCATTGTTCTCCTCCCACATGTTGGATCTTTCTGAAGAAACCGATGACGAAAACATTGCTACTTGTGCCAAGTACTTCAAGAGAATGGCCAAGATGGGTCAATGGTTAGAAATGGAAATCGGTATCACCGGTGGTGAAGAAGATGGTGTTAACAACGAACACGTTTCCAAGGACTCCCTTTACACTGCCCCAGAAACCGTTTTCGCTGTCCACGAAGCTTTGTACCCAATCTCCCCAGATTTCTCCATTGCTGCTGCCTTCGGTAACGTTCACGGTGTTTACAAGCCAGGTAACGTCCAATTGAAGCCATCTATCCTTGGTGAACATCAAAAGTACGCACAAGAAAAGACCGGTTTTGAATACAAACACCCATTATTCCTTGTCTTCCACGGTGGTTCAGGTTCCTCCCAAGCTGAATTCGATGAAGCCATCAAGAATGGTGTCGTCAAGGTTAACTTGGATACCGATTGTCAATACGCTTACCTTACCGGTATTCGTGACTACGTCTTAAACAAGAAGGATTACATCTTGAGTCAAGTTGGTAACCCAGAAGGTGAAGACAAACCAAACAAGAAGTACTTCGACCCAAGAGTCTGGGTCAGAGAAGGTGAAAAGACCATGTCTGCTAGAATCACCGAAGCTTTGGACATCTTCCACACCAAGAACACCGTCTAAAGAATGATACACTAATGTAAGTATATATTAATAAAATACACATAAAAGAGAGAAGAGATGAGTAACTGAGTAAGTGAATAAAGACATGTAGCTTGAATCTGGACAAGTAAGAGGTAAATTGAGTTCAGCTCTTGAGTAGTATGGCTCTTGGGTTACAGTTGGTTATTATCGAGATCATTTTGTGGAGATCAACTACCATAAGGTTCAAACAAACTAGATCTACCTATACCAACACAGCATGCACTGTTTGGTCTTTCAAATTTGATAGTTCTCGTATTATTTACATCTATAGTGCTTATCTAACTATATCCCCAGTTTGACTATGTTCATGTTAATGGCCATGTTAATGGATCATGTTTATGGTTCATGTTCATTTTCTGAATCGTTTCCTTTCCTCAGCCTCTTACGCCTCTTTTTCGTCCTCCTCTTTTGCTCTCGCCCTCTTTTGCTCTCGCCCCTACCAGTTAATTGTTAACTCTTCCATTTTTCTTCTTTTGTTGGAGTGTTTGTCCAAATGCAATTGACCTGATCCTCATCTACTCGAACTTACCCTGGATAACCCTGTACTCAGGCATGTTTGCAGTAGGTGTAAACCCTTGAGCTTGCAAGTTCATCCCCACCATGGCATTAGCTTTCACGTATTTGGACACACAACGGTCTACACAACATACTTCTCCTGTGTTTAGCTCGTTTTCTCCGTACTCACCGGGTATGCATTTATCTCTACAAGTTTGCAAAACCTTGTTGAAGGTAGAGGACATGGCCAGATACTGGATTTCGGCGATTTTTATTTTTTCTGGATCTACCAGCACTTGCGTGTATTGTGACGAGTTACCAATGAAGAGCGACATACTGAATATGGATCTGTAGCTACAATATGAAGCCTAGCCTACCACTGATACCACCGTGATGAAGAAAAATATTCATAAAAAAAAATTCAACAGTCGAAAATCATATAGGGCTATATGCAGGACACACCGACCCGATGGAGTTCCACTCACACACGCTCACCCATCCACAATGATGAAGTGTGGTTCTTCAAGAGCAGTACAAGTCCAGTCGTACTATTTCTTCTTCTTCTTCTTCTTCTTCTTCTTCTTCTTCTTCTTCTTCTTCTTCTTCTTTCTATCTCTTATCCCTCCTAGCTACTATGCACGTTCTTCTTACCAACGACGACGGTCCCTTAGACAACACCGCGTGCCCCTACATGAAGTATCTCGTAGATGAGATCACCTTGAAAACGGACTGGGAGGTTTCCATTGTGGTTCCAAACCAGCAGAGATCTTGGATCGGGAAGGCCCATTTTGCCGGTAAGACTTTGACTGCCAGCTACATCTATACTAAGGTTTCCACTCAGGTTGATAACAGAGATATTAATGCATTTGAAGGTCCCTTCACCACCAAGCAGCTTGATAAGGCCCATCCAGAGTACCAGGAATGGGCCCTTATTGACAGTACACCCGCTGCTTGTGCCGATATTGGTATTCACCATTTGTATCCTGAGAAGGGTCCCGTGGATTTGGTGATCAGTGGTCCAAATTTCGGGAAAAACTCCAGTAATTTGTACATCTTGGCATCTGGTACTGTTGGTGCTGCTATGGAAGCTGTTACTCACGGAATCAAAGCACTTGCGTTTTCGTATGCCTTCAACAACTTGGATCATGATTTTACCATTTTGAAGGAGGCTGCCAAGATCTCTGTTAAGTTGGCTAAAACTTTGTACAAGGAGTTGAAAGAGAGCGACGACATTGATCTCTTTTCTGTGAATGTCCCCTTGGTAGATTCCTTGAAATTGGGCCAAACTAAGATCCACTATGCCCCCATCTTCCAAAATCGGTGGGATTCCATTTATGCACCAGTTGAACAAGACGGAGTACAGCAATATTCGTGGCAGCCGGACTTCAAGAAGGTGTATAAGGATGGATTGAAAGACACCTCTCACACAGATAGCAGAGTCTTGTTGGACGAGGGGGTGAGTGTTACTCCTTTAAAAGCCACATTTAAAGCTGTTGCTCCCCATAGTGGTGAGATCACATTAGAAGGAGATGAAGAGGAAGTGGAAAATGTCTCAAATGGTATGTCATCGTTGTCAGTTTCAAACGAAAAGTCGTCTCGGGTGGTATTGATAACCCTCCCTAAAATGTCGTACATATACCCAGCAATTTTGGAATCGATTCAAAGTAATTACCCTAGCATTTCAGTTACTAACGATCCTAGTATTCTAAAGAGAGTCTCCGAAGACCCTTCTTTGAAAGTCTTCCATTACGGTGACTACGAAGAGCTTGACATTGACCTTTTGTCTAGTAAACCAGACCAATACTTTGTGTGCTCTTACATCTATCGTAAGGCGTTGATTCGTAAACACTTCTTAGCAAATACTATTCACCATTATGTAGTGAAGAACCCTGAGCTGAAATTAATATCTGCAGCACCGGAGAGCTATCAATTAGAAGTTGATTATGCTGAGTTTCTCGATGATGCCTTAGATGACTGCTATGAATTGAGAGAAGAATTGGAATCCGGTGAAAAGACCTGGATTTTGAAGCCCAGTATGTCGGACAAGGGCCAAGGAATTAGAATTTTCCAAACTGTAGATCAATTGCAAGAAATCTTCAATCTGTTTGAAATCTACGACAGTGACGAAGAAGAGGAAATTGCCGATCAAGAGGAAAATAATGGAGTGATCATTTCTCAGCTTAGACATTTCATTGTTCAAGAGTATCAAAACAAGCCCCTTTTATTGGAACAATATGAAAACAAGAAGTTCCATTTAAGGGTATACGTGGTATGCTTTGGAGATTTGCAAGTGTTTGTATATGAAAACATTTTGACTTTATTTGCCGGGGACTCCTTCAAACAAGTTCCAACCAAATCTGAAAATGATGTGGAGGAAATATCATTGGATGGGCACTTAACCAATACTTGCTTACAAGAAGGTAAAGAACCGTTAGTAGTTCCATTTTGGGATCTTGAAGGGATATCGGTGCTAGAAAAAACGACGGTATTCAAGCAGGTTTGCGATGTAACTGGCGAACTATTCAAGGCGGCTGTGAACATTGACAAGATGAATTTCCAACCATTAAACAATGGATTAGAAATCTTTGGAGTAGACTTCCTAGTAAATAGTGATCTTCAAGTGAAATTGTTGGAAGTGAACTCATATCCAGATTTCAAGCAAACAGGGGAGGATTTGAAGGGGTTAATTTACGGTTTGTTTGAAGAGGTGAATGAATTGGTTGGTAGCTTGATAGATGTGCACGAGAACAAAGAGAAGAAGGCTAAGAGTAAATTAATTTCAGTTATGCATGAAGGTGGAAAGAATTGGTAAGATAATAGTCTAGTAGAATGAATTTACGCCGAACAAAATGAAATCAAGGAATATAAAATGGCATTTAAATGGAGATAGACGAAGCACAGCGAAGATAGAGTTAGTGGACAGAGAAGAGTGCTGGGATAGTTAAAGTATAAAGATACAGTATAGATATTTATAGTCAAAATAGAACACGACAGTAGAATAGAACAAAACAATCTGTGGGGTGTAGGTCAGCATTTTGTATTTCACAGAGTAGATTGTCGACTGGATTAGTTGTGCAGTTAAATGGATAGTAGTATGAAATGGGTGCAAATTAATCAACTACCTTCGTCCAAACAGGTTAATCGATAGCCTTCGTCCAATCAGGGTGCAACTAAATCTACAATCTTCTTATAAGCAGAGTGGAGTGGAACTTTATCGGCTACCTTCTTTGAAACAGTGTGTAAATCGAAGTGCAACCATCGCCTAAAAAGTGCAACCTTCTCGAAATACCCCACGCAAGAAATTGCGTCAACAACCACCACTGCTTCAAATCAGAAACACGCTGGCCAGCAATTAACATCGCAACTAAATCCAGTTATCTTTCTAGAAATACAACGACTGGCTAGTTCATAAAGCTCTTCCATTTACTCTTCCTACTTTATGACCCACCTCTACCACCTTCCTCAATCTTTGTCTTCCCAAATCGCAACCCAATTGCAGCCATCCACCAGCATTTGGCCCTTTTCGGACAGTGCAATTTCGCACCAAAATCCGAAAACGGAAATATCACCACAGTCGTGCCAATGCACGATTCCGAAAATTTTCACTTTGTGCCACCCTGCTCCTGCACCTAGTCCTGATTGTTCGACGAACTTTGGCTTAGCCAAAATTCATTTGATCATACAAAATTTTTCAAGGGCCAAATTTGTTAGACAAATCTCAAAGTGGAAGTGTGAGAGCGCAAAAAATTTCACAAAAAAAAGAAAGAAAAATCTAACAACGAACCTTTTGACATACGGTTGATCTTTTCTTTTAGAAACACTTTTAAACCATAATATTTTATTACTGATCTAATTGATTTACATTGTAAAACAGATTGTTTACAAGAATTCATAGCAAGAAGGAAAAAGCGAAGACTAATATCGAAAGAAAAAAAAGTATAGGGGAAGATTCAGCATTTTGGAAACTACAAATTACAAGGGAATCATCATCAATATACAATTTTTTTATTTGAACTAAGCTAGAACCTTTTCGAATCAATTTTGTTCACACATATATAACCACATACAAACAAAGATGTCGGCTACACAACAACAGCAACGAAAAACTTATAAGAACCAATCCAAGAGGTTTAATAATGGGACCAGCAGTGCGAGCAATGGTTCTGGCTCTGGCTCTGGCTCTGGCTCAACAGTGGAACTTTCTAGTTTAAGTGAAATGTTCCCAGATTGGGAAAAGGATGAATTGACATCATTATTACAAGAGCACAGAAATGACTTAGAAGTAGTAATTGATTTGATTGTGAACAACAAGGTATCGAAATGGGAACCTATTAAGAAGGAACCTAAGCACAAGAAGAAGGAACACAAGGAAGAAGAAGTATCCGCCACTTCATCTTCTTCCATAGATTCAGCCCCACAATCCACACACGCACAATCTTCCGAGTCACAACATGTTGGTAAGCCAAAGCATTATAGAGAGTCTAACCAAAGAGGTGGAAAGTTCGGTCTGAGGTCTGAGAGACCTGCTAGAAAGGTCCAACCAGCCGCCGCTCCCACAAAGGTAGAAGAATCCCAACAGCAACAGCAACAGCATCAAAGAGCTCCAGCAGCAAGTGCATCCCCATCTACAACGCAGCAAATTCCTGCTCCTAACTCATGGGCAGCTGCCTTATCAAAGGATAAGCCAAAGGATAGACCTGCTCCTGTATTGGAACAACCAGAGCCCGAAACTGAAGTGGAACAACCAAAGCAAGAACCAGATGTAGAACAAACAAAGCCAGAAGAACCAGTAGAACAAGTTAAAGAAGCAGAACAAAAGGCCCCAGCCGCTCCAATATTGAAGGACGCCGCTATCCCTCAACAACCAAAGGCAAGTTCATGGGCTTCTGCCATTGCACCAAAGCCAAAGAAGGTTACCAAGATTTTGACCAAACCAGCAGCTGAAGCAGCTGCTGAAGCACCAAAGGAATCTGCTCCTGAGCCAGCTACCGAAGCAGTTGAGCAAACTGCAGAGCCTGTTATCACAGAAACCCCAGTGGAATCTGTTCCTGCCCCAGTTGCTGCTGAACAAGTAGCTGAGCCTGTTGTGGCTGAAGCTCCAGTTGCTCAAGCTCAAGTTGTTTTACCAACCTCTGCAGACCAATTGAACACGGTTGGTGTTTCCTTTGGATCATTAGCATTAGGTGATGAAGAAAAGGAAGTTGAACAAAAGAAGGAAGAAGTTGTCGCAGAACAACCTCAACAGCAGCAGCAACAATACAATAACTACAGCAACTCTGTTGACGCTTCTAACCAAGCTCAAGGTAACCGTTACAACCAACAACATCAACAGCAACAACAGCAAAATCAATACTACCAACAGCAACAAGCTCAATACAACAAACAATACAACAACAAATCTCAACAATCTCAACAGCAATCTCAGCAACCACAACAGACTCAACAACAACAATTTGACTCATACTATGGACAATTCCAACAAACTCAACAATATCCTCAACAAGCCAACCAAACTGCTCCAGGTTATGGAGGATACCCTGGTATGGACTATTCTGCTTATAGTCAACAAGGTGTTGCTGCTGCTTCTCCAGCTGCCAACCATACCAATGTTGCTTACTCTCAATATGGTCAAGTTCCAGCTCAAACCCCTGCTGCTACTTCTGAACAAGCCACTCAATCTCCAGTGAATGCGCAAATCAATCCAAACACCTTGCAACAACAGCAAATCCCAGGTGCTCCATTTGGATACCAAATGCCATACTACAACTACTACTACAACAGCCCATACTATGCTCAAGCTATGAATGGATTAGGAGCACAAAATGGTTTTAGTGGTGCTACTGGAGCCGGTGTTGCTGCTGGCACTGGTGCTGCCTCCGCTGGTACCCCAACTGCAACCAATGCTACTACTTCTAATGCTGCAGCTGGAGCTTCTAACTCTACCTCCGGTGCTACCGGATTTGGAGGTGTAGGCGGAGCTGCCAGTGGTGTTAATACTGGTGCTTCCCAGTACTATGGTCAACCAAACCAATTTGCAAACAGATACCCAGGTTATAACCAATATCCAATGCAAGGTGCACCACACCAACAAGGTGGAGTACAACAAACTCAACAAACTCAACCTGGTCAAGGTCAAGGTCAAACCCAAACTGGATCTGAATCGGAAGGTTCTGGCGCCAATGGTCAACAGCAAGGTGTTCAATCTCAACAACAAGTTGGTCAACCTCAACAGCCAGGTGTCCCACAATATGGTGGTTACCAACAACAAATGTACCCACAATACAGTGGATACCAGGAATCTAACCAATATCGTGGGTGGTATTAAAAGAATGGTATTATAAGAATAAATATATAAAGTAAGTAATATGTTCTAGAATAAATAAAGGATTAAGAAAGAGACAGTAGGAGAGTAAATTTTTACGAAGATACGCTAAAAAGTGAGCGGTGACAGTCTAATAAATGCATGACGATGACAATCAGAAAGAGGATAAGTAATATGAGAAGAACAAACGCACATGAAAAATATGGTGAAAGGAGATTGGCATTAGGAAAGAGAGAGAAAGATCTGTTGAGTAGCAACATCTTCTTCAATAGTGGTGTTTGTCAAGATCCTGCATGTACTGTACACTCTATTCTGGTTAATCCTACCACTGTTAGCTCGAAAGACATGCAAAAACAAAATGCAGCACCTGACTTCGATAGGAGGAGATTGTCTCGCCGTTACATGATTATGGAAATAAGTAGGAATTAGCAGGGAATTAGCAGGGAATAAGCAGAAAGTCATATTTCCACCAGTATAATCCTACCACTATCATTCTGGGCCAGCCCATGTCACTAATACACGTGACTTCTTACTTTATAGGGGGAATTTTCCAAATCCTCCAGCAGACTCTACCTGTCAGGTGCACTGAAATTTCCAGACGTATGCAGGCCCAATGTTACTTAAAGTAGCGATTGCAGGCTCTTCTACATTGGGCGAGTGCTCGCAATTATTCTGCTATTATTATTAATATTTTTATTATTATTATTATAATTATTATTAGGATACGCCTGTGAGAGAGGTAGCATGAGGCTGCTTGGTAAATAGGGTCATTCTATGTACATAGATTAAAAAAAAAAAAGGAAAAATAGGGACGGTTCGGAAAACTTCCCGCAGTTTGATAAAACAGCCTACAGTGGAATTTGTATTGCTAACAATTGAGCAATTGAACAACTAAACAATACTCTGCAATAGAAAATGGAGGAAAGAAAATAGGTTTATAGAAAAATAGAAGATAAAATTCAAAGTAAGCGTAAACGAAAATGAAACGAATTTCTTCTCAAATTATCATTTCAAAGTGAATTGGCATAGTTCTTAGAACTGCCCAATACTGTTCAGTGGGAAGTGGAGTAAAAGGCAATATTAACTTTATATCTCTCGTAATAAATGTATGTAAAAAACATAGAAAAAAAAAAAAAAAAAAAAAAAAAGAAAGTAAGTAAGGAGAGCTGAAGGGTGGAAAACAAAATATTAGTGTGCGTGGTGCGTAATCCACCGCATGGCGGCTTGTGCATGAGTAAATTTTGTCACTAACATAATTGAGCATGGCAATGGTGAACGCCAAAGGGTGAGCCTACTACTTTTTCCTATATAAACCATCTTCGCATACAAATTTTGTATAGCAAATTTATCACCATTTGTTTTTTTGTTAGTACAACAATTTGTATGTATGTACTTTGAATTTGTTAAGTTTCGCACACAAACTTGTTAGTAGTGATAAAAGTGAAAAATAGCCGTGCAACTAAAAATTGGTTCCAATTGCAAAATCAATTCAATGACAACTTGACTTAGTATAGAAAAGGAGTGTTTGTTGTAGGCTTGTTTTTGACAACAGATATTGCCAACCCCCTTTTTTGGGGTGGGAGTCCACTTGGAGCACTCTATGCCATGTACTTGTGTATGGGACATAGAAAAGCTTCGATGTTGCAACTGCCGCGAGTCGTCGAAAATATTTCTACAATTCTACAATACTACAATACTTTTCTATATTATACTACTATGTTATTAGTTGATGAGTTCTACGGGATCCAATTCGACGTCCGCCCTTGAATTGCTGAAAATTCCAATAATTCTGGGAGGGACTTTGGGGGTTGGGTGTGGTGTGTGGAGGGGGGAAAACCTTGAAAGAGCTTCAGAGAAAAGCAAAAATAAACTGGTACTGCATAAACACGTTTCTTTCGCAGTGTATTTCCCTTTCCACTAGCGCCATGCCCACCTAAACAGTGGGAATAGTGAACGCGCGCTTTTTTTTTCAAGTTTTTGGCTAAAATAAACAAACAATGAAAATAAACATACATTATTTTTTGTATGGCGGATAGTGGGTTCGAGTTTGTTTATATTCCAGTGCAAATCTATACTTTGAATTTTTTTTGTCTCTTTTATTTGCTTTCTTACTAACTTTAAATAGAAATAAATTAATTTAAAAATGGCTGAAAGAAGAAAGACTGTTAGAAAGAAGAAGGACCCAGATGCTCCAAAGAGATCTTTATCCGCTTACATGTTCTTTGCAAACGAAAACAGAGACATTGTCAGAGCTGAAAACCCAGGTATCTCATTTGGTCAAGTTGGTAAGTTATTAGGTGAAAAGTGGAAGGCTTTAACCGGTGACGAAAAGGTTCCTTACGAGACCAAGGCTGAAACCGACAAGAAGAGATACGAGAAGGAAAAGGCTGAATACGCTAAGAAGAACGGTGCTTAATTGAGTTGAATTGTCAATTGTCTATTGTTTTTCCAATCAATTGTTGTACCATACTTAACTTTTTTTATGCTTTTTAATTTTTGTATCTGATTTTTGTTTTATTAAAAGAAAAGAAAAAAAAAAAAAAAAAAAAAAAAAAAAAAAATTATAAAATGATTGTTTTAAATTAGTTGATAAATAATTTAAAAAAATTAGTTGTTT